TTTATCTCACGCGGGCGCAATTTTACAACTGTAATAGATTTTACATTAAAGATAACTATATTAATATGGTTGTAGCAAGCGCACATTTTTATGCAACTTTGAACGGCAAACAAGCTAACGGCCCAATTGATGAAAAATGTTAACCATCACTTATGGTTATCAACCGAGGACGGTTGTACTAGTGTGGATAGATATTTGTTACTCTTTCACACAAAAACGACTGAAGAATGAAATTTAGTGTCTTATGTTCTAAGGATGCTTTAAGTAAAGATTGACGCGAAAGAAGCCGAGAGATATAAATAGTAAAGTATTATACAATATATGTACAATGTACTTAAATTATAACAAACTAAAATAAACAAAAGTACTTAATGAAATGTAAATACAATTAAAATACAATGCTTTATCTAAATGTAGAAATACGAGAGCACACTCGAAGCAGCACTCGAGATTTACAGATGCTACAATAATCAAAACATGCACGGAATGCATAAATGTAATTGTAATAACATTAAATTAAAGTTTGTATATTTGTTACATAATCACACTTAAACGGTTAAACGAATTTAAATAAAAGAACTTGGTATCCATGGTACTGCTCATGTCTATAGGCGACTATTACCACTTTCCATCAGATGAGCTGTCAGCTTGTTTGCCATTCTAAGTTGCATAAAAAATATATTTTAATGTACAAAAGTCGATTGCTTGGGTACCATTACCCATTCGTGTTTCTACCGTGAAGCAATTGTGTTTGCATAGCTGTGTTTCGGTTTGAAGGGTGGGATATGGCGTAAATTTACAGGGTACAGAGGAATAACATCTGAGTCCTCAGGAATGACAACGCATGGGGGATATCATGGGCGAAACAGTATACTCTGTTATGTCCATGGTACTGCTCATGTTTATAGGCGACGGTTACCACTTTCCATCAAGTGGGCCGTCAGCTAGCCATTCTAAGTTGTATAAAAAAAAATTATATTGGTCTCAAGGATCAATATAAATTAAATTAAGGATAAAGATTTCACTGTGATATCAAAATGGAATTTTAATGTTAGTGATGGATTTAAAAAAAAAGTCACCTAAGAGTCGACACCAATGTTACAATTTATGATTTAATATTTTGTCAGAATTTTCTAAAACATTTTGATATAACAAAGACGTTATACTTGTAAATAAATAACGTACAATTGTACATTAATGGACGTATCGACAGAATTAAGTAGCCGGTCAGTCATCTAGATACGAGTAGCATAATTCAATAAGCATTGACACTAATTCAGAGGCCAAGTGTGGAGCAAGGCCGTGTCGAATTAACGTGGAGTTAAATCTATTTTTCTCCTAACTATATTATCTGTAGATAATAGAAAATCGACCAAAAGCGTTTGTAATAGTTCTTTATTACGTTCCGTAGTTTTTTTTTTTTTTTTTATTAAATTCAAATACATAATTAAAAATTTATCGGAGGTATTGGAGTCGATTCTGAACCACTATTTCTTTAAACCTATTTTTAAAATTCATTCAAACTAATATTACAGGGAAATTTTTATTCTGAAAATCAATATGAACTAAATTTTTTATAGTAGTTTTTAGTCAAAATTGATATAAGTTTAGTTTATAAGGGTAAAAAAGAAAACAATAAAATCGCGAGACTATCAAATTATTTTTTTTTAATGGTAATCTAATGGGTTAGTTTTTTTTTTGAGTACTTAACTCTGAGAAAGACTGGAGACCCACCCTCACTTTGACAACCCTTGTACTATTGTTTCATCACTTTCACTGCCCTTGATACTCGTGGTACCTATGTCATGTTATGCATACGTTTCCATACGACTACCTTATTATTATTTTTATGTACCTATATATAACACTTATATAACAGACTGAACTATGTATCTTAGTATTGTGTACATTGTAGATACAGTAGGCAATTAGGTATAGTGACATAACATAATTATAGATTGTTGGTTAATTATTAGCTACCACTATTATTGAGTACATATTTAATGTTGCATGTACATGCAATCTTTGAGCAACACTGACTTCAATCGGCTTTAAAAAGGAGAAAAAACGCCATTTTAAGACTTTAATTTTATAATTTTAAAATAATTTTCATAACTTTTTATGAAAACACTTTACAGGCTTCACTTAAATTAATTTTGTAACGGTATTTTTAAAAGTAACAATTAAACGTAAAAAAAAAGCTATTCAACTATGAAATATAACATTCGACTAAATATTATTGTATGGGAGCTCACGCATACTAGTTTCTTTTTTTCCTTTTTTAAATAATAAAAATCAAATTTAAAATCGGTTTTAGGTTAGCGAAGATACACATAACAGGCACTGCATACACAAACGAATAAACTGAAGAAATAAAAACATAAAAAAAACTGTTAAAAAAACTTTGTCTCCTACAACACGCTATGCGATTCGATAGTGTGGTCGAAACTTAACAACGATCGCTGGCATGTCTTCAAATTGCAGGCAATTGCAATTCGCGATAACAATTGACGTAATTTTGTCGTCTCCGAACTGGGCCAAGGGTTCACGATTTATGACGTGTCGGGTCACCGATTTGGTTTCTTTGATTGGAGCTTAGACTAGTGAACTTGTTTCTATCTGGTGTTACTTGTGACAGTAACCTAGTTCGAGTTTTGTGTAACCTTAAGGTGGTTGTACACTTGTCCACGTCGAAAAATTCGATAGAATCGAATTATAAATTTCGTCGTAAAAAATCCTACGAAATGTATCCCGCCTCCCGCCTGTGCCCGGTAGACCGCCTGCGCTTGCGTATAAATAACTTTGCTAACTATACAATTATATACAATATGGACTCTATCATACAGTGATAACTATATTTATTCGGGGGAAGGTAATACAGGCTGGCAGCCCTCTTGCTAACAATATACTTGTCTGTTAGGTCGACCTCCACGCTATCCTCCCTATAAATCATCGTGACTTATTCTTCTTGAATTCGTCACGACGGGCCAACTCACCTGCTTCATCCACACCTATCATTCCTCACTAGTGCCCCTCCACCGTATACCGATAGCTTAGGAATGGCCACTATTTCATTTTCACCTATTAAAAAAGGACATTTACCGATTTAAATGAATACAAACAGACACATAGATCGTCTAAATAAACAAGTTGCATATAACATTGTAACCATTATGATACGCTTGTTAATTTTCTCATTGTACACGGCAATAAAATTGTATATGCTTTAATGTACATAATACATATCACGTGCACGAAAATGTGTGTCTAATAAATAATTGAATGTTGATTGCTCTACTATTTGTGGTTACTGTGCAATTAGTGTGTAATTCCGTGAGATGGCGGAGTAGGGATGCGATGTCATCACTCCTTTATTCTCAGGATTTTTTAATAGATGAAGAAATATGGAATGGTTATGATGATGATGATGGATGGTGCACCCGTCTTTATTAACTAGCGAGGCATCAGTGGGGTATGTAACGATGAAAATGAAGGCAGGTCAGTTCGCCCATTGTTACGAATTCACTAGGAATTAACCACGATGGTTTCCAGGTAAGACCGCGTGGAGGTCGACCTGATAGGATATATTTCTAGCAATGGGCATTATTAACCTCATTACTGCCAAAGCCTTCTCAGGATATAGCAAGAGGCGACTAAAGATTTCTTATATACATTAATGCCGCTTACATGGTGTAGTAGTGGAGAATATCCTCTCCTTTTATGGGAGAGACTTGTGCTCAACAGAGGTTATAAGTTGTACAATAATGACAATGATGGTGTTGCCATCATTAAGATTAGAAATTAAAATAGTTTTATATAGATTTTAAAATAATGGATATAATTTATCTAATATAGGTGAATAGTTATTTACCATATATGTGGATATCGTACATTTTCACAAAATTTATTTTATAAGAGACAAACAATTTTCTACTTCTAATTTTATACTTCTATTAAAATATAAAAATAAATTTCAACTATAATATATAAATAATTGACTAACACAAACTTTGTGTATTGAGTAGCTATTTTAGGGCGTTGATAGTAAACACGTAAAGTAATGCCACCTGTTGGCAATTGTATTAAACATACACATTGAATGTGTTTGCTTATTTCGACTTGTATGATAACTGTCAGAATGGCCGAGCGGTCTAAGGCGCCAGACTCAAGTTAAGCTCTTGCCCGTTAAACGGGTACGAGTTGTTCTGGTCCTCTCTGAGGGCGTGGGTTCGAATCCCACTTCTGACAAAAACTTTTTTTAAATTTATTTCATATTATTTTATTTTTGATTTAATACATATCAATAATTCTTATTACGTTTAAGAAACGCATAGACTATAAATTGTATACTCTTTCATTAATGTGATAGTAAATACTAAAAAAGTCTACTATGTAATTTTAATAATTATTAAATTTATCATAATTTCAGCCTTTAAGTAGACATCATTATGTTTAAATTTTAATTGGCACTTATTGTTTTTTATAAGCACCTATTTAAATTTAATGAATTACTGAGAATCAATATTTAAACCATAAAAAAATCACTATACTAATACAGATATGATTCACTAATTATAATAATAATAGTAACAAAATAGAACACAAATTTTGTTTTAGGTTTTTATTATAATTTAGATATTAACTTCAATATAAAACAATCATTATAATAGAGTGTATAATTAACAAATATTAATGTTATAACAAATAATAAAATAGATAAATTTTTAACTGATTGTGTAACTACATACATTACACATTTTAAAAAATGTAGTGTAATAATTTATTCGTTTATCTTAAAAATTATAATAAATTTGCTACACTTAGTATTTCATAATTTCATAAACGCTCTTGAAATCCTCGATAGTATAGTGGTCAGTATCCCCGCCTGTCACGCGGGAGACCGGGGTTCAATTCCCCGTCGGGGAGGTCGATTTGTCATTTTATTTTTATATTTATACAAATGTATCAGTATATTTATGTATAATTCTCATTGCCAACAGATTTCCAGTGTCTGTGTGATGGTGCGGGTGCACACAGTGCTGCTGGTGGTAGCACTGTGCCACGTCGCCACCACACTCGACTCGGAGCTCGGCGTCGGCAAGGCGATTAACATATTTATGAGGTAATCCATCATCTTCCTGTTCCTAATCCATCATCCATCTGTCTTCCTGGTGTTTTTCGATCAATTTATTTTTCGGCGAAACAGTTGTTAATTTTTTCAATGCTCAAAATTTTCGACCGTGATGACATCAAACTACCTACATATCTTGTCAAAAATGAAATCAAATTTTTATTAAATAAAAGATTATTTAGTAATTTCATCGTTCTTATTCTAAAACTAATGTAACTCACTTATAGAAAATGATATTATTTCTGTACAAATATTTGTAATGAATGTGTGAAATCGTTTGTCTGAACACAAGTTGATTTTGCCTTGCAAAAAAGACAGGTGGTTGCAATCATGATAAATTAATATGGGGTCAACACGGGGGTCAACGGGAAATTTAGTTAGATATCGCGTAATATACACACACAATAATAAATGATTATGTTTTTTAAACTTCTCCTTCCAATAGTCAGCAACCTCTCATTCGCGAGGCCGTACTTCAGAGCTAGCTCTTGATGGAGTATTTTGGCTACCTGGTTGTGTCTGTGCAAGTACTCTGCGTTGGCAAGAGCTTATTATTATTATTATTATTATTATTATTATTTAGTAAAGAAACTTAAGTCAAAAAATAACAGATCATGTTAAGCGTCCTATGAATAATCCGATTAATATAAATAAAAATTAGGTTTCGGGAAGCAGGTGAAGAAAAATAGTAGATGATGAATTCAGAAAGATTATAATACGGTAATTGTATTTTAGAATGAATATGAACAAAAATCAATTTTTTTGTTATTGATTTGAAAATAAAATATAAAAAGGTTTCACAACACTTCCCATACTAAATTAGCCTCAATTAGACAGCTATGGTACATAGACAGTATCATAAAAGGTTTTTAGTCTTCTCTCAAGCCATGTTTCTTTGGGGAAAATATTCAGTTTCATTAGCCTCGTCAAATGATATTATAATGATATAATTCTGATTTGTGAATACAGATCAAAATTCCCTTAAAAGGATCCTAGTGATTTCGATTTTACATGTATTATTTACTAATTGTGTCCTACAACTTCGAGTAATTAATAAATAAATAATATATACTATAGCCGACCGATATATATATATATATATATATATATATATATATATATATATATATATATATATATATATATATCCATTATCATCCTATCATCATTTTATTATGTCCATGAACCATCAAAGTCTAATTTACACCTTTCAAAATATTATTTATCCCCAGATATGGTTACCTCAGTATTTGCATGCGAGTGGTGCCCCGCAACGATACAGAGGGCTGGGTGTTCAGGGAGCCCACCGTTAGCGTCTTTCGCAACGTGGATAAGTTCTTTGTGGAGCAGAAGCCGCGCCAAGCGAAGACCATCTTCGACGGTGACTTCCATATGGAGTTCTGCGATAACCTGAAGCAACTACTTCAGGCATACTTCAGGGATTTCACGTTTGAAAGGTATTTTATATATATTTCTGATTTAAAATCAAGAACTTCGTAATTTTTTTTTGACGGGTGAAAATGGAATGATTACCCCGCCTGCGCTAACGGGATACGCTGGCGGAGCACCAGTGAAGGGTGATCGATGAGAATGAAAACAGGCCAGTTAGCCTATCATGATGAATTCATCAGAAATTAACCATGATAGTTTCCAGGGGGTACCGCGAGGAGGTCGACATGGTTGGGTATATTGCTAGCAATGGGATTCTCAGTCTCCATTACTAACAATCCCTTTACCCCCACTTCGTAATTTAGTAGTCTATTACTCAAACTCTTAAAAAAAGATAACGCCTCCTACCTTACGAAATTTTTAGATACGACAGATAATTGTACTATGTATACAATAATCTCTTTATACAAATAAAAATAAAACAGTCTACAAATTTTCTTTAACCCTGTTTTGTAACTTTCTTTTTAATTGGGAATTCAGTATAAAAGAAAGAGACAAAACAGTTCAATAGCTAAAATAGGTTTTATTTTATACAACTTAGAATGGCAAACAAGCTAACGGTCCACCTGATGGAAAGTGGTTACCGTCGCCTATAGACATAAGCAGTACATGGACATAACAGAGTAGACTGTTTCGCCCATGATACCCCCTCATGCGTTGCCACTCCTGAGGACTCAGGTGTTATTTATCCGTACCCAGCAAATTCACGCCATATCCCACCCTTCAACCCGAAACACAGCCATGCAAACACAACTGCTTTACGGTTGAAACACGAATGGGACAGAGGTACCCAAGCAATCGACTTTTGTATAAAGTCTCCTTCTGTTATAAAAGATTTGACGTCTTTATGAATAAGGGGTATTTTGAATAAATAAATAAATAAAATAGTAAATTCTTAATCTAAGATTAAACTCTACTAAAGTAAATAGGTACTTCAATCGTAACCTTATTGATTTCATTACTAATTTTCAAAATCGGATCCAGAATAAAGAAATCATTTTACATAAGAAAAATATCCAGTCAAATGCCTAAAATAAAAATCAGTGGAAAGACGAAGACTAAGGACAGGACTTATATGTATATATTAAAAAAAGCGGAAAATATTGTTTTTTCACGAAGTGACATTATTACCAAATTTGATAATATATAATAGAGATATAATATATAATACAGATATAATATATAATATAATACATAATATAGATCTACATTAGTTTTTTCTTAATCTTTCAAAATATACCAAATCACGCGAATGATCGCAAATTCAATGTGTCCGCCTTTATAATCTTAGGAAGATGCAACAATCCTTCCAGGTTAGAGCGTCCATGGCGAGCATTCACGGCGGGCTGGCCCACAGACATCATGGCGCGGAACTTGGGCATCAACTCGTCCTTCATCAACGGTGACCACAGTTACGTGCTCGTCAGGGTCTCCAGGTAAATAGCATTTGTCAATTAACCATTTCTTTGCTCTTAAACAGTGGTAGGCACCTTGCTAAGATCTCGATCTCCATATCGATTTTCGGCCATGCCAATATACGATATTTAGAAAATTTTAATTTAGGACTTTACCCTATTTCTTTGGTCATGATGTTCTGTGTTGTGTCCCCAGATGTTTAATGTCTAGTTTTTTAAAGTACAAAATTTTGATGGTTTAATACACTACCTCATCTTTCGGTGGTAACCGATTCAATACATATCTCTGTTGGTTTTTAATAGATTTTTTATGCATTATATAATGTGTTAACAATTTTTTTTTTATTTAGTGTCCTACAGAGCTATTCTTGTGTTCACCTACATTCGTTAATCATAACTAAGTATTTTTCACCTAGTGTATGCCGATAGCGCAAGCGGGGTTACCATTCTATTTTCATCCATTAAAAATATATGATGACTTATCCAATTTCTCTTTCAGTTTTCCATCCCGTACATGTCTATATGCGACGGTTACTATTTTCCATCCGGTGGCCTGTCAGCTTGTTTGTCATTCTGAATATCATAAAAAAGACATTAATAACTTCATTTCAGATTCCGTGAAAAAGCCAAGCTGAGCGATCTTCCGTCTACTATAGATGTGGAAGATGTTGTCTTTGACGCGATTAAAGATTCGCCTATAGGCGACACCGTGTCCATCGCAGACTTCATTAGGAAATACGGATCTCACTATATTGCCTCGTATGTGACGGGTAATTCTTTGTATCAGGTGAGGGTAGTTCCTTTGGATTGCTAAATAGTCTAGTAGTAAAGATCCCCCCATAGTGATCTACCGTCTATTACATTGAAAATACTCAAAAAAACTATATTCTATCATCTCTTCATGTTCCTCCATGTTCTATGCTTGTTCCCCTTCTGTTCGCAACAGAGGGAGCAAGGATAGACCAGAGAAGTAGTTTGCGAATATCTACATGAACCGGACCTTAAGTTTGTGGAATAAATGAATTAAATAATATTTATTTATTGGTGTAACAAGAATAGAATAGTATGTTTTCTTTGTCCTATAACTGTGGTCCTTCAGGCGTAAATAAAAAAAAAACTTGGCTATTGAGGAAAGAATTTCTACTTTTCAGTTATTTCTTGTTATTAATTATTCATAGACCATAAAGTCACTTCCTACTTTGTACCAAATTGTCTATTCGATACAGAGAAAAAAAGGTCAAGGAAACCAATTCATGTACTGTAATTCTCAAGATCAAAAAGATAGTACTTTTCTATCTCAGACATATTATATACCAGCTGCATCCTGCGACTTTTCACGCGTGAAACAGTATTATATAGTATCCTATATACTAAAAAAAAAAAAAAAAATTCAAAAATCATTTATTCATGTAGGACATTTTAGCCGCTTATGAACGTCAAATTTTTACATTATAATTTTATATTTACCCTACCGTCCAGTTCGGTATATAGATCCAATTGAGAAGAACTGGCAAGAAACTCAATTGAATTACTTTTTTTTTTAAAGCCAGTTTATTTACAATGTATATTTATATAGGTGTCTATGTCTAACATTAAATGAAAATTCAGTGCATGAACAACTATTGCCATGCACACTCGTCATTCAAGTAATCGTTTAGTGAGTAATAGGCTTTGCTCAGTAAATATGATTTAACAGATGTTTTGAATTTATTTAAGGGTAATTCCAACATATCCTTTGGTATCTTATTGTAAATTTTTATACCTATTCCCATAAAAGACCTATTAACTTTTTCTAAACGATACTTGGGGACAGCAAGTTTGTCTTTAAATCTAGTATTAATATTATGAATATTGCTGTTTTTTGGAAATAAGTCAAGATTTTTATGAACATATAGAATATTTGAATATATAAATTGAGAAGCAACGGTGAGAATATTTGCCTCTTTGAATTTCTCTCTTAATGAGTCACGACTCTTCATACAGTAGATCGCTCGAACGGCACGTTTTTGTAATATGAATATATTCTTAATATCTGCCGCTTTTCCCCATAGTAATATTCCATAAGAGAGTAAACTATGAAAATAACTAAAATAGACTAATCTAGCAGTATCAGTATCAGTGTACTGTCTAACTTTACGCACGGCAAAAGCTGCTGAACTTAGTTTCGCTGCAAGGCTTTGAATTTGTGCACCCCATTGTGTTTTATTATCTAGTGTGATTCCTAGAAAGACAGTAGATTCTATAAATTCGAGAGATTCGTCATTTAATTTAATATTGCAATTAGTATTAAAACTTTTAGATAGAGAGAAATTAACACATTTTGTTTTTTTAGCGTTTAACATAAGATTGTTAGTTGTAAACCAGTGCAGGAGACGCCGCAAAGCACTATTTACATCGTCATAATTATTAGTCATTCTATTAACTTTAAAAATCAATGAAGTATCGTCTGCAAACAATACTATGCCGCATCTATCCTGCATGGCATATGAGAGATCATTAATGTAAACTAGGAATAAAAATGGACCGAGAATAGATCCTTGAGGTACACCCATTTGCACAAGTGACCCGTCAGACGTAGCGTTGCTAATCTTCACTTTCTGTATTCTATCAGATAGATAAGATTTTATTAAATTTAAAGCATTGTCTTTGACGCCATAAAAAGCAAGTTTTTTTAGCAATGTGTTATGATCAACGCAATCAAAAGCCTTAGAAAGGTCACAAAAAATCCTATCACATCCATTTTAGTTTCCCATGCAGCAAATACGTGTCTAAGCAACTCTGCACCTGCGTCTGTAGTTGAACGACCTTTGCCACGACCACGACTAAGTTAGGATATGACCTACCGGTGTACCAAATTTTATTCAAAGCCGTTCAGTACTTTTTGTATGAAAATAGAACAAATATCCATCCATCCTGACAAACTTTCACATTTATAATATTAATAGTGTGTATTATATCTTCCTACACATAATAAATAGATGCCTTGAAAAACCCATAACTTTCTCTCGGAATTCATTCATCACTCAGTGTGTCAATATGGTAATTTGTATGCAGCTGTAATTTAATGGCTTTCAGAAGCCACGACCATGGGATATGGTTTAAATGACTATCCATCGATCTTTCTCTAGAGAATCGATAATTTAAAACTTTAGATTGAACAAAAAAATATATTTATCAATTAATACAGTATAATTACTTTTTAATTACTCCAACAAATATGATATTAAGTACATTAAATCTCCCTTATATCAGCTTATTTATTGTGATATCGGTAGATAGCTAGTTATCCAGCGTGTATGTGATTATTTACCACCTATCAGCACATTATAATATTACCTACCTACCTGCCTGGTGATAAATTCATCATCATCATCATATCAGCCTTTAACTGTCCACTGCTGAACATAAGCCTCCCCCTTGAGGGGTTTTGCCAGTAGTTACCACGCTTGGCAGGCGGATTGGCAACCGCTATCAGGGCTTTAGAGATATTTTAAAAGGGACGCTGCTGTCCTTCCCTCGACCTCCCTTAATCGACTCTTACAACATCTGCAGAAAAGGAAGGGGTGGCCTATTCTATTCCGGGACCACACGGCCAACTATTATTGCTCGACCATGGTGATTGCTTACTCATTTACAAATCTAACTTTAACAATTATTATTACTCATTAACGAGTTAATCAACTGTGCGTCCTATCTACGCAAGGTACCGCGTGGTCCCGGCATAGAATAGGCCATCCTTTCTATTGGGTATCGTATAAGGCAACTACGGGAACTTAATGATCGAGGGATGAGCAGGAGCGTCCTTTATCACCAAATCCTAACTGCGGTTGCCAAGCATGGCAACTACTGGCAAAACCCTCCTGGGGAAGGTTTATGTTCGGCAATGGATAGTCAACGGCTAATATACTATGGTATGGTCTAGGCATGAAACAATTGCTACATTCAATTATTTGTCAGTGATTTTTCACTTATTGCTACTTGTAGCAGTTTACATGAAGAAAAGTAGCATGTGCGACTTATGATTTTCATTTTATATTTAATTTCACATGCTCCATATGTAACCTAGTGCCGCTGCCGGCCATTGCCGTATCACGTGACCGGACATAGACCGAGACGGACCGGGCAAAACGTGCATTGTGTTTTAATCCACAACCCATAGTTTTGTAAACAAAGGTAATAGAGCGATATGGTTACTTGGTAATTGTATTTTGTGTCACGTTTCTTATATCCTGCGCGTGGAAATGTAACAAAATAGGTGTTATAACAACGTGTCGCTGACTCAATGACGCAAAGCAATTAGTATAAGATATAGCCTTATTCTAATTTATTTGCTTTGAGTAAAATAATTTAATGTTCAATAAGTAAATAATGATTAGTACTTCATCAATGATTTAATATAGTTTTTTAATCAATGATAATAAAATGGTAAACCCTCCAGCGCTGTCAGTATACACTGAGAGAGCCGGGTGAACGTAGATAAATAAGGATGAAAGCAGGTATTCGAAAATTCGAGAAACAAGAATTCGAGATTTAATCACGATGGTTTCCAAGGGGAATCGCGTTGAGGTCGACCTGACAGGGTATACTGCGATTAACACAGTAATCAATAATCTATTTAGTTTACAAAAAAAATGAGTTGCATTTTGTGTATTCCCTATTTTTTATTTACACAAATTTACACACAGCTGAGAATAAACAGTTCTCATACAACCAAAGGTTTCCTTTTCATACACAGACTAAAATCTAAATGGCTAGCGTAGTAATAGCTAGATGCATTTTTTTTTTATACAACTTAGAATGGCAAACAAGCTGACGGCCCACTTGATGGAAAGTGGTAACCGTTGCCTATAGACATGAGCAGTACCATGGACATACCAGTACTGTTTCGCTCATGATACCCCCATGCGTTGCCATTCTTGAGGACTCAGGTGTTATTCCTCTGTACCCAGTAAATTCACGCCATATCCCACCCTTCAAACCGAAACACAGCCATGCAAACACAATTGCTTCACGGTTGAAACACTAATGGGACAGAGGTATCCAAGCAATCGACTTTTGTACAAAGTCTCCCTCTGGTAAATATAGTGCATGGGGTTAATATAGTAAACTCAAAACATTTTATCATATTTCTACCCAAGTTTTATTAAGAACATATTCTGTTTCACAGGCAGAATCCTTACTAGTTATATTATAAATGTGAAAGTGAATTTTGTTTGTTTATTACCTTATTACAACTTAACAGCTTCGTCAATCACTATGAAATTTGGTATACACGTAATATATGAAAGGAAGAAGGATATAGACTCCTTTTTATCCTGGTCAGTGAACATATCCCGGTCACGCGAACGAAGATGCGGGTAAAAGCTAGTACTCCCATAACTGAACATTATCATCTTGTTTAAGTCATTATATTCGAATGTTGCCAGGTTTTCGTGTTCTCCCGAGGCGTATACGCTAGGATAAAAGAGCGAGTAAAGTCAGGGGGCGTGAGTGAGCTGCCGCCCGCTGAAATTAACAACTTTTTCTCCCCGTTTTACGCGGAACATATTGGAGCTATCAAGGTTTGGACTGTTTAGCCTGATTCTAAACCTTGTATCGTGAGACGCAAAGGCCATTATAATAAAACCAAATAAAATATATATCATAAAGTCAATAAATAGCCTTAAGTTATTTACTACTTATAAAAAATAATATCTAAGTACTTAATACTAAAATTAGTTCTTAGAATAATAATATCAAGGCATTCATAGGCTACAGTAACCGTTTATCATCAGACGGGCTGTATGCTTTTGGCACCTTCGTGATATATAAAAAAATAACATCAATATATTGAAGATATTTTAGTAAAGAACAAACAATGTTACTGCATTCATATATATTACAAAAAGAGCTAGATACTGAAAAGGAAGTTTAATTATTGTCAATATATAATAATTTCCATATTAAATTACATAAGTGTCTCCCGCGTGTCTCACGATACATACGAATATGCATGTCATGGACATTATCATATCAAAATTCAGATTCATCATCATCATTTATATTACATTGCTCATATTCTGTCTGCAAATTTAGAATCAGACTAACTAAGCATTACCAATCATCTTGCATTGCTTGTGGTCATGCTCAAAAACTTCTTTCTAATACCGTCATGTGCCAATCTAAATCGTTCATTTCAATGTATTGTACCCATTATTTATTATGTAGTTTATTCACATTAGTAATATCATTTTAGCTTCTCTTTTTCTTATAATATTAATATTATATTTTTATCTTAGTGTTTTTCTAAACAGCATTAGGGTTGTCCACAAATACTTGTATTTCGATTTGTCTCATGCATGATAGACAGAAACTATTAGTGGAATCAGTCTTTTTCTTCATAAGATACTGATTAATCGACTTAGATACCAATGGACTGTAGTATTATATTATCTATACTATTAATTAATATATAAATTAATTGGTACGTACGTACGATAGATTTCATCGACGGTGTATCAGTAAACATTTATAAAAATGTAATCACCGAACTGTTAATTAAAGCGTTCTTCGTAAGCATAAATTAAAATAATATCTTTCTAAGTGACTAAATATTCTAACGTGTATCTAGATCTGAGATAAGAGAAAAAGATAAATAATAAAAAAATCATTTATAATTAAATATGCTTTTGACTTCAGCCATATTGAACTTTGGTAATTTTAAATTTTATTCTAGGAATAATCTAAAAGTAAAAAAGTGATGAAATTTGCAATAAATTAATAGACAATATGCATTACTATTTTTTTTATCAAAATTAATTGTTGTAAATGACAAAATATTGTGTCTTTTTTACGTCTCCAAATAAATTTCACCTTATAACAAATTTGTATCAAATTCTCAGAAAATTATTATTCATAATAAAAAAAAGAAAAAAAAAAAGAAATAATGCTTTTAATAAAATTTATTAGTCAGTCTGTAAGGTTAATAGACAATAGGTACATTATTAGTTATGATGTATTCTCTATTCCAAAATAGAGACAGAGAATATGCTATTTATATTAAATTTAAATACATAAATGTAACGTTTTTATCATTAGTAAAGAAGTTTTTAATAGTCCAATTTTGTTAATGTTACCTCAGAGGGACACAAAACCTGGCTATTGTGTAAATAAAAAAATATAACCATGAATATTGTCTATGCTCTCACCAGGTGTTTGTGTTCTCTAGAACCGCATACTCTATGATCAAAGAGAGACTAAAAAGCAAAGGCGTTGCTGATATAACTGCCAAGGAGTTGGAAGGATATTTTTCACCTTGGCACGCTAAACATATCGGCCAAATAAAGGTAACACTATTTAGGTATGTCACTTAGTATATTAAAAATAAAGTTTCTGATCTCGATTACATTTAATCGAAGACCGATCTTTATGTAAATGTAGAATATGGATTTTAAATATTTATATGTACAATCAAAGTGTTATTAATAATGTAATAATCAATTTATTTATTTATCTTTTTTTATTATTTATTTTCATTGTATATTTATGTATTTATAATAAAATCTACTTTGTACTGTCCATACATACATGGCTGTAATCATTATTCATGCACTATGCTTTTGAAATTTTCATTATTTCCATCTTATTATATTAGTAAGTGTCTAGATATTAAGATAATCTATTATTGTTAGACATAGCTTATCTATGGTTTTAATGATATTTTTCAACAGTTTTAAAAATAAGAATGGAATTCTTAATTTTGACTGTTAGTTGTTTCTTGTGTATGTTATGATAAAGTTATACCAGAGGGAGACTTTGTACAAAAGTCGATTGCTTGGGTACCTCTGTCCCATTCGTGTTTCAACCGTGAAGCAGTTGTGTTTGCATGGCTGCGTTTCGGTTTGAAGGGTGGGATATGGCGTGAATTTACTGGGTACAGAGGAATAACACCTGAGTCCTCAGGAATGGCAACGCATGGGGGGTATCATGGGCGAAACAGTATACTCTGTTATGTCCATGGTACTGCTCATGTCTATAGGCGACGGTTACCACTTTCCATCAGGTGGGCCGTCAGCTTGTTTGCCATTCTAAGTTCTATAAAAAAAAAAAAAAAAAAAAAAAAAAAAAAAAAAAAAAAAAAAAAAAAAAGTTATAATATGATATCTTAGCTAATAAAATTCTAAACTGATTTTGTTTGATCACTTTGCAATCAATGGATTTTCTACAGAATTGTTCCTAATACTAGATAATTAAGTTAATTTTTGTAAATTATTTGTTATCTATGTTATCCTTACTAATATTAGAAATAAAAAGTGAGTTCACTTGTAAACTCTAGACACCTTAAAGGCGTAACTTATTGTCCTAAAGTTTTGGATATACACAGTTATCGATTTATTTAGTAAGACACTTTATATCCAGTTAATCATATTCAATAATTATCTTACCAGTGGGAGTTGAAATTTGAACTTTAATGACTTAAACTTACATGTCAATATTAATCTGAATTTTATTTCACAGGTCGCCAGCGGCAACAAAACAGTAGAGAACTGGGCAATGAAGCGTTTAAAAGTCCATTACTACATCTTCTCGTACCCGAGCCTCCTCAAACTTCACGGAGAGCCAAATCTGCTACGAAGCCTCGATACTTTATTAGAAAATGAAGCCTTATTACAACTAAATTTAAAGACATTATCGCCTGCTTTTAAGGATGTTAAGAAGAAGAAATGGTTCGAAGAAGTCATAGATAATTATTTAAAACTATGGGAGAGCAATATGTAGTTTGAGAAATACAAAATTGTAGGATAAATAAACTAGCGTAATTACAGTCAATTAAGAGTAAAATCTTCCTATTGCCAACAAATCCATATTAAGGTATACAAAATTAATTGTATAGGTATAAGTAATTATTGATTATTTAAATGTTTTATAATTAGTTATCTACTTATTTTAAATTAATATTTTCGAATCTAATTGATTAGAATTTCATATTTCGAATTTAGAATTAATGTTTAACAAAATATGTTGCCAGCAATATATGACTTCTGCAATTTACCTAATATTCTAGGCACGTAAAAGTATTATTTGGTAATTGCAAATATAAAAAAAAAACTATGTTGATATAAGTATGAAAAAGTATACGTATAAACTTTAGAATTTAGTTTTAAGTACAATTGAAATATTAAAAAAAAATGTACAACTCTGCAGCTAGACTGTGATGACTACGGTGATGGTATAATGGTCAATATGGGTCCTTTACTATTTGCAAATTAATATACATTTCACAAAGTAATATTAGAAAACAAAATGTGATCATAGTTAAGTATTAGCGAAAACAAACTACTTATATATCTAGGTTTAAATAGATAAATGAATATTTTTGTAAATAGTAATAAATAAAATAAAAAGTGCCTTAAACTAATATTTTTAAATAATATAATAATATTTTTCTAAATTTTAATAGTAATGGTAGATCAATAAGTATTTTACAAATTCAGGATATTTTCCATTGTTACGCCCCGTTTCCAAAAACATTGTAATTTATGATATATCGTTGTTACGATTATAGTGACATATACAAGCAAAATCAATGCATACATGTATAAAAGTTGTTATAAACGACGTAAATTTATAAGTGAGTGTTTTACCACTGTAATATAATTTTCCCAAAAAAAAAACCATGTTTGAAAAGAGAAAAAAAGTTATAATATTGCTTCCCATACTAACTTGACAACTGCACGCACACTATTAGTACGGGAGACTTAAAACTTTTTGTCTTATATATTTAATGTTTCTTTGGAAAAAATAATCATGCTCATTGGAAAAATAATCCCATAGTCTGCTTTAATATGACTTAATGAAATAGTAACCAACCTTTTCTCCACAATTGCAGTATCCGCCTTTTCTTTTCTCCTGTAAATTTTTCATTATTTTTTTACTAATTTCCTTTACTCACTCCAAAGTACTTCTCTTTTTCTCTTCTCGCTTCTTTCCTCTACATTTCTATTTTGATGTCAGATATTACGAAAAATGCATTCGCAAGAGAAGTATACGACAGGTTAACGGCCGGTAATAAAAGTTTAAAGCCAAAATCTTGAATGACATTAATAAAAACATATTACGCCGACTTCATATAATTGCGATAAGGTAATAAAACATTAATCTATTATTTTATTAATTTTTTAATTCATTCTTTCTTTCATATAAGGACGAGAGGTTTATGATGGTAAAATAGTAACCAAGTTTTATTGAAAATACCACAGAAACACTCTCTATATGAAATTAGTAATAAATCATAACATTTAACCAATTATTCGACTTTTTTATTTATACTATTAACCATCAAGCAGACTGTCTTATGGTCGGAATTTCATTAAGTCTTCTAGAAATAGACTAAAATAATTACGATTTCTGCTGTATATGATAGAAACGGAGTGTTCACCCCCTCCCCCTCCCAAATAAATCTATTCGGTTGCTAATTAATTGCTTTTTTCTATTAATTTAAAATTGAATGTCACATTAATACATATTTGATTACCAGAATTTTTGTATTAGGGGCTTTTGTATAAGATCTATTTTAATTAATAATAATTATAAATTAATATATGTATATTTGATCCCATTAATATATTTTTACTAGTATTTATTAATAATCTAATAAATTTGTTCAATATTTTATGTAATGTTCTGTATTAAAATCATTTTAAAACTTATGCTCACGCATTTAGGATTGCTAAACGCCCTAAACGCCTAAAAATATAAATACAGACAGTATTTATATTTTTAGTTAGTTATTACTATACTTAAACTCGTATTTTTCATACTGGTAACCCTTCAGGAAAAGGGCAGATGGCAATCCTACATATTTTAATAATAATTAGGGTTTTTTTTTTTAAATAAATGTGCAATATTAGTCATTGATTTATATTTACAAATACAACAAGGGATCAATATCAGAATGCATTTACATTGATGTAAATATTTTTCGAAACATTTATACGAATAAGTGAAAATACAAAATAAATATTTTACGACTGATTATCGTATTTCTTTTTTTCAATGCCAATATCTTACTAATATAATAAAATTGTAACGAAATGATTCTTTTTATATTACTAAGCTGGCAAACAAGCATACGGCCCACCGGATAGTAAGCGGTTGTTGTAGCCTATAAACGCCTGCAATACCAGGGGTATTACGCGCGCGTTGCCGATTCTGAAGAAACCTCTTTACCCCTTTTTTGAAGAAACCCATGCTGTAGTCTCTTAGGAACATCTCGGCAGGGAGCTCATTCCATAACCTGAGTGTTGTAGGAGAAAACATCTCTGAAACTGCTGTCTGTACATAGAAGATATACAAAGAAAATTAATATATGTCTGCTAAAGTAGGGGTACAAACATTTCATTTGCGTTAAATGCATTTACTTGGATACTTTATTTCCCTTATAATAATATCTAATCTATAATATATCCATCCTTCTGAAAAATCAAATCAAATGAAAATATAGATATTTATTATACATTACTTACAGAACACAAATTACAATAAAACATACACATAATACACAGTAAAAGAGATAAAAGAATGAAAAACAAAAAAGCAACAAAAAAACAAAAAGCAGAATATATAAAACAGCAATTTCCTTTTCTTTCCTTTCATGTAAATAATTATTTGTATTATAATTTTTGTAAATACAATTCATATTTGTAATATCATAAGGATTTTATTCCTTTGTTTCAAACCTAAAATATTAAATATAGAATTTTTGCCGGCTTCGATTACATTTATTGTGATTAATTATTGAAAATATAAATTTACTACATTAAAAAAATCATCTTTTTTTTTATACAAATTAGAATGGCAAACAAGCTGACGGCCCACCTGATGGAAAGTGGTAACCGTCGCCTATAGACATAAGCAGTACCATGGACATAACAGAGTATACTGTTTCGCCCATGATACCCCCATGCGTTGCCATTCCTGAGGACTCAGGTGTTATTCTTCTGTACCCAGTAAATTCACGCCATATCCCACCCTTCAAACCGAAACACAGCCGTGCAAACACAACTGCTTCACGGTTGAAACACCAATGGGACAGAGGTACCCAAGCAATCAACTTTTGTACAAAGTCTCCCTCTGGTAAGTTGCTATAGCACTCAGGTATAATATACCTTTCTAACAGTGAAAAACCTCTTTATGATATTAGTTACTAGTATAGTATTATATTGTCTATGGTAGGTATAGATAACAAAATATATCTTATTTCTACAATAGTTAGAAGTGCACGGAAGCCGCGTCAACACACACATTATAGTGGAAGCCATTCATAATGCTGATGTCTACAAGAGATTATTAAGGAACGAGGTCGTTGGCTGAATTATAATCTATTAATTTTATCATAATGTAAAGTGTAAAACTTCCTTTTGTCTGATAGTAAGTCATTCAACTTTACGTTTTTCAACAAAAGATCATAATGGTACTAGAGAAAAATCTAATACAAATGGTATCAACAAAGTTATGTAGAAAAAATTTAAGTATTGCTTATCTGTACGGTGCCTTTAGTTGCAAGAAAGAAAAATAGAGACTTACATATGGAATACAATACCTATATATCAAAATTTTTAGCATTTTTATCGACTTATCTAAAATGTTTGATGAACTAATTTTCCCAATAATTATTTTCTTAAAAAAATTATGCTACTTCTGATACCTTCTTTTAAAATTATAAATAATAAAAATAGTAAAGATGTGTGTTATTTACGTTTATATTGCTAAATGGAGTTTGCAACATACAAAACCTAAAATGAAATGACATGAAATATTTACTTTAAACAGACATTTAACGTAATAAGGACCCTTGCGACAATATTTTTAGCATCTATGTAAGTGCCCTAAAATTGTAGACATGATTGTTATAATTATACAAAATTAATATAAAAAAAAGTTTACATTAATATTATATTATTAAACATTTATTAAATCCTATTTTAACACTGAAGAGATTTTTTACCTATATACCTACCGTAAAGTAACAGTGTACTTCGGATTAAACATAATACCAATTTGAAATACCAACAGTCGTAAATGGTATAAACAATTATGTTCACAACGCTAAAAACTTCACTGTTTTAGTCGTTTTAAGATAAGTTAATTCACACATGTGGCCACAGGTTATCGGAAGGGCGTTTGAACAACGCTGTAGACCTTGATTTTAATTTCAAATACTGCTGGACAAATTCTTCAGATAAAAATTTGTCTGTTCTAAATAATACCATCCAAAGCATATTATGTGTCTATAATATATATAACATATTTTATGTGATTGCATACACCATTATCGTCCACTGCTGAACAAAGGCCTCTGTCAGGGGGAAAGGGTTTGTTAGTAATGGAGACTGGGAATCCCACTGCTAGCAATATACTCAACCAGGTCGACCTCCTCGCGGTTCTCCCTGGAAACTATCATAATTAATTCCTGATGAATTCATCATGATAGGCTAACTGGCCTGTTTTCATTCTCATCTATCACCCTTCACTGGTGCTCCGCCAGCGTATCCCGTTAGCGCAGGCAGGGTTACCATACCATTTTCACCTATAAAAAAGGCCTCTGTCATAAAAGACATAGATAAGGCCACTGTCATAATCAATGTAAATAGACAAGTCAGAAAAAAGATCTCTCCCAATGGATAGCAATATGCAGGTTGACCTGAGTCCTCAGGAATGGCAACGCATGGGGGGTATCATGGGCGAAACAGTATGTGTGTGTACTATTATGTCCATGGTACTGCTCATGTTTAGAGACGACGGTTACCACTTTCCATCAGGAGGGCCGTCAGCTTGTTTGCCATTCTAAGTCGTATAAAAAAAAATCTATAACAATTTAGTGTTATTTTTAATAGTAACAATTAGTAACAACTGAATTTTCTTACTAACTTTTTGCTCGCCACTCCGTAAGCGCGATTTCAATAGTAGTAAAACCAATGAAATAATCCACTTCTATATCAAGATGATGGATACAACGAATTTAAAGTCAGACCTTCACGAATATAACTGCCAAAATCACATCTAATTTGGTGCAGTAGTTTTTCCGTGAAACTAGAACATACATACAAACAGGTAGACAGAATTTATAAAAATTATAACTCCTCATATCAATTTTTTCTCAAATATCTACAATTTACAGATATCATCGAGATACATTTTATTATATTTGTAAGATAAAATGTTCGATATTAAATGTATTACACTAATTTACAATGCCAACACTAATAGACAGATACCTAAATAGCTGTCTGACTTCGCATAATTAAAAAGGCAAATCAACAATATCTGACTATAATAAATCAGATCAGATTTATTAGGTATATTACTATATTAGGTGTTAAAATAGTCGGTATGTTTGTTCGGAAATACGTAATATTTTACCAAGATGATTATCTTTTAGTAACTTTTAGTACTTTTTTTAATGGATTATAATGAAATGGTAACCCCGCCTGCACCAACGGTATATACTGGCGGGACACCAGTGAGGGATGGTGAGTATGAAACAGGTCAATTAGTCCATCATGACTAATTCAACAATAAATCAATTACTATAGTTACGACCAGCTGGGATATATTGCTAGCAATGGGGTTGTTAATCCCAATTACTAACAATCTCTTCTCCCTTCTAGAAAGTTAGGTACTAACATAATATAATATATAAAAACATAATAAAACAAATAAAATAAAATAGCATTTTGCACTGCCCTATAGTGCAAATAAAATCATGGCAGTTGATTGAGCATTCGTTCTAAATCTTGTTTAACATATTTGATTAGGACAACAAATCAACTGAAGATCCAACCCTTTGGATATTAGATGATTACATATGAATTTAATACCCAATTAAGCTATTTATCGCCCTTTATAAACGAACTAACTGTATCCTACGTCATCGCCCAGTTATGTAGTATATATTTTAAAATATAACTCGTGTACTAAATTTCATTCGAATAGTTTCATTAGTACTCGCATGAAAGAATAACAAACACTCTCAAAAACTTTAATTAATTTTATAATAATAATAAATAATAATAATGTTAAATATAAGTGAACTCATATTGCTATTCTGGACATTTGCCACTGGCGCCCCCTAGATGAGACCCAGCTTATAGTTACGTCGACAAAGCAGAACGCAAGTAAGTACCTACCTACATAACGTTGTCTTTTGAACCACACGACAATACCCACTGTTTTCTGAAGAGTATATCATGATATTCCAAGAATAACTGGGTACGAAACACTGTATAGCTTACTTATTTTGATAAATAGCTACCAACTAATCTCTTAGGTCAAGTTCACGATGTTTACTCGAGGTTAACGCTAGCAAAATGTTAAAAAGTATATCAGTCCACGCGGCGCGCCGACACGGAATATTATAATTTATAATACGGAATATAATATTACATTTCTAATAAAATGTTGTTGTTCTATCTCTTTCTAATATTCACATGTGACGTGTGCGTGAGCGAGAAAAGTGATTTAGGATACGGACTCAATATTGGAAATGCTATCGACGTGTTTGCTAAGTATATTCTTGTCTTATTTATTATACCTATATTTGCGCGAAACAATAAGATAATGTAATAATAGTACTTCGTTTAGTAGCGAATTGAAAACAAATGCGACCCTATTTGACATCATATGAACCACTAAGAATAGGACTGTTAGTAATGGAACTAATAGTCCTATTACCAGATTTATACCCTGTCAGGTCGGCCTCCACGCGGTCCTCTATGAAACCATAGTGGTTAATTCATGGTGAATTCGTCACGGTGTGCCAACCGACCAGACTTTATACTCTCCTATCATCTCTCACTAGTACCCCGATATACGGGTATACCAATAGCGCGGGTTAGGACTGTCATTCCAATTAACGTTAAAAACGTTAATGTCCCTCTATTGAGCACGCAGAATTCTATAAGAATTGTATTGTATGGAATATCCTTCATACTATTTATTACTACACTAATATAACGACATGTGGCGTATTACTGGCCATCATAATATTCCTATTATATTTTTCTATTGATTTTTTATCTTTTTTTGTTTTACAATTCTGTCACAGCCTTAATGTTTATATTATATACTCGTAGATAGAGCATCCATCCTCGAAAACGGGTTAACTTTTTGTCAGCTAATTTTTTTATATGTATTTTATATATTTACGCATCAAATGGACCTTGACGTATTATTTAATAAATAAAATTTGTAAGCATTAAAAAAATACAGAATTTATAAGGCAAAATAAATATAGAAATTATAAAGGAATCACTCATAATTATTTATCACACAAAATTGTATGAAAAAGTTAACCCTTTTTTCTCGAAGCATTTCTATGGAGACACTCTATCTATATAATCTAAGCCTTTATGTTTTTCCACTGATGTAGATGAGACAAAAGAAAACTACAATACAATAAGCATTTTGTTTGTTTACTCGTTTCTCTTAAGATATAATGAAGGATTTTCACTTCGGAATTCCCTTCTTCTGTGTTGGTATAGTGTGCCTTGTTCTTTAGTCACCTTTTACAACATCCTATTATAATAAGAAGTAGTGGACACGTATTTTTAGTTGATCCCACCGCGAATATATTTGACAAACTAAATAAAAAAAAAAAAAAAAAACAAGGAGCACTCCACAGTTTAACAACATTCAGGTTTAAATAGACTATGCATCACATTGTTTATGGTATAGTGTAGTATTTAACCCTCCGCCAACCATATAGAACGATATCGTCCGCGCCAAGTTTAGACCTGATGCATATCTTTGTAAGAAAAAAAGGACGATGCCTCGAACTCCTCTGTAAAAAAACTTACATACGCGCGTTTTGAAAGGCGCTTATATGAAGAATAAATCTCCAAAACATTTCTTCTTAAAACTAATTTCAATCCAAGACATCGATTTTTAGTAAAATCTTAGAAATTACGGTTTTTGTAGAGTTTATAAAATTTTATTTCACCAGAGGGTAAAGTATTCAAGTCAAAAACTATGGAAACAAAAAATAGAAATCTAAAACATATTTCCCAATTTTTTGGAATTTTTCCCTACCTTTAAGTAGGTCAAATTATCGTCTGGGACGATATCGTCCGTGACGGTTGACGGTGTGCAAATAAAAACATACAGTTGGCGGAGGGTTAATTAAAGTGTTTGTGTATTGTTTTGTCTCTCTACCACTGGCTATCATTTCTATTTTCAACCGACTTTAAAAAGCAGGAGGTTCTCAATTCTATTGTGTATTTTTGTGTTTGTTACTTCATAAATCTGTCAGTTGTAAACCGATTTTAGAAAATCTTTTTTTATCTGAAAGGATATACTTATGGATTGATCCCATATAAATTATATCAAAATCGATTCAGTTGTTTTGTTTTTAAATCAAAATAACTGGTTTTACCACAATTGAAGTCGGTCTTTTTTTTGTGAAACACAATCTTAATTATTTCTTACTAGAATAAAAACTATTCTATGGCTCAAGTTGGCGTAAACAACATTTACAAAATGTCATTAACATCAGTCGAGCGGCTTCAGAGATTAATAAAAACAAACATCGTGACATGAAAAACTAGAAAAAAATTGTCTTTTTTTCCGGGCAACTTTTATATTATGATTCTTCTGAAAAGCATAAAAGACTTCCTCAGACTTTAACAAATAATTTGAAGAATTGGTCCAGTCGCTCTCAAATTTTGTATTTACCAACACATATAGCGATTCATTTTTATTTAAACATATGGAGTAGTAGAAGCATTTGCAGCACGGTCCATCTTAAAACATCTCTAAAAGCCTAACTTGTGGTTACCAACCCGCCTGCCAAGCGTGGCAACTACTGGCAAAACTGCCCTTAGCTTATTTATTTATTTATTTATTTATTTATTTATTTATTATAAGTTACAACAACAGTTTGCAAACAGAAATTAACCATTAAAAAAACCAAAACAATACAAAAATTTATCAATACGCAGTTTGCCAACCTTACATTGTAAACATCATTTAACACTAAGTTATAAGTAAACGTTATACATTTTTATAGATATACATTATATTACTGATTACAATTATGAACTTATTCTATGCAAAAAAAAAAAAAAAAAACTTATTCCACCTCAAAACATACAATGACCTCTTAAACCCAATAGTACTCTGATGAAAGATATCGATTTTTCCGCTAATTTTATTATACAATTGACACATTCGATGAATGGGATTATTATGTGAGACATTATTATTGGTGGATGGAATACTGAATAGCCGAGGATGTCTGAAAGAATGCTTACACGCAATCAAGTTCAGAGAAGCTGTTAATGATTCATTCAACAATCCATTTGCAATCCTAGAAAGCAAGCACAGATCACCAATTCTACGCCTCGTTTCCAAAGTTAAGAATCCAAAATACTTCATACGTTCCTCATAATCACGTAAATTTTGTTTTAAATGAAATTTCCTTGTAATGTAACGAAGGAAACCAGCTTGTACTGATTCGATTCTATTTATATCTACTTTATATATAGGAGACCAAACTGATGCACAATATTCTAAATTACTCTGAACGAGAGTTTTATACAATATAATAAAAGTGTTCGGCTTTTTAAATGGTTTAGTTGTACGAATTACAAATCCAAGCATTTTTTTAGCTTTATTTACAATAGAATCATAATGCAACTTAAATGACAATGTATTATCAAACCAAACTCCGAGGTCCCTTACTAATTTAGTATGTTTAAGTTTTATATCTTTAATGGTATAATAGTATGATATTGCGTGTTTATTTTTAGTAAATGTAATGTATTGACATTTGTCAATATTAAGAGTCATTAAGTTGTTTTTACACCAATCATCGACAATATCCAAATTATTCTGTAGCTTTTTACAGTCTTTCAAATCACAAATAGTTGAGAACAATTTAATGTCATCTGCGTAAGCCAGACACTGACAAGTAATGGTTTGAAGTAGATCATTAATAAAAAGCAAAAAGAGTAAGGGACCTAGATTCGATCCTTGTGGAACTCCGGATGTCGGTACAAATGGGACAGAATCATAACCATACAGTGCAACCAGTTGAGTTCGGTTCATTAAGTAGGATCTAAGCCAACGATGTAAATTGCCATGAATACCCAAATGTTGAGCCTTTACAAGAAGTATCTCATGATTAACGCGATCAAATGCCTTAGCAAAATCAATATAAATAGCATCCACATGAGTCTTACTGTCAAAAGCCTTGCACAAATAATTAATATATGTTAACAGATTTGTATTTGTAGATTTTCCATTAGTAAAACCATGTTGTTTTTCACTTAATATGTGTTTTAGATGATTGTATAACTGATCATATACCAAAGATTCGAAGGCTTTACTAAACTGACTCAAATTACAAATGGGGCGGTAATTGCATATTTCAGTTTTATTACCCGACTTGTAAATAGGGGTTACCTTAGCTATTTTCCATAAGTCTGGGAAAATTCCTTCTTCCAGCGATTTATTAAATACAATAGTCAATGGTATAGATAATGCAGATGCACAGTAACGGACAAACACCGGAGGTATCCCATCGGGACCAGCACCCTTATTTATATTTATCTTTTTTATATGAGACAAGACTTCTTCTTTAGTAAATTTTAATGTAGTAAAATTATAATTTGATGGTGCAAATGTTGGAGTATAGTTAATGCATGTAGCATTGCTATATGTAGTAGCAAAATATTCAGCGAAAAGATTCGCTACATCAGATCCTGTGCTTGCGGTTCGATCTCCATAAGTGACCATTTTAGGTACATCATTTGTTATTCTTTTACTTTTAGTATAAGACCAGAAGGCTTTAATATTTTTATTTAAATCAGTCTCTATTCTAGATATATATAATTTAAAACATTTATTTAGTGAATTTTTATTACGTGCTCTAAGCATTGAATAAGTATCGTAATCTCTAGGATTTGAATAAAGTTTAAACCTGCGATGGTATTTATTTTGCTCTTTTAGTGCCTTAATGAGTGATTTAGAATACCAAACCGGAAAACGTGAAACTTTCGGTGTCGCTATTGGAGTATGCCTATAAATAATATCCCAAATGTTATTATATAAGAACTGTACGAAATCATTACAATTCATTTGATTTGCATACAACTCCCAATCAACTTTGTTTAGATCTAAAATGCATTTTTCATAATCGGCCTTACGAAAATTAAGCTTAATTTGTGGAGATTCTTCCTTAAGAACAGACGGTATACCTACTGGGACAAATAATTCTAAAGGTGGATGATATGTGTCTATGACACTTAGAGGAACTGCTGTAATAATATTAGAATTCGATGCAAAGTTAGTCAATATAAGATCCAGTATATTATTCGAGCTATTAGTTACATCATTCAATTGCAGAAAATTAAAATCCCCCATGAAACTATTTAACAAAAATGATCTACCACTTGAAACACTAGATGAGGCTGGTAAATTATTATGCCAGCTTATAGTTGGAATATTAAAATCCCCCACAATTACTGTCTTAGTATTATTTCTGGATATATTTGCACAATTATCGAGAAAGCTTGCAAACAGCTCGTTTGGCACATATGATGGTATATATACAGTACACATATTAAATATTATTTTATTTAATTTTATTTGTGTCCATATATCCTCAATAGAGCTCTGCCAATCTGATCGAAATACAACATCTATTCTCTTAGATACGGCCATCAATACTCCACCACCATGACTTTTATTAAATTTATTTTTGAAAGATGCATCTCTATCTCTCCTAAATACACGATATCGATCATCAAACAATTCCGATGAAAAAACAGTGTCATCCAACCAAGTTTCACACAGACAAATTACATCATAATCGCTACTCAGTACAGAATTATATATATCAACACACTTAGATTTCACTCCTCTTACATTCTGAAAATAGATCTTCAAATCCATATACAGATCCGAAATATAATATATAGAAATTAAAAACAAAATAAATAGTTTATTTCATCAACTCTAGTGATTGAATGTTTTTTATGGATATGTAGCGAGTGTTTTCGTCCTTACGGGTGTAAATGCGTCCGTTTCGAACCCAGACGTATTTAAAGAGTTTCTCCTTAGCCTTTAGACGTGCAGCAGCGTGTAAAGCTTTGTTAGCTGGCGAAAGATGTTCGGATACATATACCGCAGTTGTTTCTCCCGGGACACCAATCAATCCTGTATTCAATCTATCATTAGGGTGAGATTTATTGTAACGATGAATGGCCGAGATAAATTCGTCACGTTGACGTGGACTTCTCAGTTTAACAACAATAGAACGTGGTTTTTTGTTATCCTTGTTATATTTAGCCACTCTGGTAACACTTAGGATGTCTCTATTATCCAGTGCATATGATGATACATCAGCAATTTGCTTAATAACAGATAACAAATTTTCAGATTTAGATTCAGTGATTCCGTTTATTTCTAAATTAGATTCCCTGAGACGCTGTTCAAGATCAGAGATTTGGTCAGTGAGTTTCTGTACGTTTTTGCGTGTAACACTATACTCCTCTTCATGTAGTCGATATTTAGCTGATAAGCCTTCTAATTTTTGATAAAATTCTTCGTACCTTTCACTAAGAAAGGTTACAGAATTTTGAAGTTTTTCTAATTGGTTGCTAATTGGAGAGAGATGTGACTTTAATACGTTCTGGATAATTAATGGCAATTCAGACCTAAGAGCTGCAATAATTTCATCCTTTAGGGTATCTCTTGCTGTGCCGCCAACTACAGCCTCCTTCCTATAATTTTCCAAAATTTCCCCTTGATCAGTGTCGTCTTCGTCAGATTCGTTTTGTTTTTTATTGTTATCAGAAGGCGGTTTTAATGGAGTACTTGAATTATCTCCTTTGTGACCTAATTTAGCTATGCAATCAGGGCATGACCATCCTTCTGCTATCTTAGTTGTAGGTAGTACTTTATTGCTTTGAAAATTGACACACAGCTGATGAAAGTCCTTTTTGCATTTAGGGCATTTAACTCTCTGCCGTTTTATTTCTTCATTACATCCTCCACAAATGAATGGCATTTTAGAGATTCAATTCGTAACGTAGAAGAAAAAAACTTTTAAGAAATAATTAAAATATAAAAAAAAAATTAAATATAAAAAAACAATACAAATAAAAACTATAACAAAAATTGCAACACCAAAAGGAAAGAAAAAAGAAAAAAAAAACAGCATTAATAAATGAAAATGGCAAAAAAAGTTTGTCAGGTTTCGATCTTACAACCGTCCAGTCATTTAACTATTGATACAGTAAAAACTATACCAACAAGAATACTGCACGACTTGTTGAAATTACTCAATATATGAAAATGAAGTTCACTATAATTTTGTATGTGGTAGTTAAAGTAAGAAACTGTACTGATACCCTCAAACATTTCACAATTGCGACCGCACTGTATTTCGAAATCCAATATATATAATCACCAGTTATAAGAAAAGAATTATATTTTCACTACACTCAGAATGTTTTTATTAGTCACTTAAGATTACAGCTATAAAAGGGCGAGATGTCGACAGATTCCAGGGCTTGTCCACATTACATCGACAGATCAGTGCGTTCCAAAAAATAGCTTCACTACGATCGGCAATATTGATCTTCAAATTGTGATGAAATATTTAGTTCAGAATTGTAACAGATACACAACTAGTTCAGCTGGTTATCAATACTGCACAGTGATATAACTTTTGCTTACATTTGCAACCGTAAACTCACAGAATTTAATTAATTAACGCAGTGACAATGAACACGTATTTACTTGTAGCCGCCGTGCGGGTAGTCGTGTATATTCAGCAGTGTATAATTAACGACTGAAATGAAAGAAGTACTAGGTATTACATAGTTTTAGATATTATGATATAAGATATAGATTACTATACACTTATATATTATATATATACTTTTTAATAGTATACATTAACCTTCTGGTTATTACTGATAATAAAGATTATCTATCTATATTATTTACGTTATTTTCCAAGAAGGTTTGCATGTACAGATTGCATTTTTCTCTCGTACGAAGACAGGGCTGGTCGCCAATATGATACCTAGATAAAAACACGACATAAAAATAAACACCAACTGTAAATTATATTTTTCAGTTACGGCGATCTATCTCAAGTAACACAAGTGGTGTCGGCTGACTATGAAGATGAGAAACAAGAGCCAACTGTACCGTTCAGCGAGAAGAACATTAGGGTATTCCTAAACGCTACCAGTATAGAAGACAACAGAGAAAACATGTCTAATATAGAAATACAGCTTTGTGAGACCTTCGAGGATCTACTCGACACGTATTTTAGTAATTTCAAAATCGAAGGGTGAGTGTTTTAATTTTTTTTTTTTTTTTTTTTTTTTTTTTTTTTTTTTTTTTTTTAGGAACACAGGGGGCATAGCATGCGGCTCACCTGATGGTAAGTGACTACCGCCTATACTATACTATTGAACTGAGCGAAACAGAAGTTAATAACATACCTGATAGAAAGCAACTCTTTTCCTGAATTTATTTGACTGAAAATTGAACCCAGAAGTTCATTTCCGCACAATAACGTTTGTACTATTACACCAAGGATGTAATAACTATTATTAAATTGTATATATTTATCTAATATATGTAGCAGCCTTGTTTTTTTAATGAGGGCGAATGAACCCCATTTGTACTTTTTTTATGCAACTTAGAATGGCAAACAAACTGACGCCCCACCTAATGAAAGTGGTAACCGTCGTCTATAGACATGAGCAGTACCATGGACATAAGAGTGTACTGTTTCGCCCATGATGCTCCCCCATGCGTTGTCATTCCTGAGGATTCAGGTGTTATTCCTCTGTACCCTGTAAATTCACTGCCATATTTCACCCTTCAAATCAAAACACAGCCATGCAAATACAACTGCTATCGGTATATCTTGACGGGGCACCAATAAAAGATGGTAGGTGAGGATGAAAGCAGGTCAGTAGGTCCCTTGTGACGATTTTATCAATAATTAACTACGATGGTTTCCAGGGATAACCGCGTGAAGATGGACCTATATATTGCTGGCAATATGGCTGTTAAACCCCATTACAAACATTCCCTTTCCCCCTAGCAGTTTTGTTAGCAGTGAAGACTAAACTTAATGAAAGAAAATGAAATAGTTACCCTGTCTGCACTAATGGTATATGCTGACAAAGCACCAGTGAGAATGAAAGAGCAAGTCAATTAGCCTCTCGTGATAAATTCTCTAGCAGTTAAACACGATTGTTTTCAGGATGACTGTGAGGAGATCCACCGAATAAGGTCTAGGGCTACTAACAAATACTGTTACTAACAATCCCTTCTTTCCCGGTAACGGGGGACTAGCAACCCATTGCTAGCAATATACCTCGTCAAACAGACCATGGGAACCATTGGGATTCATTCCTGATGAACTCGTCACTATGGACTAACTGACATGATTTTATACATCATCCCTCACTAGTAATCCCGCCAGCGTACACCAATAGCGGACACGAAGTTACCATCCTATTTTCATTCACAAAAAAATATATATATTTATGTACATATTTATATACATATTTACCATTACACAATGAATGGTTAAAAAGATAGAAGTGTGTGCAAAAAAACCGACTTTCATAGTAACAAAACCAGTTATCTTGATTTAAAAATTATAATACGGATTTTGATAAAATTTCTATGGTGCCAATCTGTGAGTATATTTTTTTAGATAAAAAAAAAAGAATTTTTCAAATCAATTTACATCTAACGAAGTTATAAGGTAACAAACATAAAAAAATACAACCAGATTGACACACTCCTTCTTTCTGAAGTCGGTTGATGATAATGTGATATGACCCTCCCACCATCACAAGTCTAACAACTATACTTGTTTCAGAACAGACAAACCATGGAAAGCTTTTATGGGCGACTGGATATCGGACGAGATATTGCGCACTCTGGGCATAATATACGATGGTAAACCGGACAACTGCTGTTACGTACTTATCAAGCTGACGAAAACGCATAAATCTGTCAAACTTGGCGATTTAACAAACGTCAGTATAAAGGACTACGTCGAGATGGCGATTGGCAAGTTGAACTTCAGCGATCCTGTAGGAGTGAGGAGGTTCATGAAAAGCTATGGGACGCACTATATTGATTCTTATGTTACCGGTAACTTCATATATCAGGTAAATATAAAGTAGCCATTATCAGTAATTCAACGTCATGTGTGCCCCGGCATAGAATGCGCCACCCCTTCCTTTCCCGTGGGTGTCGTAAGAGGCGACTAAGGGAGGGCAAAGAATGGGCAGCAGCGTCCCTCTTAAAACATCTCTAAAAACTTAACTGCGGTTGCCAACCCGCCTGCCAAACGTAGCAACTTCAACGGTGGACAGTTAATGGCTAAAATAATAATACAAAATAATTATCAGTTATTATTGTTTCCGCCGTGAAGCAGCTATGCATGGCTGCGTTTCAGTTTGAAATGATACGGCAGTAATATTACAGGGTACGGAGACATGACACCATAGTCCTCAGAATTACCAACTCATAAAGAGTATCATGTGTAACACAGTGTACTCTGTAATGTCCACAGTACTCTTCATGTCTATAAGCGACGCTTATTACTTCCCATTAGGCTGATAGCCCATGTCAGCTTGCTATTCTAAATATCATACAAAAAAACATAACAAAAACGCCATCAATGTATTTATAAAAATAAACAACAATTTTTAAATTAAACAATACATAAATATACAAGAAAATAAATTGCACGCATAACTCAATCTAGTCGAGTTTACAGTAATTATAATGTACCTACTTATTTCAAGTTTCAAGTGACCATGCAAATTGTAAAATTTGCAGATACGTACTTTGCTATTTGTACATACTGCATTCTACCATTGAAACTGTGCATTTTTCCTAAAAAGACATAGCATAAAAAATTAAATTAAAATTAATTTGATGCGAGCGGTACGTCAATTATTTTTCTTTTTACGATCCATATCTCTTCGAGAATATATTAATTTCTCTGGTTGATTATATAAATCAATAGAAAGAAAGAGAGAGAAGGAAAGAAAAAGAGAGAGAAAGAACAGAAGATAGGAAAATAGGAAGGCAGAAAGAAAGGAAGCGAGGAAGAAAAGAAGAAAGGAAAAGAGAAAATTTTCAATTCCCTGTGTACATAACTAAAAGCTTAACTTATTGTTCCCAGGTGTTCAAGTACAAAAGACCTTGGTACAACATTCTGAAAGCCAAGTTACGTAACTCCCGTCAGACCGGCTCCACCAATTTAAGATTCTTTTTCTCTTCATTCTTTTTAACCCAAGTTGGTGATATCAGGGTACGTTCGTATTTTTATTTCAACTAACCTAAGACATTTTTTATGATTGAAAATAAATAAATTAAACATAGAGAACACCTAGAGAAATATAAACAGTCATATTCATAAATAAAATCATTAAATATATTTTTTTGTATAGTACGGAAATCGAATCCGCAACCATAAGTGAGACTGTGTGTCAAACCCCTACACCACTAAGACCCTAATGAAAAGTTATGATATGTATTGTTGCTAAGTAATTTGACGAACTCTGTGACAGCAGAGAGGTCCTGGGTTCTATTCTCGGTCGACAAAATTTATAGACTCCAATTTTTCTGACAAATTTCTCATGTTGACAGATAGCAAGTGGCAATAAATCAGTAGAAGATTGGGCGCGACGGAACCTCCGCGATGGCCAGTACCTATACTCAAGACCGAGTCTACTGCGTCTACACTACAGCCCAATGTTGGCTTCTAAACTCAATCAGTTCCTTGACAATGGAGCCCTGCTAGGGTTGAGCTTAAAAACATTGAGACCATTATTCAAAGACCGCCGCAAGGGGGAGCTGTACGCTGAGATAGTCGAAAACGACCTGCAGTTATGGGAAATCAATGCGTAATATTTAAACAAAACTGTGATATAATAATGTAACTACAAATTTAGTTTTAATACTATTTGAATATTAAAGATTTTCTGCATAGGAATTCGAATATTTAAATTATGCAATTTCTAATTGATTGAAAGCGATCTATTAGGTACTCTAAGCGCTGATGGAAGCGGACACCTTTGCCTATAAACATGAATGGCACTACTATAGAATATCGGTTTGAAGGGTGGGATATGGCGTGAATTTACTGGGTACTAAGGAATAACACCTGAGTCCTCAGAAATGGCAACGCATGGGGGGTATCATGGGCGAAACAGTATACTCTGTTATGTCCATGGTACCTACTGCTCATGTCTGTAGGCGGCGGTTACCACTTTCCATCAGGTGGGCCGTCAGCTTGCTGGCCATTCTAAGTTGTATAAAAAAAAGAATATCACTTAATAAATTATGATTTTATTTATTTGAAGATTAAAATATATTTTTATGGTACATTTTTTAATCCCCATATCCCCAAAGTACTATTACCGTTTTGTATCTATAGACGACTATGGTTTATACAATAAAAAACGTAACACTGGTTTGAAAATCACAATTTATTCAACAGCTGACTGAATTAAAAATTAATGTTCCATTATTTGTAATGACTGTTTATAATATACTAGTACATATAGTTGACAACACCAATATAATTATAACATATATGAACAGTTTATTTTAACACAAATTAAAGACGAGACGTAGGTACACATACATACATACATAGGTTTACATTTATATATTTTTTATATATTTTTAAAATAAAACTACGTTTCCTTGTAAATCAAACATGATCCCTGAGTGAAGATATCAAATTTTCTATAAAAATTCAAATTCAGCCTTTAGTAGTATCCATCGTCAAATATAGACCAATTGATAGAAACAGTAATAAAAATATCTATACAGCCTTATAATAGGCACCTTAAAGCACGTTACACACGGTGAAGATACTATAATATTTTAGAATATCGTTCCCTTTAAATTGACCGTTGGATACATAATTTCATCTTACATTTCAATCGTATCTTAATATACCAATAAGGCAAATATATCGTAAGACACTAATGTCGTAACACATCATTGTAAGATATAAAAGTCAAATACAAAAGTACACGCGATAGATACTGAAAAGATTTCATATATTAACGTAACTCAGCCGTGTGTGATACCTTAAGATGCAATAATATTCTTAATTCAAAATCAAATATAGCACCTTCACAGTGTGTTAGGTGCTTAACGAATATGTCGGAAATTCGTTAAGACACCTTTCTAAGGCCATATATTCTATAGGTCTCACTGCTTTAGTAATAGAGTGACGAGTAATTCTAAAGAAGAATCCTTAAGGCGAAAAACATGTTCATATTGGAACTCTTTTTGTAATTGTGGGTAGTTATTTCTATCTGAAAGATCCTCGCTATTTGATACGAGCAAGCAATAGGTGATGTCAAAGTAAGGTAGATAGAATTAGGAATGAGTTCTAGTAAGTATGGCGACGATAAAGGCACATATCTTCAATTGATTCAGATACTTAACGAATTACTCTTCACTCGACCAGAATTACTAAACAAACTTAGACAGGTGGCAAACGAATTTATTAGTAGATACTTACCTTTTCTACTCGTCAGCGTACGTCGTATACATCTCATTCTTTCTAATACACCGGATGTTGTTGCTCGTTATATAACATGCCTGCGGTACCGATAACATATCTATCGATCGATTCGTTGGTCACATGTCTAAGAGAGCAGTAATGTACAAGATTTTATGTCTAATGTCATTCATTCGCAAGATAGAACCATTCGAGAAATAATTCAAAGGAGTTTTATTAAAAATTATCAATGCAAAATAAAGATATTGGAGGGTAAGATTCTAACATTCTTTCAATCATTCTTGATGTATATATAATTTAGGTTAAATATACAATTTTTAACCCCCTTAGGGGTCGTGCATTAACCACGTGAGGCTCGTAAAGGATAATATACCAGAATTCTAAATTCGTAATTTTTCACGAATAGAGTCACAAGGGAGAGGAGAGATTATTGAGATACTACGTGTATTTATTTTTTCGGTGAACGCACGATGTCTAAATCGAAAAGTGGCGAGTGACCTCGACTCGCTGTTCAACCTTAATTCCTGTCTGAACATTTTAAAACTTTGCCACAATTACATTACACCTGTATTTAAAGATAAAATATTCTAAAAAATTTTAAGACTTGACACCAAAAAAATACACGTGATTTTAGATAAAACGGGGGTTTGATCTATAACATCACCATTTATCACCAGGGGAGAAGGGGTTAAAAAGTTACTAAAAAAACATCACATGATTAATGGACCCCTTAGATTTATTATTCGTTACAGTAATAATTTATACATACACTTATCGCAAGGGTTTCCTTTCATAATCATTACCTGTATACCATTTCAAATTGTAGAACAAACAATTCATTAATTTTGCTTGCGTGTTGACATGTTAGTTTATCACATTTACTTTTTCAATATCTTATAGATATATTATATTAAAAAAAAAATTGGGTTCTATTAATGACTTACAAAATATTTTTTTTTTTTCTAAAATATAATCATGCCATTTTGTCAAAATCGGCCTAAGACTCCTTTGGAGTGATTTTTGTATTTATATATATATATATATATCTTATAGTTTTAAATTTGGCCATTTGTGTATATATATATGTATAATTTACCCTGCATAACGGTCACTTTGAAAATAATCAATGTAGTTTGTTAAAGAATGATAAAGCATGTAAGTAAAATATTAAATGGGGTGGAAAGGACAGGTTGGCCAAAAAGAAAACAGCTGATTCAGATGAATGGTCTGAATCAGATGGCAGATTAGTTTCCCGCCAAAAATGCAACACAGCCATATAAATAACGATTTTTAGTTTTGATGCCGTGCAATGTATTTGAAATTTTAGTATCCACACGATTCGTGATATGTAGGTATCACGCTGTCAATATCACTTTTTCGTAGGTAGTTTTCGTACACTTATAGCTAGGATACACGCGTATTAGGATTTTAATACGTGTGTTACATTACTGTTTTTTGATATTTCATAGTATTTCACTATAATAATATCATAGATTACATGATTTTAAATGAAAAAAAAAAAAAAACAGGGTAATGTTTGAAATTTTCGAGAATCTTACTGAATTCACTGTTTCCAATTCTTGCCATACTGTCACTTACACCCTGTATAGTCACTGGCCATGTTAAATGTTTATTTAGTACTGTTATTTATCATAATGACATTTTAGCAATTGTATTTTTTTGTATAATTACTCGTATTACATAGATAACTTGTAAAAACTATAACTAAATGCCTTTTGTGCTAACTAAATTGGTGCCTTGTGATACAGGTTCTTCGGATACCCAGTTCAGGCACCAGTTCTCTGCAACTTTAATGTATCTATGGTATTATTATAAATTGTTCATTGTACTCAAAAAGTTGTCAGAAATAAATAAACATTATTATTATTAAATCATAATTACTACGAGTATTCGAGCCCAATTAATAGTAAGTAATTAATTGCAATCACTAGTTACTAAATAATACTATAATTACTAACAATATAAAAATATGCAACTATTAATGAACAAAACTCTAAAGACAAACATGGAAGAAAATGCCTTGTTTAAAATAATTTGTAATGAGATCTGCTCTACCGCCCTCTATTGGGATCTATACGAAATATTATCACAACCTTTCCTACGTACTGATATTAATTTCTTTTTTATCAATAATTTGATATCATTTGGGACATTGTATTATTAATCCATCATAACTGAGTAACAGAAATAGCCTGAAAAACATAGGTTAATTTTTATACTTTAAAAAAAAAAACCAGCATGACGAAATGCGATTGGGGTCATCACATCAACAAAGGAAGCCCGACTTCAATATTGAAAACTAGTGTTTCCTGCGACACTACCCGCGTTAATTATAATAAGAAGTGCCTTATATATTAATCCAGTATAATTATAGTCATTCATAAACATACAAATATCCAAACATTTAAACATACAAACATGTATTTTTTTTTTTACTATCATGTTGCATTATTTATGCCCACGTGAATTATAGTAATAGAAAATGACCTATGTGTTAATCCAGTATAATCATACAAACCATCATAAACATACAAACATCCAAACACTTAAACATACAAACATGTATTTTTTTACTATCACATTGCATTATGTCCGCATGAATTATAATAATAGAAAGTGACTTATGTGTTAATCCAGTATAATTATGGCCATAATAAACATACAAACATCCAAACACTTAAACATACAAACATGTATATTAACTTTTCGATTATCACGCTGTATGGTTTATGCCCTTAATTGTTATGTGTTCATCCAGTATAATTATGGCCATCATTAACATACAAACACACAAATATGTATATTATCTTTTAGACTTTCGCATTGCATTATGGTTTATAATAAAAGGGTTATGATTGCGTTAATTCCCGTCTCTTATAAATCACACAAACATCTAAACATACAAACATTTAAACATACAAACATGTAAACATACAAACATGTAAACATACAAACATGCAAACATACAAACACCTTTACAAACTTTCACATTTATAATATCAGTAGAATTTAGCTTCAATATTGAGAATGTATTTGTAGGAAGCAATTTTATGTGTATTTTTTTTTATTTACGTAAATCAAAATTGAGATGTCACGGGAAACAAGAGCATTTCTTTTTAGACTTTTTTTTAGAATTGAGATAATTGATAAGCAAATAGATTATAGTAGAGCATTGAAAACCGCGCAGTATCGCGCGTTCAATGAAAAAATAACACATTTTAGTTCCTGTCTTATACATACTCAGTGCGGAAGTAGCATATATTTCAGCCCATAAGATATTATTTCACTTATCCTTTTTTTTTTTATTACGAGGTTATATTTAACTTGCAATATATGTTAGTTTGTTTAGATAAAATTTTGCAAACCCAATTAGAATCAGTTCCTTCTAAGTAACTTTGTTGAAATAATGCATATCCATTAATTTTGATGACAATTTAATGTTTAATATTATAATATTTTCAACAAGGCAACTGCCACAAGATGGCAGATAGCTTTTTTTTTAATCTCGTTAATATAGGTATCAAATGAAAGAGATTGAAAAATAAGTTGCAGGATATCATTATAAAATGGCCACAACCACAAAATGGCGGAATATACTATAAAGGCTTGTATTTAAAAATATTTAACGCCAAACGTCATACCACATCAACGTGTAAACACCAATATCTCCTAACTAACATTTATAAAATGGATATAGATTTTTTCCTAACATACATAATTTTTGTTTCTATATTATATAGACAAATATTTTTACTTCAATATGTTGAAAATTTATCGTAAAATCGATTACTGTTTATTTTCATTTTATTTGAAATACATTCAGAATTAAGAATTATTCTGTCTCCTATAAAATTTTATTCATGTTAATTAGGAGCTATTGTTAAACGTCACCATGTTATAAAAGGCCGATCATAGCGACCGGCACGGTCATTGGTTCCTAATGACCTCCATGGTATACCTGGGTCACTGTATCTCGTACGTGCTCGTCACTTTGGTGCACGCGAACTGGTTGCGTCCCACACGCTTGCCGTTCACCAACATTGACATCGGATTATTGACGCGGATCGATTTGAAGTTGTATGTCTGTAAATATTTTATAATAATAATATTTAAATACTGCCACAGAGCATGTAATCGCTATGTTATTTAAAATTCAAAGAATTGGTTGCATAGATAAATAGATACTCTGTATATTGTTTCCTCCGTAAGATTACAATAGTAAACTTATACAAATACAAACAATTACAAGAAAAAATTACATAGCAACCTAGATAGATATCATACAAACGTTCTTTTGGTCGAAATAAAGTGCGTGTCTCAACTTGTGTATGTATCAAACGCACTCTTTTGAAATGGTTACATTTAAAACAACCGTATGGGGCTCGACTTGAGAGTCGATGTAAATACCAAACACAACACCTGGTATTGTTTTTGGGAATTCTTCTATTTTTATATAGAAAATTGAAATCGAAATTTTGCCATAGGCAATTAGGCTCCATTACACCTAATTTAAAGTACACAATGGGCAAGCACAAACTTTCCACATAGTTTCATTTAGTTAACAAAAAAAAAATAGTACAAAAGGTGGGCTTTACACTAGTAATCTACTAACTACTACTAAACTATATATATGGTATAGGATATTATTTTTAGTTTTCCTTCTATTACAATAAAAAAGTTTTTACGCATTATATTTGTACTCTACTGCCACATAGAAAAAATACATGAAACCAGTTACCGCTAACGGGGAGTCGAACTTGTGCTCCCGCAGTTGAGGCTCCGGTATAGAAACAATATCCCCAATGATAGCGCCACGGCCGTCCGCCCAGTTGTACACCGTCACGCAGACACACTCCATACTCTCGTCCACTATTGCGAATGTGCTGTAAAAAATAACAATTATACTTTACTAGTTTTTCCTCGTGACTTCGTCTGCGTGACTAGAATATGTTCACTAACCAGGACAAATAGTGGTTTTTATCACCTTCACCTCATATAACACATGTCATACCAAATATCAGCAGGTGGCTCAGGACTAATCAGATAATCTATAGAAGAGGCCTATGTCCAGCAGTGGACAGATATCAACTGAGATGATGATGCTGATGATACCAAATTTCAGAGTATTAAAATAAGCTGTTAAGGCACTAAGAGGTAACAAACAAGCTCACTTTCGTATTTATAATATTAGTAAGAATTAGTACTATCTTCAATCACACCCTTGCCATCTTTTTTTTAATGCAACTTAGAATGCTGAACAAGCTGATGATCCACCTGATAAAATAACCATTGGTTGAATTGTTAAGGTATATACACGATATACGAGACGATTTCTTTAATAATAATCTATATATATATATATATATATATAGATATATATATATATATATATATATATATATATATATATATATATATATATATATATATATATATATATACATATACGATAATACTATGAAAGTATCTGGAATGGACAAAATGGTCGATATTTTTATACTCCTTTTTTCCCCTATAAGCAACTTTTCCCAATTTCCCAATAAGATTTTTTTTATTGAAACTGGTTCAAATGAGTTGCCTATATAGAGTGTTCACTGTACTATTTGTTTATAAGAATAATAATGCAATGCAAACTAACAAGGGCACGGCGTTGTCGTTGTGTATGGAGCCGACGACGACCCCCAGAGCGGTGCCGACGTTGTGTCCGGGCAGAAGTTGCGATAATTGCACCCGCGCTGGCCCAATCGATGTATCGTCTATTGACTGAAAATTATAGATAAATACATTGTAGAAGGTTTTTAAGACCGTGTGATCCCAGCATAGAATAACCTACCCCTTTCTCGTGAATATCATAAAAGGTGAATAAGAGAACTTAATGGTCGTGGCAGCAATGTCACTTAAAACATCACCAAAACCTAACTTATTAACACGGGAATAAACCTACAAAAGTATAACTTCAATTATAATAACATTGAAATGAGAAGTACATGAAAGCTTTAACGATTGCAAAAATAATATTATTTTTATATAAATAAAGAGAAGTGAATATTATGTATTAATAAGGGGGGGGGGGGGCAGTTCAGATTTTTCTAGTGCCCACCCCAGGATCAAGAACGAAGCCTTCAGCCGAGTTAATATTAGATTAAGATTAAGAGTAAATAAAGCAACTTTTTGAAAAAACCAGGCCCATCTGGAAATTGACCTAAATTTGAATTAAATACGCATATGTTGAAAATAAAACTGTCAATTGACTTCCTTTATACTGTTAATTTTTTCAATAAGTTATTTAAAGAAAAAAAAAACTATAGAAAATAACAAATTCAAACCTGCACCATCTGTGTCAATTTCTTTGTCTTAATCTTCCCTTTAGTTCGAACTAGTTCATTGGCACTGTTCAGGTACTGCGTCAGACGCGTCAACTCTACTCGTGGCGTCTCCCATGGTGGGTCCAGCTGGCATGCGTACTCGAAATTCTCCAAAGCCTCCGAATAATACTCTTCATACTTTAAAGCCTAGAATATTTTTAAATAATTACATATGATAACCAACAAAATTACAGAATCCAGATTGAAATATTTGAAATTGTGAAGTACCTCTTCTGAATACAAAGATATGGCTAAATATCAATGAGTAGGAAGACATATCTATATAAAAAGTAATGACGCTGCGTAATTAGATTTTATTGTGATTAAAGGAATAAAGTTAAAGGAGCAAGATAAAAAATATTATAGAAAAATGTTACACTGCAGAGTCAATTGATGAAATTATCATGACACCCATGTCAGATGATTTGTCTTTACAGTTTTAATTTTTTAAATTTACAAATACAGTTTTTCAGGATATAGAAAAGTTCAAAAGATGGGTATAAAATATGTGATGGCAACAGAAACACCACATTTTATTCAATAGAATCATCAAATTATTACCATTATATCATAAAATATTTACTTACAATTCCCTTATTGTAATACAAATCTGGCTGACCCTTAGCAATAGGATCTAAGCAGGCTTGCTTGTATGCACTCATGCATGACTTTAACGTAGCTGGGTCCTGTGCTACCACAAAGAATTGACATAAATATGCATTTCCTAATACTGCCCATGATACACCATCTTTAATATCCTGCGCTACTGCCTCTTTAGCTAATTCAACACTCTTGAGAATAGCTGGAGTGGCTTCCCCACGTTTTTTATCCCCACTTTCTTGGCGGAGTATTATTGATAGACAGCGGAGAGAAAAGCGATTTCGTTCCTGCAATTTAAGAAAGCGAGATATAAAATGTTTTGAATGAAAACATTTTTTTATGAGTGAGAATGAAATGGTAGTATGGCCTGTGTTATCAGTTAACGCGTTGGTCACCAATGAGGGATGTGAGAGAGGTGAGGATGAAAGAACGGAATAAACGGCATGGTTTTGGGTTCATCTTATAGGGTATATTGCTAATAATGGGATTGTTAGACTCCATTATTAACAATCCTTTTCCCCCCAAATGAAAATATTACCTTGTATTTACCATTTAGTTACATACACTTCATAATTTATTATAAACTAGCGGCCCGTCCCGGCTTCACACGGGTGAACATTTTTACATTTTAAAAAGTGGCCATTAAGGCTGCACACGCGACGGAAAGTTAAAAATGGAGTAACTTCTCCCGTTTTCCTAACATTTCCCTTCACTGCTCTACTCCTATTGATCGTAGCGTGATGAAAAGTATACTATAACCTGCCTATGAGTATGAAGAATAATTGTACCAATTTTCGTTAAAATCCGTCGAGTGGTTTTTGTTTCTATAACGAACATACAGACAGACAAACAAAAATTTTACTGATTGCATTTTAGGCATTAGTATCGATCAATAATCACCTCCTGATAATTATTTTGGAAATATATTTCATGTACAGAATTGACCTCTCTACAGATTTATTATAAGAATATAGATACAGAACGTTTTCAAAACTTGTATAAAAAAGGTAGTTTCACATAAAAATTAATAGGACATAAAAGCAAAGAACTTACATGTTTCAGTGCACCTTCAAAGCTAGCTTTAGCCTCCTTGACATTCATATTTTTCCAGTAACTTTCTCCAAGTTCATTCCATGCATCCACCAAGTGAGGATTCAATTTCACTGCCTTACTGAGACACTGTGTTGCTCGAGAATCATATGTTGGGCTTATATTGTATAATCGGCCCTTTAGATAAAGAAAATGGGCACGAAGAGCAGTAGGTACTTGGGTATCAACTGCAAAAGTTAAAAAAATTCTAAGATTAACAAATTCAACTCTTTGAATTGAGATTTTTGTGTCCTGTGGGGGTTGAACATGCCAAAAAAACTAATGGAGAGGAAATATCTTTAACTGTTTTACTATACTATCTGACCATCACGGTAAATGTCATCAAACAAATATTAACTGAGTGACAGCCTGGGAAGTGGTAACCATCACCTATAGACATGAACAGTACCATGGACATAACAGAGCATACTGTGTCACCCATGATTCCCTTCATGCATTGCCATTCCTGAGAATCAAGGTGCCTCTGTATATTTTAATGCCATATTAGGATATGGCAGTTTTCTGTTTACTTTTGATTCTGATCAGCTAGATTTACCCTTTACCTTATAATTTCTTATACAACTATAAAATTTTAATACAATAAAACCACAACTTCATTCCTTCATGACTGAGGAAAAAGCAAATAGCAGTCTGATATGTCCTTCCCCATATGAAAATTCTATAATGATTGGTTAAACTATTAAGAAGCTAAGAAGTAACAAGTAAACAAACTTAATTTCACATTTAATCCTTCTGTGCATGATTTTTTTTATTGGTGAAATAAATCAAGGTGATATAATTCATGTTCAAAATTGATGGAAAAATAGTTAAAAAATAAATATAACAACTACGTTTTTTTTGCTGCAATAGATATTAAAAAGGTATCCAGACAGGATCAACCTGAAGTGAAATTGTTCTTTTATATAATTTTTGAGCATTCAATATTATGATGAAAATTTCCACCAGTATGCAAAGGTTAAAATATTATTTATAATTATATAATATAAATATTATTTCACTCATAAATTTAAATAAAAATAATTCAAATCATCATAGTCGTAGAATACTGACGAATATATATATTTAATATTTGTCAGATCCGTCAGTATTCTATGACTATGATGAAATATTTGGAATGCTTACCATCAATAACCTCAAATTTTTCAATCAATACATTTTTCTTCTCTTCAACACATTGATTTTTCTTTGAAGCCATCTCAATAGGATGATTCTCAAAAAACAAATCTCTGAATGTATATAGTTCCTTCAAGTCATTCTATGAACAAAAAATATATCAAAATTATTTAATACACTCATATTTACAGTTTCTATTGTACAATATCATATAAAAGATTAAATCAAATCAAGTTACAACATACCTAGTTACTTGTAAAAAAAAATTATGCTTACTATATACATATAGATATTATAAACAAAGATAGTCTAAAAACAATTTTGAAATCTGAGTTTTATTGCTATAAATAGATAGTTAATCAGAATTCCAAATATGTATTATTTAATAACATAAATCCTATATTTTTAATAATAGTTGAAATTATAAAGTTGTAGAACAATAAAAAGGATCAGCGGTTTAGCTTTAGGTTCATTGAAGTAAAGATCATAGGTAGGAATAGTATTGAGAAGCCTAATTTTTTTACATAAAGGAAAATTATATCAAGAAATTTTTAATAATATGTGTCACTACTTAACAGCCTCTTAATTAAACTCATTACCTTTTTTTTTATACCACTGAGGTGGCAAACAAGTATATGGCCCACCTGATAGTAAGCAGTTACCGTAGCCTATGAACACCTACAATACCAGGGTATCACGCGCGCATTGCTGACCCTGAAGAAACCTATTTACCCCCCTTTTGAAGAACCCCATGCTGTAGTGCCCCATGCTTGGAAAAACCTCAGCAGTGAGCTCATTCCATAACCTGAGTGTTTTGTGGGAGAAAACATCTCTGAAACCGCGTTGTATGTGACCATTTAGGCTGTAAAGTATGAAGGTGAACTCCCTGTCGATAGCGATTTCAACCAATTCATTGACAAGTGTATGTTATTTCTTATAAAAGCAATAATATATATATCCAAACCACCTGCAAATGTAACTTATTTTATTTTTTAAATTGTCACTCCACCTTTTGCGATGTCACTTTGTTTATAGTGGTCACCTATCTTCTGTACTATTGGCACTTCAACTCCCGAGAAAAATGTTAGAAAATTACGAAAATATATTAATGTACCTCAAGTTCATCCTTGAGTTCAGATACATTTTCCAAAATTTCCGCTTCATCCTCCGAATCGTGCGACATGATAGTATTAATCTACGACGTACAAACTTAAAGAAAAACTAAAATTATTGTTTATAAAAATAAATTTACGATATTAAATCTAAATGATCGATTGAACGATATGTTACATTATTCATTAAGATTTGTGAAAATGCAAATAAAATTAAAATAACTTTTTCCTTCTTTTTTTTTACTTAAGAAATCTATTTTTCACATAGATTAATTTATTTATATAAAATATTACAAAAATTGCAAATGTAAAAAACGCGGATATCTATAGCTCCATAATAGTATATTTATATTGTACCCAAAGAGTTTTTTTTTTTTTTTCGTTTATTGTGACTTTGGCGAAAGCCATCAGCCAAAAAGTAACAATTACAAGGTAACAATATAAAATTACAAGACAAATTACAAAAATTATTATAGTTATAAATTAATTATAATATACTAAGAAAGTAAGTTAAGTAGAAAAGTATAAGTTACAATTACATATTTAAATTTCACCAATTGATGAAAAATTTCTTGGTACAAAATGGTATGTTTTAGTAGATCCTGCACTGAAGTAGGAATATTTTGACATTTTATTAAATCTTGACATTGACAAATAAAAAGTAACCGTTGAAGTGAGAATTTAGGACAAACAAAAGAAAATATGATCCAAATTAGAAAAAATGTTTTGGCAGTATTTACAGATAGAATTATCCAATAAATTAATACGTTGCAAATGTGCAGGAAATTTACAATGACCTATCTGCAATCTACTTAATATAGTATAACCAGACAATTTACAGATTTTGTTAGAATCAAGCCAAGTTTCATTTAGTAAAATGATATCAAAATGTGATGTAAAGTTGTAAATAAAGTTTTTAAATTGAAATATTTTAGACAGAAAGCGTCTTGAGTTTCAATGAACAATATTAATTTCATTTAAAGATGTAATGGTCATGTTGAAAAATTAGATATGAGTATTTCCTTAATTAATTTAGATGAAATTGTATCAGAATTAGTTTGAGCTTTCTTAACTAGCTCAATAACAGTCTTAGTAATTGTGTTGAGTACAATGTCTGAGTTAATGATGTCAATAACTAATGCCCTTTTTTGAGGAGATTTATTTTGCGTTGGGCTGTTAATAGACACAGGGGTATTTGAATTAATTACAGAGTTAACCGATTTTGAAGTCACTGATGCATAAGATGTTTTGCCTAGAATTTTATCTTTGATTTGAGACAATTTCATCGATTTAGTGGGACAGCTATTAGATACTGCTACATGTTGTCCATTACAATTAACACATTTAGGATTGTCTTTGTTGATACAAGATCTATAATCATGGGCACCGGCACATATGGAACAAACTTGCTTACTTCTGCAGGAACTGCTTCCATGACCAAATTTGTAACAAGTGAAGCATTGGAGTAGAGGTCTAATGAATTCACGCACATCCAGCCAAATATGGTCATACGTTACGTGATCAGGTCGCTGCGTAGAGAGGAAAGTTACTAAAACTGTAGGAAGAGGATGAAAACTTCCATCTTCTTTCTTTTTTTTGAAACGTTTAACACCGATGATGTCTACAGTAGATTTTAGGTTATTTAAGAGATCTTCCTCAGATATTTCAGTAGGAGCTCTTATAACTCCCTGAGATTCCAGCTGATTATTGGGTATCCTAGCCTGAAGTTTATGTTTCTCTAATAAATCTTTATTTAATAAAAATTCGTTAGCCTGTTTCATTGATCGAAAACATATTTTGAATGCAGTAGAACCCATAGTACGAATATAGAATACACCAGGTACAGTCCTCAGAATAGAATTGACTTGCAATAAGTTTACATTGTTGCCCTCAATAGGAGACAACAGGATAAAATATTCATTTTTAGTAGTGTCAGAATATAGGTAATTTTGATCTTTAAACAGTCCTCTTTTTGAGTGAGTAAATTTAATACTCATCTTAGCATCTGGCTCTTCATCAGATATGGAAGTATTTTTTTTTCTTCTTTTTAACTTGCCTCCGCTTGACTCGCACATATCCTCTAACAACACACGAGGGCTTAAATTGGAGAAATAAGTAAAAGAAACTAGGAGAAGCAACAAATATTAAACAAATAAAATGAATTTAAAATTTCCGCCCTCGCGTTACAAGTTTTCCCCTTTATAGATGTCAAGCTTTCTATTTGCGTTTAGAAACACATAAGAACCGTTCAAAATAGCGAAATTACTAATTAACAGTTAGATGAATTATCCAGTTACCCTAAGAACATCCAAAATCTTTGCAATTATTTGCTGTTAATCTTCATTTTTAACTTATTTATTTTATATTACTAGGACCGCAGTAAAATCTCTATATCGGCAATTAGTAAAAAGAGAACGAAAGATACACCATCAGTTGCTATTTTTCTCAATTCATAGCAGACAAGTGTGTAGAAAATGTGTATGAAAACTTTTTGTTCATTTACATTACTAGATTATATATTCGACACTACCCAAAGAGTACATAACCAAGACATAAAAGAGCGCACTTCATACAAGTTATGTACAAGGACTTGGTCAGAAACATCTTACCAATCTATACAAATCCTTCTTTTTTTAGTTATGTTGGCCAGCCTGTTGTTTAAAATGGAAACGAAACGAACTTAGATTATATAGATAGAGCATACCAAAACTTTTCAATACAGAACTGAAACTTAAGGAAGAAGTAAAGTACCTTGACATTAAACAAAATTTTGACTATATACTTTTGACTAATATTTGACTATAATTTTGACTATATATTTTAAATATAAACTAAACAAAAGCACAATTGCATTCTACCAGTGCAAAAAGATGCTAGAAAATAAATGGCGTCTTTCGCCAAAAATAACTCTATAGTTATACAGAGCTGTAATCAGGCCAATGTTGGTCCATAGTGCGCTGGTTTGGTGGACGAGGACAAAACTATCGACCACTGCCGCCAAACTAAAAAGCTTTCAGAGACTGGTTTGTTCTTCTGTCAGCGGCTGCATGAAAACAGCTCCTACAACAGCAATAGAGTTGGCCCTCAACATAACACCCCTAGACCTGCACATACAGCAAGAAGCGGCCTTAGCCGCTATCCGACTAATGCATCTGGATCTATGGGGTAAAAATCACAACAGTCCCCATACTTCTATTCTGAATCAGGCAATGGAATATGAACTATTGATTACGGCTCCATGAGAAAGGACTCATAATCATCACATATTCAACAAAAAAATATCAAGTACAAATAAAAGAAAAGGACCAATCTGGAGTACCTAAATTACGCATATACACCGTCCAAAACTGAGAACGGAGTCTTTTCCTTAGACCTTAATATAAACATACACATACCGCTTGGCGTACACAGCTCAATATTCCAATGCGGATGTATAGCAATAACCGAGGCTGCTGCAGCTGTACATAAGCTAGGAATAAATGGTATTGGCATTAGATTCTTATCTGATAGCGTAGCGATACTAAAAGCACTATGAAACCACAAGACAAACAACAAATTAATAATTGAATGCCACCATTCACTGATTAAAATATCTTCCAATAACCGAGTTATCCTCCAGTGGATAAGAGGGCACAGTGGATCTTATGGTAACGATGCCGCAGATGAACTAGCTAGAAGAGGCTCAGGAACGAGGGTGGCAGGCCCGTATCAAACAACCGTACAAAGTTGGATACAGGCTACTGATTGCAGACAATCAAAATTGAATCGACGATTGAAACGTTGAATCAACGATTATCAAAACGTTTGTTACATCTAGATAGAAAAAATCTCAAAATAATGATAAGGACAATAACGGGACATTGCCCATTAAACAAACATACACAATAGGAGCCACAGACAGCCCTCTATGTCGAGGCTGTTTCGACGCCGAAGAAACGACTACTCACGTAATCCCGGAATGTGAGGCTGTGGCCCATCAACATTTAGATATCTTCAGAACGGCGAGGTCGCTCCATGAAGCCTGTGAAGATCCCAGGAAGCTTTTGTGCTTCTGGGCGGAGCTGGGTTGGCTTTATTAGCCACGACTTATACGCACAATGGCCCTAAAGAGAGGCTAAGCGCGGAAAAGAGAGTCCAATTTACATTACATTACATTAGATAGAAAATCTAGTGTAATGTAATGTAATGTATCTAGTCTCAAAAAAGGGTTAATTTTTGTCAGCTAATCGTCAAATTTGCTGACTCCTTTTTTATTAGTTTTCTATATACTTGCGCATATAATGTACCTTGGCGTATCTATATTTAATTATTTAATAAATAAAATGAGTTTGTTGGATAAAAAAAAAGGGTGAAGGAACAAATCTGATTCACGTAGTCCCCGCGTGTAGGTCTTTTGTACGCGTTCTCGTTTTCTCTTCAAATTAATCAACACTTTTGTTGATTTGATAAGTATCACTGTATGTTGCGCGGAGATTGCGGCTGATAGAATAATTCGCAACTGACAGAGATTTTTCATGATTTTGGCGGAACTTGATCAGATCGACGCACAGTTGGATTATAGACTGATTTTGTCCATCTACTCCCCAATATGATCCCAGATTTGATAGGGATTATGGATATTGGAGGAGGGTGGAAGGATATTGCGTTCGGAAATGTTAATGAATATACAAATGATGAGATTATATTTACCAGAGTTTTTATGCACTAAAAAGGTGCAAAAATTATAAAATAAAATAAATATAGAAGTTATAAAAGTTACAAAAGTCGATTGCTTGGGTACCTCTGTCCCATTCGTGTTTCAACCGTGAAGCAGCTGTGTTTGCATGGCTGTATTTAGGTTTAAAGTATGGGATATGGCGTGAATTTACTGGGTACAGAGGAATAACACCTGAGTTCTCAGGAATAGCAACGCATGGGAGGTATCATGGGCGAAATAGTATACTCTGTTATGTCCATGGTACTGCTCATGTCTATAGGCGACGGTTACCACTTTCCATCAGGTGGGTCGTCAGGTTGTTTGCCATTCTAAATTGTATAAAAAAAATATCACGCAAAATTGTATGAAAAAGTTGGCCCATTTTTCTCGAAGTATTTGTATGAAGTCACTGTATCTATATAATCTAAGGATTATAATTATATTATAGTTTGATAGTATACTATCATTTATAAATGAGAATTATGTAGTAAAAGAAATATATAAATTTTATGTCAGTATGCATATTCCGATAAACATTTTTTAATACAAATAAAACAAAATATAACATTCTTAAATATTGGTCCTTAAACAAAAATATTGTGAAGTGTGATGCAAATGGCTACGATTTAAACTATTTGTGGAACAGTTTTAGCTTTGTGTTTCATATTTCTTTTTATTTTGACGTAGAATTTTTTTTTGTACATCTTAGAATGGCAAACTAAAACAAAAAAAAAAAAATACGGAGAGTGTTGAAAACTTATGTTTACTATTAAAAATTTAAGAATATTTTTTTTTTATTTTTGCTAAGAAATATAATTCTTTTATTACATGATTCGTGTTTCTATTATCAAAGTATATTGTAGTTAAATAAATAATAAATTATAATAAATAAATAAATATAAATAATAAATTATAGTAATTATAATCTATTTGTTTCCATTTTGAACAACAAGCAAAAAATCTTCCTCTTTCTCGTTATCCAACATAACGAGGAAAAGGAAGATATTTTTTGTGTAGATTGGTGAGATATTCCTGTCCAAGCCGATGTATGTAGCTTGTATGAAGTGCGTACTCTTGTACCTTGGTTATATACTGTTTGGACTTGAACTTCTTGTTATTTTAATGACCATTATAAACTAGTTTTCATATAAATTGAAGTCAAAATTATTATAATTTTAAATTCATAAAACAGTAATTCTGCGAAATTATCAAATTATAATATTAGCTTAAGTTCATTAAAATTATTAAATATACAGACTACAATGACAAACCATCTTCCAATCTTTCAATAAAAACACCGTAAAAAATTCCTTTCAAAATAACGGTATTATTTATGGCACATTTTTTACTAAAATTTATATTTTTGTGTGTTGTGTATCAATTTGAAGAAAATATTTTTGACATTAAGGTAAAAATAAAAAATCGGACTTGGCAACCCTGATATTTGCATTATCTAGTTTTTATCTTTGTTTGAAAAATATTTTTTATCTTTATTAAGTGAACATTTTGTTTTCATTTTTTTTAAATGTTATTCGTAATGTTCGTACTTTATTTTTAAAAGGGACTTCCCTATTTAATTATAAATTTTAATCCATACCTAATTTTTGTACAATCATAGAGAAGTTCGTTATTATTCTCTTCTGTTCCCTATCCTATAAACATTCAAATAGATTATGTATTCTTTCAGAATATGAAACCTTCGTCTAATTAGTTCTGGTGGTAAATTATAAAATCCACTGTTATACATACATATCTGTCACGCCAGTTTACCTTTAGAGTAGGCAGAGCTGTTGTATTACAGAAATACATCGACTATTTCTGTATCTTTCTGCTCTATGGAATTATTAAAACAATGGCACACTATGAAGATATAGTTGAAGAAAATGGTGAACTTAAGTGTATACTGTGTATGGATCGGATACCTGACAACAAAAGTTGTATTGAAGATCATTTAAATGGCGATAAACATAAACATCAAATTGTTCAAAAGGTATTGGTAAAAAATGGTATGGTTTTCAATAATAACAATATTAGCTGTTTGCTTTGTAATCAGACTAATATACCATTACTAAATGGTGGATATCATATAAACAACAGTTCAGTCCATCAAAAGCTTTTGGAACAAATTAAAGAGATTGTTGAAAAAGATGGTGCATTTCTCAATTTACCAAATGATGTGAATAATGATAAGGTCCATTGTTTAATATGTGATGTTTATTTTTCTTTCAATTTGTATAATATTGAAAATCATATAAATTCAGATTTACACAGAAGAGCTCGATCGATTGTAGTCCAACCATTGAATGGAATTTTCTCCGTGGAAGATAGTGATGGAGACCTTTGGTGTAAGATCTGCCCAACATACTTTGGTAATTATATAGAAGCTATATTTCAACATGTCGACAATGATAAGAATCATAAGTTGGAACTTCGTAAGCTTTTAAAATTGGTAGAAGGGCAGAACATAAGTATAGAGAAATTTTTAATTGATCCTAAAGAATATAATGCTATTTGTGAGAAATGTGATACTAAAGTGCCATGCAATTTAGATAATCTTGAAAGACATATCAAAGGTGAAAGACATCGAAAGTAGTACTATTGTTTTATAAAATTATTAATTAAAAACAAGTTTTTGTGCCTTTTACAGCCCTACACTTGTGTATAAACTTATTTTAGTTATGGGATCTTTGGATAATTTTTAAATGTTGTTTTGATTCTGATCCTGATATAGGGACTAATTTTTGTATTTGTAGCTAATATAAATTTTATAATATAGATCTAGAAGATTTATCAGCTAGTCAAATATATAACCATATTGAAAAATAACTTTATTGTTATATTCTATATTATGATATTAAAGGAATAATCTATTTGTAGTATAAGTGTTATTATTCTATATTAAAACTCAGTTCTATTATTTTATCCTTATACATATAGTGACAAACAATTTTAAACTAAAATTTCAAACACAAGTTTTTTATGGTTAATATTCTTTATAAATGGTAAGAATTTTCTTCAAAAGCAGCTGTTTTATACATAAAACACAGACTGAATTCATAAATGAAGACAGTGTCTTCATTTATGCATTCAGCGGTGTGTAATATTAGTGTCAATATATAATATAATCTATGCTCCTATTATATGATCTTTATTACTACATTAATACATGATGAAATATATTTGTACATAAATACATTATACTAGGTCTATGAGTTGCAGTTTGATTTAAACAAATCTTTTACACTGCTTGCTTATCAAGGACATTGAATAAGTAATTTATTTGTTCTTTTTCTTAGTTGCAGTGTTAATTATACGACAGTAATTTAAACACACTATTCTTAATCTATGGTCAAATGACCAATCTATTACTTACTGTATTCAATTACCTGTTTATGGGATTAATCACTAATTTGGCTACCTCTGAAACTCAAGACGTCGACTATATTTTATGCCTACGTCAGCATAGAGCATTGATTATTAAAATGAGATAGAACAGACGGCTATTCAAAATTTTTTTAAGTACAGTGTAAGTAAAATTTAAGCTTAATAAAGTTAATTAAAGAGTGATTTCAATGGTAAGGAACAATACATTAAACAACAAACGAAATTACAATTACAAAATTACAATAGACATTACAAATGTGGTTATATCTGCTGTCACTAATATTCATAATAAATAGATTTTTGTTAATAAATTTCATCTAAATGAATAAACAAATTTAAGTACAATTATATACAAATTAATCAGAATAGCCGCCACATTATTAAGTCACTATTTTGGACGACTTTAATACAAATTCCAAATCGGGCCGTTTGATCTATGAATCTAAATTAAGATGGTCTTCCAATAGGAAGACCATCTTAATTTAGATTCTAATAATTTATTTTTAATTTATAATTTATTCTATAATTTATATTCGGTTTATCACAGTCGATTTCATTTCGGCATTATAATCCTTCATGGTAGGGCGGGGGAGGCCTATGTTCAGCAGTGGACAGTTAACGGCTAACGTGATTATGATCCTTTATGATGTTTTTAATAGAGTCTCCAGGTAAAAACAAACACACCTTAATAATAAACTAAGTGTTCCAGTGCTTTAATAGCAACGTTTTACCTAAAATGAATACATACCTTACATCTTAGTACCATAAATATTAATAACAAGACCTTAAAAATACGTAAAGATAAAAAAAAATCTTTGGAATCATTGCCAACTGGTAGTACCTAGGAGAGTTGCTGTATTTCCACGCCGCAAATATATATCCATTTCCAAGGGATAAATATTTACGCCGCTTGATATTCTCTTGGTGTGTTGTGGCGACATTAGTCCTCATGGATATACTTGGAAGGTGAGATGGGCCACTGTACCGATGCATATGAAATCCCATACAGACGGACGCTCCATCCTCCGAGATAACAAGACATCCCGTCAGATCTCTTGCCGTCATCACGCGTCAAATCAACAGAGAATGATATTAATAGTTAACTGAGGCAGCAAGCGCCCAGCGCTCTTAAGGCAGAAGAGGCCTTGGTGTCCCAAGGTACTAATGTTATCCCCACACTTGCAGCGGTGGGAAGCATTCGTTTTGGCTCTCAATCTCAGATAGATTAAGAGTTCCGATATATGGTAAGAAAATTGTGTGTAGCCATAGGCCAGATTTCTATTTCGACACCGTGAGTAGGCGGGCGCCTTCAGCGGTGTTCCGGGATGAGTCCAGTAACGAAGTTCTGTATAGATCATTAATCGGTTCATCCCATTGCCTCTAGATTTTGGGATTTCTGGGCGAAAGTATGTTGGGACAAGCCAGAGACCAATTTTTCTCAGGCAGGTTAACTATCTCGAAATCACCGAAAATTGGTGTTAATATTTCTTTTACGAGATTCTGCGTACCATGCGCTGACAACAGAAAAGCTGGAGACATGGGAAATTTGGCGAATTCCAGGTCCCCATGCCTGATAGGCAGAGAGATCTGAGTCCATATATGGTCTTCGAATGCAATAATAAAGAGGGAGATCAAAATTGATTTTATTTTGCTGTAAAAATTACGGTGCGGATATTATTAATTTTATTGATAGCTACTGAGTATCGACAGTTGCAAATTTTTACTAAATATACTAAATTAACAACGCTATTAACCATTACCGAAACAAAAAGATATCGTCATTCGAGCGATCGGCTCAACTCGGATATGTTGCTATCTATTCGTACAGTAATAAATAATAATTACAGATGGGCAAAGCACCGGGTTTAAACCCGGTGCTTTGGTAAAAACCCAATAAACACCCATAAACTCCCATAATCACCCAAAAAAATAGGTTTTTACGTATTTTTTTGAAAATATGTAAGTAATACCAATAAATTATTTTTATAAATTGTATTGATCAATTCTACAATATTAAATAAAACGTTAACTAATAATATTTCAGGAAATTTTAAAAATCTATATATAATAAAATGAAAGTAATTAATTTTCAGTGTTTTCATGTTGCAGTTGATCAACATGTTGGCCTTTTGCTTCCCGTAGATACTTTAAAATTTCTTCATAACACCTCGTTCGCACACATGGCCGTATATATTTAAATTCTTGAGCCACTAACAGTCCGAAATACTCATTTCTTTTATCCTCTTCTCCATAAATTAAGCATTTAGAACAGTTTGTTTCTTCTTTCAGTAAATTTTCTTTTACTTTATCCTCGTTTTTTTCTTTGTTGCGACGACGCTGGGTAAATCATCTGGACACTGGGTCTCACTATCGCCAAATATATTTGGAGATCGGCTTCGGCTACGGCTTGGCAGACATTTTTTTCTTTCTACAATTTTAAATTAAATTTATTAGAATAAATGCTTCGAACACACGCGATCTAAGTACCTTTTGTGTTTATTATACCTTACCTACCTAGGTATAAAAAGAGTACTTACGTAGATTTTCTTTTATTAACTGTTTTATACGAAGATCTTGATCTCTCAAATTAGCATCCATTTTACTTCCAGTGATTATCAACTAAATTAATAATCCACAAAGTATTAAATAACGTTTTTATGAAATATTTAGCACAAAAACAATACCCTTTAAATATCGATCGTCAGTAACTGTGGCTGACTTACCTATATTCTAGCAAGCAGGACTGCCAGATGTGAAGGGGAAATCCCCAATAAATTGTTGCATGTGACTGATGATGTGAGCATGTTCGTTTCATAATAAAAATGTTGCCAGGTAACCAAAAAGTCGTATGTTTTTGTGCGAATTACGATCATAATCTTTACGATCGTACATTAAAAAATAGACAAATAATAGTATGAGTACGATTTAAATCGTATATCTGTCAACCCTGCTAGCAAGACAGCGACAAAATCACGTTGCATAACAATGTAGCCCAAGCTTATATCTTATGAAATATACGGAAGAGATACGGACTTAGAAAAAACAGAAATGTTGTTCTTTGTGGAAGTCATTGATGAAATTCTATGTATTTTAGCCCGCAAACTTTCTTCAAACAAAAACAGCGCCATCTAGTATCGAGTTCTGTAATTATCTCTTTGTTTATGGATTTGAAGTAAGACCGCCACGCATGCAATACATTATGACTGGGGATTCCCCTATTCGTCGACGCTGAATATGAGGCGACGACAATCACTGTCAAACGTGTTCACTATTACTCTGACTCTGGTAACGTGACTTCCTGGTAACGTGTTAGGTAGGAAAAGCAGTAAAAAAGTGCATATTAAGGGAGCAGATTTGAAATAATATTTATACTTAACAAGAAATAATTAAAGGTAAGTGGATTTTTGAATGATACAATTATATCATGATCACTTAACAATTTTAACTTAAAATTAGATGTATTATTACAAGCTTTTATTTAGCTTGCGTTATGTAAATAAAAGTATGTAGGTATGTTCGTATGTTGATGCAATTATCCTCAATCCTCAACCGACTGGGATAAAATTTTCCATACAGGTTTATTTTGGATGATAGTGCATAGTTAGCTGAGAGTCGTCATTGGATAATAATGGTGGATAGCCTAAGATGTGTACTAGATATTTATTTTTAACATAATATGCGTAAGTACCTAATCGAATTAAAGAAGTTGCTGAGAAAAATACAGAACAATACGATAATAAACTAGCGTCTGCGTTTAATCCTCCGAGGAGATGTAATTTTACAAAGGTTTTTTGTATTTATTTTATTATTTTTTTAATAAATTTATTGTAAATAACAAGAAATAATCATTGTAAAAAAATAGGCACTCTATTGTTGAATTTTCGTCAGACCAACTAATCATCGTTCATTTTTTTAGGTTCAATGGGGAGACCTAAAGATTTACGCATATGGGAGCACTACCGTACTTTACCAAACAAGTCTGTTTCTTGCAAGCTTTGTAATAAGGTCTACAAATTCAGTAATGCTGCCAAAATGCTTCAACATCTTATCACTTGTCCAAAATCTCCAGAAACATTAAAAGACTCTATGAAACTTATAAAAGATAGCTCGTCCAAAACCAAAATGTCTGGACTGTCAGAGATAGAGACAAATGATTCTTTTATAAGCCCCTCGTCGTCTGCTAACACTACAATAAATGCTGAGTTTCAAGACACCGATGATCATATAAAAACAGAATTAGCGAGAGCTATATTTGTAACAGGGACGCCATTATCGATGGTGCAACATCCTTTATGGATACAATTTTTCGAAAAATTGCAACCAAAATTTAAAATACCTTCACGTAAAGCTTTAGCGACAAAATACTTAGATAAAATATATAGAGAAATGCGTTTTGAGTTAAATGAGGAACTAAATGCTTGTAGTTACTTACACCTTCAGTGCGATGGCTGGTCTAATTTAAGAAATGAAGGAATAATAAACTTTCTTATATCAAAACCTCAACCTGCATACGTTAAAAGTTTGAATACAGAAAGTAATCCTCACACTAGTGAATACCTTAGCCAAGAAGTTGAAAAAGTAATGAAAGTGTATGGAGCAAATAAGTTTCTTGTACTTATTGGCGATAACGCTAGAAATATACAAAAGGCATTCGAATTAACAAAACTCAAATATCCACATGTTGTTCCTCTCGGTTGCTGTGCACATATCCTTAACTTGTTGTGCCAAGATATTGTAAAGATACAAGAAGTAACTGTGTTTATTATGCAAGTCATAAATATAATAAAAACTGTTAAAAGGAGTCAACGATTAAGTTCCTTGTTGATAAAATCAAGGCAGGGTGAAGATTCTACACAAACACTAAAATTGCCTTGTGCTACAAGATGGGGAAGTCATGTTACTTCGTTAAAAAGTTTGAAAGCAAATAAGATAGCTTTGCAAATATTAACAGTTAGAGAAGATGTGGTAATTTCAAGAGATATTAAAGATTTAATTCTAAGTGATGATTTCTGGACGAAGACAGGGGAATGTATAAGTATTTTGGAACCAGTCACTGAAAGCATATTTTACTTAGAGAGCGACCAGAATCGTTTGCATCGCACATACATTACATTTAGAGATGTACAAGCTAAGATACGTTTTGCATTAAATGAGATTTCGACATTGAGCGAAGAAAGCAAACAGCAGATTCTAACATCAGTATCTTCAAGATGCAATATGGCAATGAGGCCAATACATTTTGCAGCATATATTCTAGACCCCAGGACTCTAGGAGTCGAACTTACTCAAGAGGAAGAACTTAAGGGTATGGAGTTTATCTACAATTTAAGCCAACACTTAAGTTTGTCAAATGTAATGGCAGATTTGGCGTGTTATAAAGCTAAAGAAAACTTTTGGGCCAGAGGATTTGTATGGAGCTCATTAGATAGCATTGAGCCCCTAATATGGTGGAAAGGTATTTGTGGTTCCACTGAGTTAAGCAAAGTAGCGATTCGTATTCTATCAGCTCCCTGTACTTCGGCAGCCACTGAGCGTTCCTTTAGTATCCAAGGCTACATACATAATAACAAAAGAAATCGACTTACAACTGAAAGAACTGAAAAAATTTCATTCATTTGTTATAACTGGAATCTTAAACATAAAGCTGAATGCGAGGACATTCAGTTTAATGAAGAAAATACCTTAGAAGCTTTCATTGAGCAAGTAAATGAACATAACAGTTTAGACGAAATAGAGCCTATCGAACCTATACAATTCATCGCTTGTAATAACTCTGAATCTGACAGTGATTGACTGTAGTTTTACATTTTACTTTCATCTCTTTCTTAATAAACTCAAAATCAAATTAAAAGTTTTTTATTCTGTAGGCTGCATAATAATATTGTCTATGTCCAGTATAGTGGACGTCTTGCGGCTGAGATGACGATGATGAAGTACAAAATCATAAACACCCAAAAATTTGGGTGTTTATGGGGTTTAAACCCAATAAACCCAAAACACCCGGTTTTTACCCACCAGACTTTAAACCCACCCAGGTGGATTGCCCATCTCTAATAATAATGAATGCATTTGATTTTGATGATGAATGATTACGATTAATAAATATAGGCAGTATAATGGAGGAATAAAATTAATAGTCAAATGATTTTTAAATACATTCGAATAATTCGAATGAATTGCTCAATTGAATAATTAGTAGCCGTTTTAGAAAATTCGCGCATTGCTAGACTCACGAGAGTGGCAACTCTGTTGATAACAAAATTTTCTATCTGCAAATTATTAAGTGGTTATTATTTTAAAATAAATAAATCTTAAACGCCCCGATATTTTTAGATATTTTCTACAAAATGAAAAAAGATTTTGGCATAATCCCAAGTTCAAAAACACTAGTTCGTTGTATATTTTGTGGAGTGCATTTACCGAAAGCGAATAGATGCATCGAACAACATACAAACGGGGCGAAACATAAAGAAAACTTGATGCTAATGAGGGAAAATGCGATTTATTTATTAAATGAGGATTTGTACTGCAAGCCGTGCAATCGAATTGTAAACGATAATTTTTCTGTCCCCGGTCATGTTGAAACGGAGAGTCATAGTAACTGGAAAGTAGCAATTGAAGATCTAACCGAGGGTGAATTTATAAAATTAGAACCGTATTTATCGTCGGAGAGGGATGATGTACATTGTGAAGTATGCAATCTCGATATTGATAGTAATCTACACATTATTGAGAAACATGTTAACAGTACAAAACATAGAAATAATGTTGTAGAGCGATTAAAACCCCTAAACGGACTCTTCCCCGTTGAAAACGACGATGAAGTATTTTGTAAAATATGCAATATGTACATAGACAACACAACCCGCGCTGTTCTAGAACATATTGATGATGATGAAGAACATGTGGCTTGGTTGACAGAGATAGAAGATCTCATTGAAGGCCATGATGTGAGTATCGAACACTATCTAGCCAACGACTTTGAAGTTAATGCATATTGTAAAAAATGTAAGATGGATATCATTTGTGATGTAGAAAATATTGAGAGCCATGTACACAGTGAAGATCATCTGAATAAATTTATATAATATTAGTTTATTACTATATCATCACACCAAAATGAAAGTAGCAAAATTTTCTTTGGGTTATTTAGTTTTTAAAATAATCAATTTAAATAGGTATTCTTTTAAATGGCTTTAATTACTTAATTCATAGTTACTATTATAGATATTTAGAAGTATGTTAAATAATATGCTTATACCTATAACCTAATTTGTTTTATATATATATATATATATATATATTTACACTATATATTACATTCTGATGCAGTGCTGTATTAATATTTTTCTAAAATATAGGTCATTTTTTGCTAGTACTCTTTTAAAAGGCAGGCTCGCTTTTATTTATTTAAATGTTTGTGTGTGTAGGTAGGTAAGGTATGTGTTGTAAAGTGATTGTATGTATGAAATACTATGAATGAATTACTGATTAAATGATGAAAGTCTAAAATGATATATTAATATTTTTTTTTACAATATGTTTACAAAATCTGTTGCACCTTGTATTTGCTACCCATAGGCTGTGGCTTATATTGGTACTATACCAATGTGGGATCCCTCATTCTGGACTTACTAGCAATTTCAATTTCATAGATGAATTCGCTTGCCACTTGTCTAGAGGGCTTGATATGTCATTATCTTTAATTATATAATTTTAATTTGATATTCCAGTGAAATTAGTATACTAAAGACTATGCTCTAATAATAGATTAATATCATTATAATTTTGTTTCTTTGTGTTGTATAATACATATAAATATGAATTAAATTTTTTAAACATGTTCAGAGAACAATATTTCGGAATTGACTCTGTTGTTTGAAGTAATTACATTTATTTTTTACTTTATTTTAGAATAACTTTTGATGCAATAGGATTGGGTTTAAATCTAAAAGATCAAAAAGATAAGTCAATTAAGTAAGTGCTTTTTCATTCTATGCTTGAGCAGTATATGCCAATTTCGATCCAATTCAATTGTCTCAAAAGTCAACTTGCTATAAAGCCAATAAACATGCTTTACTACAGTTTAGTCAATAATAACATTTTCTATGAGACAATAAAGATTTTGCATCTGCAGTCTGTCAATAGAAACAATGTTGTATAATTATAATAAGAGATATTTGTTAAGTGTATTATTTATATAAATTTAAGCTGTTGTCTATGTATATTTCTTAAAAAAATGTTTAAAGCTGTAATTATTCAATATAATAATTAGGCAGTTTTTACATGTAAAATATACTTATATAAAAATTTGTGAAATATTTTTTTTTACTTAATGTTTTCAGATATTAAGTAAAAGAGAAAGTAATGTTACTTCATTTTGCAATGATATTTTACACAATTTGGTTTTGTTTATAAATGATTCACAGTAATAAAATTTCTGTTCTGTTATTAGATTTTTATTTTTAAAACTTCCATATCAATTTATCTTATATATTATTTATTTAATACATCTAGCTAAATTGAAATATCTTGGTACAGAGTTTTTCTTTGAAAATAAGACATTTTATTAAAGTAAGAAGTACCCTATATGTTGACTTAGGTATTAAATTATCATAAACCAAAATTAAATAAAATCAAAGTAGAAAACATGTCCATCCAAAAATGTTTTTATTTTATAGAAAACGCAGTCAGTCATCAATGGGATAGTCATCGACATTTTCATCTTCCTCCATAATTGCAGTTAGAGGGATCCCCTGGGAAAGGGGTATTGAAGCATGATTAGTTTTTGTTGATGGACCTGGTGACCCATGAGAGGTTTTCGTGTTACATTTCACATTCCCAAGCCGGGATCGTATCCTGTCTTCATCTAAGTGCGTGACTTGAACTATATCTTCAGCGCAACATTCTATCTGTGTTATGGACTCCATCAGATGTTTCTGTAAGGAACTATTTAAAAATTGTTTTATTAGTTGGTCTCTCAAGTTGGTTTCCAATTATCAATATTAATATGAACTACAACTCTATGTAAAACTATAAAAATATGTAGTTAACTAATTTTATTTCATACTTTACAATTGTCATCCCATAAAAAAACCTGTACTAAATAAAAGAAAATAAAATTTTACCTTATTCTATCGATATTGCTCCTCAAATATTTTGTGAAGTGCCTGAGTCGAGACAGTTCATCCTTGAGTTTAATGTCAACGTTATCTCTGGTCAGTTCTCCGGGCGGTTTTAATGTACGATCAGCAAGCCTAGCCACAATCACACGTTCCTGTTTCAGGGTATCGAGTAAATTTTGTTCTGTCGTTAGCATCTCTTCGTCTAGCGATTTCATGTCCTTTATCACCTGTAATTTATGTTTACGTTATACCAACTTGTCTAAATTAAGACCAATGCGGGGAAATGCCCTTTTCGATTAAAAGAATCATCAAAATCGATATATAAATGACGAAGATGCTGCAATATTCAAAATACAAATGATGCAGTGAAATGGCAAACCTTAAGTGAAGTAAAGTCTAATCCCTAATTGTAATTTTCATAAAAACAAACCCTTTAACTATAACACTGTGTCACTTTCATTCAAACTTAATATTTAGCACAAAAGAAAGGGACAAAACAGTTCAATAACTAAAATAGTTTTATGAGAGGTTTGACGTTTTTTATGAATAAGGGGTTATATAAATACGTATTTACTGAACTGATTAAGAATGAAATTTGCAATACATATCTCCTTAAAACAAAAAATTTACATAAATATCCATTTTACCAGACAATCAGAAGCACAACCACACCAGATTGACTCCCATTCGTGTTTCAGTGAGTCCTCAGGCACTGCATGGGGGGTATCATGGACGAAACAGTATACTTTGTTATGTCCATAGTACTGCTCATGTCTATAGGCGACGGTTACCACTTACTATCAGGTGGGCCGTCAGCTTGTTTGCTATTCTAAGTTGTATAAAAAAAAAACCAGATTGACTAGTAAGACCGTGATTATCTCCAGAAATACCCTTCTTATGATACTGTATTTATTATACCTACATATAAAAATTAAACGACATCTTCACCGTAGAACCAATGAACCGATTTTAATACTAATACTTATATCTACTACTTTAGTACTAATTAATCAAATGGGCTTACATACCTACTCTCATATACATATGTTACTAATACACTAATTGTCGTTACTACAGTTTAAAGTTAAGCTCGTCTTTGTACTTCTATCATTTTTTTATGTATAATTAGTGTGTACAATAAAGTATTAAATAAATTACTAAATTCTCAATAGCTATTGAAGTAGATTTGTTTTGTTGGTGAAAAAAATATATAGGTTAAAACGAGTGTTTTTATTATAGGTATTTAAATAAAGAACATTTTTGATTTAAACAATAATTTATCACATTAAATAGTTACCTCCGCTCTTTGCCATTCCAGTTCATGTAGTTTGCTTGTGTTTGCATGTAACCGCCTTCTGAGAGCAGCGTCCACTCTGGCCGCGTAAGCTTGTGCTGCTATTGAAAGATATACTCTCGCCCCTCTCACCTATATTGATGAATGAAAATATCAGAAACCGTCATAGGATTTTTTTAATGTACGATAATGAAATAGTAACCCTGCCTGCGCTAACAAAGTATACACTGGTGAGGCATCAGTGAGGGGTGATAGGTAAGTATGAAGCAGGTCGATTAGCCTATTGTGACAATTCAACAATAATTCAATCATGATGTTTTCCAGAAATCGCCGCCCTTCCATTAGGGTTTTTTTGATGAGTGAAAATGGTATGGTAACCCCGCCTGCTCTAACGGGATACGCTGGCGGAGCACCAGTGAAGGGCGATAGATGAGAATGAAAACAGGCCAGTTAGCCCATCCTGATGAATTCATCAGGAATTAACCATGTTAGTTTCCAGGGAGAACCGCGAGGTCGACCTGGTTGGGTATATTGCTAGCAATGGGATTCTCAGTCTCCATTACTAACAATCCCTTCCCCCCTTCCATTAGGGTTGCTTAGTACCTATCTAACGGTTTCAGTTTTAGCATATGCAACAATGGAAGATCATTTTATGGTAAAATTGATAAGAATCAGGACAAAACAGGCACTTGAAATGGCTATTAATTTATAAAATGTACATAATATGTGTAATAAAAAATAACATTATCTATGAAATCCGTTGATCGATGTTCAAATTGATCAGTGAAATGAGGCAATGCGGCTAGATTGAAACGTCACTTAGTAATTGTTCGTGTTAATCAGTGAATCATATTGAGATAAGTAAATATCAATGTTTTCCCAGTATCAGAATTTAATTTCTTGTATTTAATTTATTAGATGTTTTATAGATTGAATTCTTAAGCGTCAGAATGTCAATGGTATCGGTAAGTTTGTAAACAAACAATACCTAATCTAAACGCATCCCTCCGTCAGAGGAGCTTTCAGCTGGAAGAATTTATTGGTGATAGAGTTTGTATGAAATGGAAAAGTTTGTGTTATTGTTTATACATTTGAAGGGTTAAAAACGAGTCCCTACTCACTGTGATTTCTAACAAGAAAAGTAAGTCTTCAGTAGTAAAAACGATGGGAGTGCTAGCTAACTATATGCAGCTCAGCATTGATTTCTATACAAACTCTCGTTTGGTGCTGTTCAGTGCACTTTTTAAATTTATATTTAAAAAGTGCACTAAAAACCTTTAGTGGTGATAGATAAGGATGAAATTAAGTCAGTTAGTTGTGAGTAATTTAACAAGAATTAATCACGATAGTTTCCAAGAGGAACCGCACAGGGTATATTGCTAGCAATAGGAATTAACGTCCCCATTACTAACGATTACTCTTCCTCCTCATTCCAGGGAGAAGGATCTCTCTTCCCATTGTTTATGATAGGTACCTATAGACATAAGTAGTGTAATCATAGAAATAATTATAATAATAACATACTAACCTGTTGTCTAGTTATTATAGCGCTCGTTAGAGCTCGAAGACCAGCCCTTTTTAAAGATGCGCATCGATTCTCCCATCGTGATACTGGTGAAAATCTAAGAGTAAGACGTAATTAAAGTCTTTTCAACCGACTTAAAAAAAGGAGATTCTTAATTTGGTAGCATTTTGTTTTATCTTTGTTACCTCATAATTCCGTTAGCTATAAACCGATTTGGGAAATTTTCTTTTTATCTGAAAGGATATACTTACAGATCGGTCTCATTGAAATTGTTTTAAATTCAATTTAATAGTTTAGTCTTTAAATTAAAAAAAACTGATTTTGTCACAATCGAAGTCGGTTTTTTATGAAGCACAATCTTAAATTATTATATTTAGTAACCTTTCTTGTTTATTTTTTTTATTTTACGAGGGCTACACTGAAAATTTTTAGAACTGGCTACTTGAAAGCAATATAATAAAAAAAAATTTAAAATTTTGAAAATGGAACTCTACGAATAATACAGAGTATATAATTTATTCGTTTGTTGTTTGTTTTACGGTTTGGCGGCAAATTGAAAATAGTCTGTGTAACGTTATCATGAACACGAGAAAATTTTCGTGCGATGATTTTTTTATAACTTTCGATGTCATCTAAGTCAACAAGAAAATTGTGATTAACTATGATTGGCCTTTCACGATGAAGCCCCGTCTCGTGCCACTGTTTACAACTTAATTTTAATTCTATCGGATGCAGCGATGTATTGGCGTGAATGGACACTATTTTGAAAAGATAAAATAAAGGTAAAAAGTTGCAAATTTAATCAGTTTTTTATTTTCTAAGGACTTTCAGTTTGACCCTCGTATATGTATAATAAGTACCTACGACAGATGTCATATGCGAAAGTTTGTAAAGAAGTTCAGATGTTAATAACTTAATTATGCTTAAACTTATGTTTTTTTTTATACTACTTAGAATGGCAAACAAGCTGACGGCCCACCTGATGGAAAGTGGTAACCGTCGCCTATAGACATGAGCAGTATCATGGACATAATAGTACACATACATACAGTTTTGCCAATGATACCCCCCATGCGTTGCCATTCCTGAGAACTCGGGTGTTATTTCTCTGTACCCTGTAAATTCACGCAAATTTAATTATGTATAATAAAAATTATGTATGGGTTTGCTAATTTTTTTATGCCAATTTTACCTACGTAATAGTGATGTAATCAAATATATATATATATATATATATATATATATATATATATATATATATTATAATAAAACTGACTGTGTGAGTATATATGCATTACACAATTAATTGTAATTTGGTGTGGTAAGTTTCCTAATATGCTACTAAGGTGTTTCTTGAGTCAGCATATAGGACACTTTTTACAGCGTAAATATAGGCACCTTCTTCTTTTCTTCTGACTAATAATTTTAGAGGTAGAATTTGTATCAATATTTGAACATGATTCTTCCACAGAAAGTGCCTGTTGTTTGTTAAGTATATCAACCTCTATTCTTTTTCTTGTTTTCTCTAAATTACTGATTTGTTTCTCCAATTCTGGAATCATGTTTTCGAATTTTTTCTTCTCATCGCGTAAGAAGTTGAATTCCTAAAGATAATTTAATGATTAGGTATTTACATTATTTACAGTTTTAGATTTTAAAAACATTACATTAAAACATTATGAAAATGATATTTAATTTCATACGAATGAATCGTAACTTGGTACTAATAGTATATAATAGATACCAGACGAATACCAGAATGAATATTAGAGGTAAACTGTACAAAAGTCGTTTACTTAGATACTTATGTCCTATTCGTGTTTCTGCCGTAAAGCAGTTGTGTTTACATGGCTGTTTTGAAGGATTACCCTTCAAATCCTGCTGATCAAAATCAAAAGCAAATCAAAAAGTGCCATATCCCAATATGTTGGTTAAATTACAGGGTACAGAGGCATGACAACTTAGTACTAAGAAATGACAACGCATGAAAGGTGTCATGGGTAACACAGTATACTCTGTATGTCCATGGTACTGTTCATCATATCACCACTTTCCATAAGGTGGGTCGTCAGATTGTTTGCCATACTAAGTTGCATAAAAAAAAATAGTAATACCTTATTTTAAGATTGCATTTTTTATATTTTTATAAAATTCCAATATATTCCCTTCCCATATATAGTGAAATTGGGAATCGTCTTTTTAGTAACAACAAAAAAAGACTATTTAAAAATACTTTCTTCATCAACTTCGACTTAGAGTAATGACATGATTATGTTGTAAATGCTTTTTACCTGCGTAATAGCTTCCTCGACCGCATCGCTCAAAGGTTTCAGAGCTCCCGGCCTACTAGCTTCCTTCGAGTGTTCATTTATTTCATTTTGTATTCTTTGCACCACAACTCGTAAGGCGTTGTGCTCGTGACGTAACGCACCAATCGCCTCGTTTAAACGCTTGGACAAATCTTCGAGAACCCACTGCCAAGATATTATATCCGATATCCTAGACGTTTTTAAGTATTAATATTTTTTGTTTTATGAACCAACTTTAAAAAGCAAGGTTGATTCTTATTTGTTTGTTACCTTGTAATTTCGTCAGTTTTGAACCGATTTGAAAAATTCTTTTTAATCTGAAAGGATATACCATACATACAGTTTGGCCCCATAGGTCCCAACACAATTTTATACTGATTTTTCATAACTAAATTTAGGTATGTAGAATCCTACTTTGAAATTTTCTCAGTTTTTTATGAGACTTATAATGGTAAGCAAGCTGACGGTCCTAATGGAAAGTGGTAACTGTTGTCTATAGACTAATAGCTTCATTACTAGGAATGTATGCATTCTATCAGATTGACCTTCACGTAATCCTTCCTGGAGATTATCGTGATTAATTCTTATTAATTTGTCATGATGGGTCAATCTGACTACATCCTCCACTATCATCACTCATTGGTGCAATCATTCCACTTTCATCCCATTAAAATAATTCTGTTGCTTAAAATTTATTGCATTTGCAATCATCATCATCTTAGCTATTATTTGCCCACTGCTGGACATAGGCCTCCTCTATAAACTGCCATAAGGAACGGTCCTGAGCCGCCTACATCCACTGACTGATATTTAGAATATTAGGTACAAGTAAATACTGTAGATACCTTTCTTGCAAACACTTCTTGAATTGATACTCATTGGTTTCCCTTGCAAAATTGTTTAGCATTACCAGCTCTTGAGTATTGTTCACTTGATCTATGACTTTTGCATTCAAATTTTTATTCAGAGTCATAATACTTTCTACTCCCTTTGGACAGCCTAGGTAACCATCTTCCGAAAACATTATTACTTATAAAATATATCAGAAATGATTATAAAATTACTAAATTAATATTAAAATTGTAATTGTATTTAAAAACATTGATCAATTTGACAGTGACATGTTAATTTTAATTAGGAATGTGTTTAATAATATGGCTGCATGGGTTTAATCAATTTGCCGAAAAACCTTAGATATATTAGATGAATTATACCTAGGAATCGCAGGTACTATCCATTATCTATGATATATTCATTTAGAATTGTAGTAATATTTGAGTTAACTGCTAATCTGTCATATTTTAAAATAGGTACAATATAAAGAGCTTAATATTTCTTAATGATCTTTGCAATATTTTAGTGATATTAAAATATTGCAAAAATTATGAGCATTGCACGCACGCACGCAAATACGACGCACGCACGCACGCACACACAATGCACGCACTCACACACGCACACAGATACACCCCACATAAAATAGAAAATTGAGATTAAAATAAAATAGAATTAAAATTGATTTCATTTTAATCCTAATTTTAAAACGACAAGTCTCGAAATCAAGTGGAAGTGATTATCGATAAAGCCTACACAATTGGACGATATAGGAACACATATAAACCGTCTTTAAATAGTTTAAACTCTTTAAATAAACGACTTCACTCTCGCTGTTCACTGTCTATAAATAAACAGTCGTATTTCTGTCGCTATCCAGCTATATATGTATGGATCTGTTTTGGTCTGAATGACAGTAAAATTTAGAAATATAAAGTCAGGGGATACAAGTTGCTCAGGATCTTTCCTTATGACAGTCTATGGGGGAGGCCTATGTTTAACAGTGGACTGATAAAGGTTCCGGTTATGTTTTATCATTATCATCATCATATCGGCCATTATCTGCCCACTGCTGAACATAGGCCTCCACCAAAGACTGCCGTAAGGAACAGCTCTGTATCACCTGCATCCACTGACTCCCTGTTTTTCATTCGAGATTGTCACTGCATCTAATAGGGGTCATCCTACACTACGTTTGCCCGTACGATGTCGCCAATTAAGAATCTTTCTTCCCCATTGGTTGTCGATTCTTCGAGCCATGTGCTTCTATGGCTATGCCGGTGACGTTGGTTCTTTTGCGGATATGTTCATTTCAGATTCTGCCCCGCGAAGAAACTCCGAGTATAGCCCTCTCTATAACTCGTTGAGTAGCTTAAAGCTTTTGTATACGGACAACCTTGTAGGACTATGTACGATTAATTTATGTATATTAAGTATAATTCAAATGTACTTTGTTTCAAAATTTTACTTTAATTTAATTTGAAGTGATATCTGAAAGTTACATATCTTATTTCTGAATAGGTACTTAAGATTATTTAAAAGACTCAACAATTCTAAATAGTAGAATAAAATACATTTATTTTTCTGAAAGCTTTTATTTTCTTCAATAATTTTTTTTCAGGATCATGTACAGAGGTCGAAGGAGTACAAAATATAACAGTTCTGCTACGCTGATGATGCTGAATCCAAGAAATAAACTCAAAAGTCCTCCAATAGCACCTAAAAAGAATAGGAAAGTACATGTAGACAATAACTAAAGTAAGAAATAATTTAAGATTGTTTAAAAAAAAAAAACGACTTCAATTGTGACAAAAACAGTTATTTTAATTTAAAAACTGAACTACTAAATTTTTAAAAGATTTTGATACAATTTGTATGAGAATATTCTGTAAGTATATTTTTATTCAGATAAAAAAAGCCCTAATCGGTTTATAACTGATGGAGTTATAAAGTAACAAACAAAACAATACAACCGAATTGAAAACAGCTTTCTTTTTGAAGTCGGTTGAAATGAATCTTAAATGGAAAAATACTCTATCAATCGTACAATATGATTCTCAATAGTTTTTTCTTTAACAATTCCTTTATTTGAATACAATGTAATGTATATCATAATATTTTTAAAGATCATCTTACCAACAAAGTAATAGTCGTCATACTGAGTGTGACGATGTTGTCCAAGGAACATGTCTTCATAGAAATGGACATTGATCTGTGTTAACTCTCCCCTGTAGTTTAAATAAAATTAATTATTTATTACAAATGATTAAAAGCAGAGTGTGATTTTTAACCGAATTAAAAAAAGAAGAAGGTTTTTGATTTGGTTATATTTGTTTTTTATGTTCGTTACCTCAGTAGTAGACTAATATATTTATAACGAATAATTAAAATTGTGTTTCACGTAAAAAAACCTAAGCTCAACGAGATAAAACCAATTATTTTGATTTAAAAACTAATCTTCTGCACTGATTTTGATAAAATCTAAAAAAACCTATCTGTAAATATATTCATTTAGATAAAAATATAATACCTATACAATATGGTACGAGTATTATCCGAATCGGTTTACAATTGACAGCGTTATGGGGTAAAAAACATTAAAAAATTCAAGATATACTCCTTTTTTTTAAGTAGGTCGATAAATAAAATTCATATTCAATATGAGTAATAATTAATAGCAACTGTAAATTAATATTAAAATTATAAACAGTTTTCAAGCTACGGGCCACGGATGTCTCTAATTGGGCCGAACATTGAATCCAACTCTAATTATATTAAGCATGAATCATTCCAAATAAATACATGTAACAGCATTCCGTTCCACGAATTAACGTTCAGTTTATCAATTACTGAATTATATTATTCAGACGTAAAAGAGACACATACATTTTTTATGTACAACTTCGGCAACAGTTATGGGCTTAACAGACAGTGACATACAACAAATTAGGATGTCGCATGAGTCTTTTGCGTGAATGAAATTACACAGTAAAAAAACAAATGCAAAGGCTTTAACAACTAAATAAGCAAATAAAATAATGTGTAAGTATTATTAAGAGAAGAATTAGACTGAAAAATATTGTTTGTTAATATAAACTATTCAATGGACTAAAAATAAATTCGAAAATTACTTGACTACCTATATATACTACGAATTAGGCAAAAACATTGCACTTTAGAAAAATTAGGAGAAACCTGAATGTTGACATGATCTCATTGATATTCTAAAACAGAGATCCCCAACCCTGTCTGGACCACAGCCTGCTTAAAAATAAAAATATTCTCCCTATTCTGAAAGTTGATGTAAGATATAAAAATATAACTCTCCATTTGCATCTGATTCCAATCCCCAAAACTCACAGGGGGTTGTATCGCACCCATTAAATATTGATATACAAAATAATATCCTAAAAATACACAACGACAGAAATAATGCGAAAAAAATATCATGCATTATGATTTACAAGTTTCTACAATAATCGTATTACATTCGCTTTTTAATCTACTTCAAAAAAAGTAGGAGATTTCTCAATTTGGATGTTCATTTAAATTTGTTACTTCAAAAGTCCGTTATTTATAAACAGATTTCGATAATTCTCAGTGTATCTGAAAGATTATAGAAATTTAATCAAAATTATTGCAGTAGTTTAGTTTTTAAGTAATTTATTGTTTTGCATGATTAAAATCGGTGTTTTATCGCGTGGAATAAAATTTACTTGTTAAAAAGATTATGATATTTCTTTTATACTGATTTTTTGTATACCAATATTATTACTATTTTCTATGGTAACGGTTTTCAATGAAATCCGATTAAAAAATTTGTAATATATAGAGTTCCCTAATTGCACCATTTGTTGTGATAAACAACATTTAAAAAAAAATTTTTTTTTCAGACATGTAAAAAAATACAACATTCCATGAAATTTAATTACTTTATCGGCTTTCCCCATGAAGGGGTTATATCACCAGGTTCCTTGACAAGATCGGAGTAGAACACCTGGCAGCCGTACATGACCTCGTTACATGAGGGATGGCAGGATGTAGTGCTGCTCTTGGACGCTTTACCTTCTTCACAGTCATCGTAGTACGCAAATATTTGCTGTTCCGTTACTATATCTGTGAAAAAGCATTTAGATATCTACAAGCTGAAATTAATATCGTTAGCATTGCTCTAAAACTGAATTGTTTTCCCAAAAATATCATTCGTCGAAAAACATAACAAATGGAAATTTTGTGCAGAAGTCTTCTGTATGGGTAACTCTGTCCACTCGTGTTTCTGCCATGAAACAGCTATATATGCATTGTTGTATTTCAGTTTGAAAGATGGGATATTGGAATAAAATTACAGGGTACGGAGGCATAACGCCATCGTCTAGGAAGATCCGAGGGTTAGCAATGGGGTCTAACTACTCTGGTTTCTCCTGGACACATCGTAGTTAATTCTTGTTGAATTCATCAAGATGGACTAACTGACCTGCTTTCATTCTCACCAATCATCACTCAATAGTGCTCCATCAGCGTATATAGATAGTGCAGGCGGATTTACCATTCCATTATCATCCATTTAAAATAACGTCATAGTCTTCAGGAATGAAACGCATGAAAAGCATCCCAGTGTATTGTGTGTTGTCATGGTGCTGTTCATAGTAAATACGCAGCGGTGATCATTTTCATCAAATGGGCTGTCAGCTTGTTTGTCATTCATCCGAATCCGTTCATCAAATATTCAAAATGTCATTGTTAAACAATTTATTTATATTTGTAATTTAGGTAGTTGTATATTATTAAATTTATGCAATAGCATTAAATTACTCAGCGAGCTACGGAGAGGACTATGCTCGAAGTTTATTTGCATGACAGAATCCGGTATGATAATATCCGCAAAAAAACGAAAGTAACTGACATAGCTAGAAGGATAGAGGGAGGGTATCAGCAAGCTGAAGTAACAATAGACTGGTCACACAGCTCGAAGAAACGACAACCGCAAATATACTCATTAATTATATACAGTCCACTTTAATTAAAACTTACCACATTACCGTAAAAGTTTAATCACCTATATTCAGCAATGGAAAGATAATGACGATGATGTTATTAAAACATACCTTTAACTTTGTAAACACATTCGTAATCTATTGGAGTGGAACAAATACGATCTCGAATGTTCTTTCCTGAAAAAATAAAAAGACATAAAAATAACCGTAATATTAAATTTCAGATATACAAGTATGAGCTACATGCTCATACTTGTATACATTTATACCTATGCACCCAATAGATTTTATTCGATAAGGTTAGAATTTGGATAAATTTTAGTCACATTTATTATTTTAATCGTCACAACGTTCCACTGTTGGTTCTTTTCTCATAAAAGTTAACCTATATTTTATTTGACTAAGATTCACATAGACTAAACATGTCAGGAAAGTCCTATTGAGTGCAAAGCATTGCAAAAAAAAAAAACACATTTTTCTTTTATGTTGATAGCCATATGGTTAGCGATGAGGTGTTTACGGATTGTTTATTTAATAAACTTTATTATAACAAATCGCTGTGTGATCCGGGCATAGAATAGGCCATCCCTTCCTTTCCTGTGGGTGTCGTAAGAGGCGACTAAAGGAACTTAATAGTAGAGGGATAGGCAGCGTCCCTCTTAAAACATCTCTAAAAGCTTTTTTTTTTTGTACAACTTAGAATGGCAAACAAGCTGACGGCTCACTTGATGGAAAGTAACCGTCGCCTTTAGACATGAGCAGTATCATGGACATAACAGAGTATACTGTTTCACCCATGATACCCCCCATGCGTTGCCATTCCTGAGGACTCAGGTGTTATTCCCCCGTACCCAGTAAATTCACGTCATATCCCACCCTTCAAACCGAAACACAGCTATGCAAACACAATTGCTTTACGGTTGAAACACGAATGGGACAGAGGTACCCAAGCAATCGACTTTTGTAGAAAGTCTCCCTCTGGTCTTAACTACGGCTGCTAATCCTTCTACCAAGCGTGGCAATTACTGGCAAAACTCCCCTTATAGGGAAGGCCTATGCAGCAGTGGACAGTTAACTGCTGAAATAGTTATAAAAAAGGAAATCTTACTTGGCCAATAATAAAGCGAACAATTGCAACGCAACTTCGCTTCTTGTATGTAAAAGTCGATTTTACAATTTGTCGCCGTATAGAAATGAAAGTGTTCCAGTTTTCTTTCGTTTTGAAAGTAGCATTGCCGTAGTTCCGGATGTAGATTCCTCAGTGCAGTGTCCGTTTTGTATGTGATCGGGGATACTTCGATAGTTGTCATCTTGTCCATAGGGAGACGAAGGACTGTAGTCGTGTAAGCGTGGTCTGTCGGGGATCTAATCAATACCTGTAAGACGTTACAACGATCAATAATTTAAAATTGTATTCCACAAAAAAAAAAAACACTGACTTCAATCACGGCAAAATTTGTTATTTTGATTTTAATATTTTTTTTTATTTTGACTAATTTGAAAGTATATCATGTCAGATAACAAAAGAATTTTCCAAATGGGTTCGTAAGTTACCTTAGGAGACTTTGTACAAAAGTCGATTGTTTGGATACCTCTGTCCCGTTCGTGTTTTAACCGTAAAGCAGTTGTGTTTGCATGGCTATGTTTCGGTTTGAAGGGTGGAATATGGCGTGAATTTATAGGGAACAGAGGAATAACACCTGAGTCCTCAGGAGTGGCAACGCATGGGGGGTCATTAAATAATATTTATTTATTATTGGGGGTTATTAATAAAGCCTAAAGTATTAAGCTAATACATATTAGCTAATTTATAAAAAATTGCAGTCGCTTCGCCTTTGCACTCAGTCACTTGAAAAGAAAATCACTTTATGGTAGTATGGAAATAAATACAATTCAAAATTTCAAAGTAAAAAATTCCAATATTCAATCCGGTATTTAACGAAAATATCTAAAAGTGAAAAATGAATTAATTATATAATTCCTCATACTTCACTTATATTTTACTAACTATCCACCTTAGTCTTGCACGGGTGCAAATTAGAATGTATTATAGGTATACAAACGTTTAATGAAAAAATATTTAAATGGCAGTTAAATATGTTAGAAGACAGTGATTCCCAAAATATAGATGCTTTATCTCTCGAGTGAAATACGACACCGCGAGGCACTCCTATTGTTTCTTCTTCAAGTAAGTTTATAATTTTATTACGTAATATTTATAACAATTTTAGCGTACTATTATTAATGTTACCACAAAATAACATATTGATCGATTCAAACACTCTTTCACATCGTACTAATAAAAGTGTAGGCGTTTATTTTGTCGTCAATCACATTTAATAAATGACACGTAACCTTGATTGGTGTGTAAAATATGCGTAATTAATGTGTGTTAAGCCACGGATAACAACTAGTTTATAATCTATACAATTAACAATTACTTACAGTAAAGCCCAAACTATTCCCATCACACGCATATTGGTGTTCGCTATTATTCAAAAAGAGTTCCACACCCAGGCCGTATGCTTCTCCTGCGACCATCACCCTAAGCGGCTGCAACTTCGGATCAGGAGGAAACATAAGAGGATACCCTCCATCCAAGTTCCACTTTATCTTGGTAGCTGTCGCTCGGTTATCAAATGTCTTATGCCACTCCAATGTGTCATTGGTCCTGAACAAAAAAACAAAAGTACACAGAGATCTACAAACAAAAAAAAAAACAAACAAAAAAAAACAAAACTTATGGTGGAAGGAGGCTGATGTCTTACATTCCATTCAGAGCTAAACTATTGAAGGCGTAACAAAGACCATATTCTGTGAAAATTGGTCGAAATAATTCATCGCAACATTCTCTCCCCACCCAATTAATATAATGTTTGGCGGGCCAGTTGCATTTCTTGATGATGTCAGTGCATTTTAGAGAACCCTGAAAATAATGATAATTTTAATTAGGTTTAACCAAGACAATATTAAGCGAAAATAAGGCACTTACAATTCTACGAGTATGAATAGCCAAAATAACAACAAACAACAAATATTTGAAGTTGTGACCTCAAAAAAAAAAACCGACATCAATTATCATTAAACCAATTACTTTTATTAAAAAAACTAAACCACTGAACTGGTTTTAACATCCCTGATGTTGCAATCGCCTATAAGCTACTGTTTATCAACTGGCGGATGTTACATTTGTTTGCCACCTTTGTGATAAAAAATCCGATTGGGTAAGCTATGTACTAGCAAACAATAGCTCTTGTTGCCAGGATTAAATCACTAGAAAGCCCTGATTAAGGGGTTTTCAGTAAATTACTCTAAGAAATTCATTTTTTTTTAATAAAAATAATATGTGTGTATTAATAAGCGCTCTTACTGAACACTGCAAACTAAACAAGCGTCTGGTCCAACTAGGCTTATGCCCAAAAAGTGTTTACAGATTTTGTCACAATGAGAAAGAAACGCCGCAGCACTTTATTTGTGGCTGTAGCCGACTCATACATAAACAATATGGAAATATAAACCTTTGGAATATAAACTTTATATCCTGAGGAGATAAAAACATTGCTACAAAAAATATCTTAAAATTACTAACATTGATTGGAGTTAGCAGCGAACTTTAAAAATGGGCGAGCACAAAAGATCATGGAAAGATCACAGTGTCATAGGTTTTTCTGCCTAGAAAAAGCCCGTATTCTAATAATAATAATTTTAATGCTATGTAGTTTGTTTATTTCTATGTTCACGTATTATCATATACATATAATAATTTTATTTCTCACAAACCTTATCAATGAAGTTCTGCAGCAACGCATTTTCATTTGGACTAAGTTGATGCTGTGATATATTTTTGTTGCTAGATAGGCGAGGACAAACAAATGAAGCAAACAGTTGATCTAATCTGGAATAAAAACAAAGAAATACACTCGAGAGTAATGAATCTGGGTCACTTAAAAAAACCTATAAATCTCGGAAAATAAAAATGCTAGCTTAATGAAATAAATTGTGTTTAGTAGACAACTAAATACTTCTTAAATTAAGGTATTAAAACTACTTAGTTACTGCAAGGTTATGTCATAAAAAAATCAAATTTGAAAAAGGAAGACTTTCGAAGATGGAACTATGAAATACTGCATTTGATTTTGCTTTCTGTCTTTTACTCGTATGTAATAAATAAAATATAGTGACTTATAAATTTTATTACTTTCATTTAAGGGGTATTATATTGTCTATTAAACACCGTTTATTTTATTAAGCTAGCATTCTTAGTTTCCAAGATTTATAGGATTCTTTAGATGACCCGCATTCATTGCTCTCGATACATATATCTACATATGTATATTTTCAACTATAACTCCTCATTGGGTAGCCAGAAGCCTGATCTATTTATTCTAGAAAATTATGTTATATTAGCTTATAATAAATATACCTACTGTTTGTGTTTTAATTTCTCGATGGATTTTCCTTTTATCTATATATACCTATGAAAATGAATCACCGTTCATTAGTATTGTTAAAATTCAAAAAAGACGTAACCGAGTAATTTTTTAATACTTTATTTTATTCTTTGTAGTACAGGGGTGATTTAAAAGAAAAAAAAAATACGGGAAACCCCTGAATATAAGAACAAAAATCGAAAAATTAAGATAGGAAATTTTGTATGGAAATTGCTATGTCGAAATAGATGCCATTGTAGGTGATACGAAGTTTACCGGGTCAGCTAATTGATTTAAAAATTAATTAAAACACTTGCTCTTTGTTTCACTGTCTTTACGGAAAAATGATTCTATTCAATTCTGTATCATTTATAATATTGCACTCACGTCAAAAAGGCGATGATTGCTATTTTCTACCCTCAGATTATGATTTTAAATAGATACAATAACTACAATAGCCTTTCTAAACAAGTGGAAAGTTTGTCTATCGATAGATACATTTTCCTAACCGCTTGCATAACAAAAACGAGACTTTTTTATTTTTGATACCATTAGATAAAACAAGATTTCAACACCCAGGTCTTGCTCTTTCTTATACGTGTGGTAATGAAAACGTGTCTATTGATATATCCGATGCCACTAACTAAAGAAGATAGTTAAAATTATTCAAACATACCCTTCCAGATTTGAAACATTCGCAAAGGATAGCTTGACATGTAAATGTGGGCACAGAATCACCGTTGGGAAAGGCACGGCCCATATAGGTGTAGGCAATGAGTCTAGAACATTGACGAACGGTGTAGAAGTCCACTTGAGAACCAGCTGGATGATGTTGACGGCACATATTGCTACGCTGATGATGACAATGAGGATCCAGGCGGCGCGCTCCTTTCTGCTGAACGTTGGCTCGAAGATATATCTAATGGGGAAATAAAATAAGAAAATAATTTGTTAAGTTTTTTAAAATACTTCTAATTTGTATATAATGTAAATTTATGGTCTATGAAATAAAAAAAAATATTAATTATTTATACCACTAAGGTGGCAAACATGCATACGGCCCGTCTGATGTTAAACGGTAGCTTTTCAATGCTTTAACTACGTGCAAATGGCATTGTCGACCCTGAAATCTCTTTTCTTTTAATACGAGTATAATTGTATTGCACAATTAAGATTACAATTTAATTACAATACCTACGGTTCTGCAAATATTATTAGGCCTAGGATACATCTTGACTTCGTTCATTTTAATGTTGATAATCATTTTTAGCGTCATGTCGTATAGGGAGATAAAGGATATGGCCTGGGATAGAGCTGGCTGGAGGAAGATGCATGAATTAGTTGCACCGACAAGAGGAAACTCTTAAATGAAAAGAAAAGAAATCATTTTTAAAATATAAGGTATTCTTAGAATTGTTATATGCTACAAGTGGTGAAGGATTGTATATTATGGCGAAATAAGGAGGAGACCTATTACTACACCTGTTTAAATTTTTACTAAGCACATTATGAAATGTAATAAGAACTAAACATTATGTATAACAGTGGACATTGGATAGGTGTGTGTGAATAGTGATGCTGATAATCGTTACATGAAGATCTTGTTTGACAACATCCAACTATTCAATTAGACAATTTCACTAGCGTATTTCAAATATGGAACATAGCAGCCAAGTTTCACAGCGGAAGAAATAAGTTTGACAGTGCAAATATTTCTTATAAATTTTGTTTGTACTAACCCGGAAATTACTTACCTGACCCCATGCAGGGATCCATCATAAAAAAACTGTTTCACGCCTCTCAACACTTCTCTACCCCATATCTTCCAAAGCGACTGACATGTCACTGCTCCACCTTTACCTTTTAACTTATTGGCGTTTTTGTATACGTTTCCACTGTTCCCCCGTAACGCTTCATGACCTATATATTTGAAATCTTTCAAATAGTAATCGCGGAAATACAAATTTGTAACATTTTCTACTTCAACGCTCTGTAACGTATTCATTTATCGCTTTTCTGTCATGAACTGGAATGTAAACGATGTCTTTTCAATTAACTAATTAGAATTAACAACCACTCACAGGTAGAGAGACAAATTGTAAATGCAACGAAGTGTGTATGCTGCACTTTGCTTAATTGGTGCAATTTCCCTATATTGGAATCTAAAGTTACATCTAAATACATCAGTTAACATCGAAAGACATCAGAAACCATATCTTATGTTGATATATTCAGTTCGATAAGTACAAGTCTGGTTTACACACAGCTGTACATCTGTTTCTGGTGAATTTATGAAACAGAAAGAGAGAGGGGAAGTGATAGATAGATTTAATAATCTAAGTTTTAATAATATTACATTATTTTAATTTGACATAGCTTTAAACAATTTCAAAAATTGAATATTATTTTCGCTTCAAAATATTTTCATTTCTATGCATATAATTTGTATGATTTGCTAGAGTGCTACCTGTGAGGGATATTAGGGATAAACTCAGATTAGTTGGCCAGCTAACCTTCGTCGTACTTTAATTAATTGCGATGGTTTCCAGGGCGACTGCGTGGAGGTCGACCTAACAGTCTCCACACCCAACTAGATAGGCATATAATTTTTACATTATAGAAAATTTTAATAATAAATATAATCAAACTGTATTTTTTTTTTATGTTAAGTGATATTATCATAAAAATATAAACATAAATTTGTTTACTTACATGTCCAATGGCATACATTGTCGCATATAAAGGTTAGTTCTAGCGATGTTAATGATCATTGAAATGGTTGCAATCTTCGAATGCACTTAACAATATTACAAAAAAAGCCACCCCCGTTTCTAATAGTTTGATATTAGTAAGACATGCAATACACAACAGTGAGGTTTTTTTTTTAATTTAAATTGTGTACTTTCATATCTCATCAGTCATTAACTGTCCACTGCTGAACATAGGCTACCCACTATTGGGGGGGTTTGCCAGTTATTGCCACGTTTGGTACGCAAGTTGGCAATTGCAGTTAGTCTTTATGATGATGTTTTATGAGAAAGGTTGCCTATCCCTCGACCTAATGGTCGAGTTTCCTTAGTCATCTCTTACGACACCCACGGGAAAGGAACGATATTATATTTGTAAAGTGAATTTTTGTTTTAGTTACAAATGAAAAATCGTATAATAAAATAATACTTACTATGAATGTTTTTCTATCTCGAAGAGAAAATAACAAAAATAAAAAGCATTCAAGATCCGAGCAAATGACGTGCTCCTCAACGACGTTTTGGTAATAGAGCGGGAGATGACAACATTTATCACACACAAGCATGTGTGTGTGTCACACACAACCTATACATTGAAGTGATTTCAAGAGTTTTCTTTTATTGTTTAACAAAAATTACTGAACTACGTGTTATTTTGCGGAAGTCCATATCACTAGTTAGTTGATTAAAATTATTTTCTTTAATTCCGTTACCATTAGTATGCGTGCAACTGCCATCACTCGAATATTGACTATAATAATTATTATTACCAAAAGTTCTACAACTTTCTATATTGGCCATGAATCTCCGACCGCTATTCCATCCACGCATGTTTTGCGATACATATTTCACCTTTAAACAAGTCATCTTCAGGCAAATTAATAGATCGTTGCTCAGAGCCTAATGCCTTAACCATTCGGCGCCCAAATTGCGAATGAGTTATTTTAATAAATAATACTAATATAATAAAGATATTGTGCCATGTGGTTCCGAAATGTAATAGGTCACCCCTTCCTTTCCCATGGGTGTCGTAAAAAACGACTAAGGGAATTTAATGGACGAGAGCCTGTTGCGCCTGCCAAGCATAGCAGTATACTCTGTTATGTCTATGGTACTGCTTATGTCTATAGGCGACGGTTACCATTTCCCATCAGGTGGGCCGTAAGCTTGTTTGCTGCTGTTGGATAAAAAAAAACTATTAGCAAAACCTTCCATTATGGGGGAGGCATTAGTTTAGCAGTAAACAGTAAAAGGTTGATATGATAACAATTATAATGAACATAGATAGTCTTAGATTATACAAACAAAGCAATCTAAATACAATAATAACTTTTTGGATGAACAACAACCTTTTCCATATTTTTATTCTACGCCAAATAATACGGAATGTAACATTGAAATACTTTTTAAAACTTATAAATAAGGACAATAACAATCATACGCCTCCAGCAAACTATTCAGAAAGTTACATATCAATCACAATCTCGAATAGCTTTTTTTTGCACTGTATAAAAGTATTGTTGAATTTTCACTTGGCTATTTGAAAATTGGAGCTTTTGGAATGAACGAATGAATGAGTATACTTTATTTGCATTATACAATATAGGAAATAAGCAAGGCAATTTACAAACACAACGATACAATTGTATAAATACAGTAAGGCGGTCTTATTGCTGAGAGCAATATTTTCAAGACAACCTTAAGGTAATGGACTAATTGTTGTACAAGTAGGTATGATAGTACTGTATATATAATCACATGCATATATGTTAGATATGTACCTAATAATAAAGGCTGGCAGCACGTCTGCAATGCCGTTGGTGTTGTGGGTGACCATGGGCGGCGGTAGTCACTTACCATCAGGTGAGCCGCATGCTCGTTTGCTGTGTTGTAAAAAAAATATTGAAATAACAAAAATTCAGTATAATTTTAACAATATACAAACATAAATTTAGATATTATACGTACATACTCGTATACCTAAATAAATAGTATTAAGTCCTGTATGTATTTGTTTGTAACGCAGAGTCCTGAAGCTCTATGAGTACAAGTTGACTAGAAACGTATTCCTTATTAAATATCTTGGTATTTTACCTGGAAACAAATATTTTAAAATATAAATTAGCTGATTATTAAAAAATATACCTACAAGTGTTCAGTGTCATATCCTTTAAACTGAAACGTATTCATGCAAGTACAGCGTCACGGTGGAAACTCGATTGGGACAGAAGCACCCAAATGCAAAATCTCCGGATCTGATAAAATGAACTATCATCTACATTATATAATCTATGCATGTTTTAATAATCCACTACATTTTTTCTTACAATAATTCTGTAATACTGTCCATATCCCGTGACTATATCTGCATGAGAGACCAAATATTTTTGTAAACTTTCACAGACATAAGTTTAATATAATAATACCTTATCTATTTAATTCATATCAACATTTGTGTTGTAAATACCTACATGTTATTGTGACATGAATAAGTATCTATGTTTGGGGATACCAATCTAGTGTCAAAGGCCACTGATAAAACACGTCACACAGATGGAACCAATAGGTATGTTAAATATATAGGATCAAAGATATATTTACCAATTTATTTTTTATTTTCAACTTCATGTGACCGAAAGATGTTGATGTACAACAATTAGTCCATTACCTTAAGGTTGTCTTGAAAAGATTGCTCTCAGCAATAAGACCGCCTTACTGTACTTATACAATTGTATCGTTATGTTTGTAAATTGTCTTGTTTATTTCCTATATTGTATAATGCAAATAAAGTATACTCATTCATTCATTCATGTATGGCGAAATAGTCACTCATTTCCTTTTTCATCCCAAATACTATACGTGTGCCAAATTTCATGGCGACTAGTTAAGCCGTTATGACATCAAAATGTAACTAAACTAATTCTATTGCACTTTTAATAATATTCCAGTGCAACTTAGGAATAATCTATTGAAACCAATTTTCATTTGGACCCTGCCGATCTTTTTATGACTTGAACACATGAACATTTATAGGTACAAATATATATTTAACAGCTTAACATACACCAGAAACTGGTAAAATGTTAAATTACACAATGCCTGCTATTATTAATATTCATTAATACATTTCACAATAAAAGATAATTAAAATGTAAAAAATAGACATTCCAAATAGTATTGTATATTTTTTTTATTGTTCATATTTTAACATGCTTAGTGTTTAATAAATATAAACCTGCTGCGCTATTGGCGTCATCTATTCCTATCTAGCTCTGTGATCTTGCTTGATTGTGCTTTGAGATGAAACATCAAAGTGTATATATTTAACTTACGACATATCATAAAAAGTACTATTGTGTAATATTTTTTTACGATATTTTTAAGAACAGTTATTATTTTTATCAATAGAATGAAAATGAACTTTATACATAATATCGACGCTGGAAAAGCAAAATGTACTAAGTACCACTTTAGCTGACATTAATGTATAATTAATTGAATTCAAAATTTTTCTGCGTGGCATGGTACGAGTATATCTAATAAATTTCTACTGGGAACGGCTTATCTAGAGCTAGAGGACTACAGATATCTTAAACCGCGGGATATTGTTAAGGTAACACATAGGATCTATGAAATGATGGTATAAGGCAGGGGGAAGCACAAAATATCCCGATAGGTCAACTTGCAACGGCTTAGCTGACCCCATATGCAATTATAAGATAAGATAATAAATTAATTGAAGCAAGATCTTGCAATTTAGCCAGGCGTTAACATTTCCTCAGTTTGTCGAGTATTCACACAAATTTTGGTTGGTTTCCATTATATTTTGTTGATATTTTTTTTTAATAATACAGTTAATTTAATATTTTCAATATTAAAAAATATTATATTTAACCATACATTAGCGAATTACAGATTCACAATTTGTATACCAGACAATATTATGCTTATTTTTAGAGGGTAGGTTAAATTAAATAGAAAAAATCTATGGAGATACTTATTTGAAACGTCGCATCACTGGAAGTTCAGCAATAATTAGTGTAAAAGTGTGTGTTATTTATGTATGTAGTATTGCATGATATAAAACATATCATAAATAAAAAGATATGTTATCTATTATCACCAAATCAAACATTGAATATACTACCTCGTATCACTTATATAGTATTTTGGTTTCGTTTTTTTTTGCATTGCTTGTAAACTCACTCATCATCATCATCATCATTATATCAGCCGTTATCTGTCCACTGCTGAAAATAGGTCTCCCCCATAGACTGCCATAAGGAACAGTCCCGAGCCACCTATATCCACTGATTCCCTGTAACGTATATGAGGTCGTCACTCCATCTAGTAAAATTCACGAAATGACGCTTAATACGTTTTGCCTTTACAGCGTCAATGTAAAGTGGAACGTAAACACATACGAGTGATATCCGTTTGTCGTATTAGTTATTCTATGCAGTCAGTGACCCTTATTCCCCTGAGACCCTTATCCCAAAATAAAAACTTGAATAAAATTTTGAAGCGTACAAATGTTTGCCCTTAGTCGCCCTATAATGCTAGCTAGTGCAGCTACAATTCATTTAAAATAGCAATATTAAAAATAATATACTTATAAAATTATTTGATATATTTATAAATATCGAATACACTTTAGGCACTGTTGCAGCTATATCCTTTTTTTTTATAAAAAATATTACTAATATTACCCGCGACTTTGTCTGCTTTATCGGAATATTATTATGTTTACTGACCAAGATAAAAAAAGTAGCCTGTATCGTTCTCTATCTCATATAGTAAGTGTATACCAAATTTCGCAGTGATTGGTTGGTGATACTGTAAGGTAACAGACTAACAAACTGACTTTCACATTTGAAATATTAATAAGGATGGAATAGTAAATAAGCTGATCGCCCACCTGAGGATCTGATAAATATCTCCTATAGACGTGAACAGTGTTTTATTGTTAAGAATTAACTGTATTTCAAATTAGACGATAGCATAGAATTATTTACACAATTAGTTTAATTTACGTATATTAAAAAATTGTGTAAAAACTTAGGTGTTTATTTTTTAATATATCATTAAGCTTATTTTCCCTTTCAATTTTCATCGATTATCCGAATATTCGGTTATCCGGACAAGGTAGGACAAATCGGATCCCATATAGTTGTTATAATTGAAGCGCATCAGTGACGCACTATGTAATTCATTATTTTTATAGCTAATATTTTTTTAAATAGTATTGTAGACAATACTATTTAAAAAAATATCATCTAGAGATGACGTATATAAAACCCCTTACATAGTAAAAAAATATTAAAATTTAATAATTGTTTGGAATCGATTATCCGGATTTTCGATTATACGCAATACATCTAGTTTTATTTGATTCGGATGATCGGGATTCGACTACATTCAGCTTTTTGTTCACCGATTATCCAATTTAACATGTTCAATTTCTGTGATGAATTTAACATTCTGAACACTTTCATTTCATTTAATTTGAAGAAAATGTTTACAATGATCAATTAATTGAAAAAAAAGTTCAACATATTAGAACATACTATTAAAATAGTAAAATAAACATACGATTAAAACTGTTAGATCAGCGTACAATACGTATCGTTAAGTACATATTACCATAGTGTGTCGAGTTGATGAGTTCAGTTACATACAACAAGTGAACTGCGTCCGTTGTGTTGTAATTACAACATTGTTTATTAATCTAGTGTGAATGAGGTAATTGTTATTTTTTTTTGTTATGTTTTTATTTAATTGTTTAAAATCAGCTATCGCTTTACATATATATTTTTTTATGTTTTCATCGGAATTAAATCACTTAAATATCAAATTAAAATCTTTTCTAGTAATTATTGCTTAATTTTTTTTATCATATTATAGTTTTATTTGCCATATAAGTGTAAATAAAATAGTGTATATTATAAAAATGGATGAAACAAGAGGCATACAAAATAAAATTACTTTTTATTCATAATTGCCAAAAATTTAACAAACGTCTTTTAAATAAGAAACATAATGTTATTAAACACGTAATCTTTGATATACGTTTTGCACAGTTCTTTCTGCCCTCTCCATAAGAAACATAACGTGGAAGTAATATAGTAATCAATTTTTATTTTCTTGTTCAATTCAAAATCTTTTGATTGTATTTTTATTTTGCCTAGATTTCTCTAAAAATGAGAGAGACATCTGTGCGGAATATATAGATAAGTTTGTAGTATGTATTCTGTGAAAATTGACTCAAAACAATATTTCTTTAAAAATGTAAGTAAATATAATGAAAAGCGACTAGGCAAGACATTGTACTTACAGGTAAAAAGAAAGATAAAAATCCATTTTGTGAAAGATATTCGGATTCATAATATCTATCAACTAAAATATATATATGGATTGTGTTTTTTCACCTCCTATTTATCGACCTTAATTAAACTAAATAGTTTAACTTCAATAAATAATAAATACTTCCAGTTTTAGTTTGGAAAATCTTATAATCTACTTAAAGTACTAAAGCGATGATAGCCCTCCCCCATAGACTGCCGTAAGGATCGGTCTTGAGTCATCTGCATTCATTGAATAGCAATACGTTTAAGTTCACTTCGTCTAGTGGGGGGGGGGGGGGGGCAACCTGTATTGTATCCGTACAGGGGCACGTTACAGTACTATTATATTTGGGATAGAGAAGGACAAAGGCTACTACATATCTAGGTCAATTAACATATCTCGGTCACGCGAACGAGTTCGCGAAAAGCTATTTAAACGATAAATTAAAATGTTTATCTAACATCCGGTCGAACAAAGATATTACATTCATCCTCGCTGATTTGTATTGTACCTTCTAATGGATTTTCCATCTCCTTTCAGACGCCTTTCAAGTAAAGTTCAATAAACTTTTTTGTGCATCTACTTAATGTTAAATACAATAAAGTCATAATAATAAATGTATATTAGTAATTTCCCTTCTATCTTGATATTTACCTATAATTTTAATAAAATAAGCTGTTAGATTATATTATCTGTATAAAATTTTTTGAGTTTTGTGAAACGGTTTTTGTGTCTACATTATTTTTGATATTTATCTCTCTGTAGGTATAGCTATTTTTAACCTACTTAAAAATAGAGAGAGCATTTTGACTATATTTCTATGTGTCTAATTAATCTTTGATAATTCAGACTTTAATGAAAAATTTCAATATATTTTGTTTCCTATGTCAATTTGATCAAGAATTTTTTTTATTGAATCCTAAACTGTGATACATATTTTTGCGAAAGCCGTGTCTAATTTCTACTGTACTCTTTATTTGTTTATCCCTTACTTTATGTCTCATTATCTAGTACTCATAATAAGTCTTATTGGTAGTTTTTGTGTAAGTTTGTAATAACTAATCTATATTATATTAATGAACAATTATATATTAATTTCAGACAGTATGGAGATAACTAACAAAATTTGCTGTACACTCATAATTTTCCTGTGTTTCATTTACAGAGGTAAGTTATTGTTAAATTTAATAACTCTTAGCTGCAATTCAAATTGGGACGAAAAAGATTATAATTATTAATCGAATTCAAAAAAGTAAAAGGTTTTCAATATAATTCAATCGAAATAACTCGTTTTGCTAAGATTGAAGAAAACTTTTTTCTGTAGAACAAAATCTATAATAACTTAACAATAAAGTACATTCATTAAGGAGAAATATGAGTAGGTCTTCACCGCGTAGGCAGGTGAATAAATGATTGAAAATTCTTTATAATTCTTTTCGAAAATAGCTACAGTAACACAAAACAAGTAAACTAAATAATATTTTAATAATATATAATATATTACTATATGATATTGTACGCCCGTAGCGGGTAGACTGTGTTGTACCATATTACCTACTTATCAACCTGTAATTACAACAGTATGCACAATAAAGAATACATTCATTTATTCATAAAAACAATATTAAAGAATAAAAAAGGTTTCTTAATCAATCCTGAGACTAGTCAAGCTTTTTCGATTTAATCACGCGTAAGTTAAACCGGTAGTTATTGTATTAAAAGGTAAAAAGAAAATGTCTTTATCAAAAAGATTTACTGTTTGGTCTTGACTTGGGGTTTTAATCTACTCTATCAAAATTTTAAATATATATATATATATATATATATATATATATATATATATATATATATATGAGATATAGTGTCATTCGGGTTAATGCAAAGATTTGAACCCATACATTCAAATCTCTAGCATTCAGAAGTCACTCACAAGATGTACATGATCCTTGAAAACGTTACACACTTTATTGAACAGTTGTGTAAAAGTTAGTCAATTTAATGATTATATTGTTATTCCAGCATCTTCCATTTACTGTTACTATTGTAACAGCGCCAACAATAGCGCATGCGTGAATCCGAACCTTCTAGAAGAAGACATACGCTCGCGCATCATTCCGGTCGTCGACTGCGAGAGAGCCATACCCAGTCCTGTTAACGTCAACTTCTTCTGTCGGAAGATCATACAGACCAGTTAGTTCATGTTTTTATCCTAACTAAGGTGAAATGGAGTTTTTTAAGGATGATAACAGAGGTGTAACCCGAGCTGCAATATTATTATATACTGGCGGAGTATGAGACATCATAGGAGAGAATGAAACCAACTCCACTGTTTGAACATCGTAACTAATTTACTAGGAATCAACAGTTAAACCAAGAGGAATTGTTAGTAACAGTGAATAGCGGCTCCATTGCTAGCAGTATACCTCGTCAGGTCGACCTTTTCGCGGTTCCTTATCGTGAACATTATGGTAACCAAAAGTTAGACATGGTGAACTAACTTACCTGATATCATCCTTATTTACCCCGTCAACATTAATGAATAGTATAGACGGGTAATCATTCCATTTTTACCTATTAAAAAACCGTTCGGGAATTTTGCTAGTAGTTGCCACTATTCACCTGCCAAGTTTTGGTGAAATTTTAAGAGGGAAGCTGGTACCCATCTTTCGACCATTAAGTTTTCTCAGTCGCCTCTTATTACACTCACGGGAAAAGAAGGGATGACCCGTTCTATGCCGGGACCACACGACTGAAAATCCGTTTAATTAATGCTTATGATATAATAATATTTTGCATAAGTACATGTAGTATTTTCAATGGAGAACGACAGAGGATATGTAGGTTATATTCTGGTTAATAAAATTATTCCGGCGACGCAGATACAGTCGCGGGTAAAAAGTAGTACTGGTTTGCTATAATAAACAATAGATAAAGTTGTTATTTACATTTATAGTAGACTAGATTCTGTTAAAATAAAATATTATATGTAGATATATTGTTGAAACAACTGTTCCTCTGGGCTTTGTCCACGTGAACCCATTATCACCCATTTCCGTGGAAACTCCTATGGGGAATTAAATAAAAGTTAGTGATGATAATGTAAAATGGAAGTGATATACTTGCACATCACTCATGGATAGTAGTTTTTTATTTATTAGTGAAAGAATCAGTTCGACGAGTTCAGAGATTAATATACTAGATACAAATAAAATATGAAATATTTATTACTAATCTTTACCAGTGACTACGTCTGTGTTACTAGTATGTATTATTCCACAGAGATAAAAACTAGCCTATACACTTCTCCATCTCAAATGTTACGTTATAGGGGGAAAGGGATTGTTAGTAATGGAGTTTAACAGCCCTATTGTTAGCAATATGCCTTATTAGGTCAAACTACACGTGGTTCCCCCTGGAAACTATCGTGAACAATTCTTGTTGAATTCGTCATGATGGGCTAACTGACCTACTTCATCCTCACCTATCATCCCTCACTAGTGGCCCGCCGGTGTATACCGACAGCGCGGGTAGGGTTACCATTCCATTATCATCCATTAAAAAAAACTATAAGTCACACTCATAAGAAGGGTCTTGCCAATAGTTGCCACGCTTGGCAGGAGGGTTGACAACTGCAGTTAGGCTTTCGGTAATGTTTTAAGACAGACGCTGCTGTCCATCCCTCAATCACTAATTTCCCTTAGTCGCTTCTTTCAACACCCATTTGAAGGGAAGGACTGGCCCATTCTATGCCGGGACCACACGGCGAACATATAAGTTGCCAATTTTTGTGACGATTGACTAAGCTATTATAAAACTAAGAAGTAACAAACAACCAATATTGGTAAGGACTTAGAAATTTGGCCATTTTTAATCATAATTTACAAATTTGCTTAGAATTATTATTTACTTAAGTAGTTATCTATTGGTACCTTAGCGGCAAAATCTATCGTCAGGAAATTTGACATAGGTACCCGTACTATGATATATGAAGATGGATTTAGGTTTTTTAGTGCTATTATTATTTTTTTAGTAATATTATTCTAGTTTATTAGTAATAATTGTATGACCGAATAAATAATAAACTCTTACTTATACAAATGCCTAAAAACTTTAGATATTGTCTTTGCTCAGAAATATCTTGCATACTCGAACTTCCGAAATCGTCTTAAGTCTCCGACATCGCATAATTCACTGTTATTGTCGCTTCTTTTTCTAAGTGCCTTAAGTTATAATAGTTGGTACAATCTTTGGAGTATGGAGCATAAGGAAAGAGAGATAAAAGTATCATTTTTTTATTTTCCAGTATATCACGAGCATCACGATTCAGAGTTACGTGTGACTCGCGGCTGCGGGTGGGTGCGCCACGAAAAAGAATGCTACCAAGCGAACAACTATGACCACCTGGAGACAGTGTGCCAGTGCTTCCAGGACCACTGCAACAGTTCTGAACAGCTCGATCCTGGTGCCACGACTCTTCTATTCTTGACTCTATCAGCGGTTTTATACTATTATAGATAATTTAAGCCTTTTATTCTTTACTAGTATTTTTTCCTTACTTATGTAATAAAAAATTGGCTCAAACAGACAGTACCTATTTGCATACTCTATGTTGTGGTAGTGTCAGTTTGTTTTACTTAAGATATCTAGAGTAATCCATACATTATTTTGTATAACTTAACGTATGTATTTTTTTTTATTACATACAACAAATTAAAATAGACTATGTGAAAGATGACATACATATAATAGATTTTGTTCTACAAAAAAACCTCGACTTCAATCGTGACGAAATCAGTTATTTTGATTTAAATACTGAACCGATTATGATAAAATTTATTTAAAATTAATCAAAACAATTTTTCAAATCGGTTCAGAAATGACAAAATTCAGAAGTTACAAATATAATGTAATCAATACCACTTCTTTTTTTTTAAAATCAATCGAAAAGAGAAGTTCTTTTTTATGGGTGATAATGAAATAGTAACCCCACCCGGCTATCAGCATACAGCGGTAGGGCACAGTCGGTTCAGTTAGCCCATCGTGACGAATTCAACAAGAATTGTTCACGATAGTTTCCAGGGGGAACCACGTGGAGGTCGACCTATTATATTGCTAGCAATGGGGCAGTCAAACTCCATTGCTAACAATCCCTTTCCCCCTGAGAAGCGAGTTCAGGTATGACAGCTGATAGAGAATTATGGAGGTGTGAGTCTTACAGTGCGACATTAAATACATATTTACATTTATTTGGTGTAGGCTTGCATTAGCAAGGCGTCGCTGATGCTGTATTCCTGGTGAGTTCTTAGTAAATATCTATTTAACTATTTTTTTTATACCACTGAGGTGGCAAACAAGCATACGGTCCACCTGATGGTAAGTGGTTACCGTAGCCTATGAACACATGCAATACTAGAGGTATTACGAGTGCGTTGCCGACCCTGAAGAAACCTCTTTACTCCCCTTTTGAAGAACCCTATGTTGTAGTCTCTTGGAAAAACCTCGGCAGGGAGCTCATTCCACAATCTGAATGTTTGTGGGAAGAAATATCTCTGTAACCGTTGTATCGACTTCTCTAGTGATATACAGTTTTGAGGCCACCTCGATAATAAGGTGAAGCTGACATCAAAAAAACTCGGTGTGCTTAATAGAGCAAAGCAAAACTTCACATTGGATCTACGATTAATGCTCTACAAATCGCAAATCCGGCCCCACACACATCTCCAAAGCCTAACTGTGGTTGCTAATCCGCCTGCTAAGCATGGAAACTATTGGCAAAATTCCCCAAGGTAGAAGCTTATGTTCAGCAATGGATAGTTTAATACTGAAATGATGATGATGAAGCAAATTAAATTAAAAAAATTTTGTTTATTATGTCAATATTTATTACGATTTTAGATATTTTTTGCGACATTTCTACCTGTATATATCTATCGACAGGGTAAATATATTTTTTTTTTATACTACTTAGATTGGCAAACAAGCTGACGGCCCACCTGATGGAAAGTGGTAACCGTTGCCTATAGACATGAGCAGTACCATGAACATAACAGAGTATACTGTTTCGCCCATGATACCTCCCATGCGTTGCCATTCCTGAGGACTCAGGTGTTATTCCTCTGTACCCAGTAAATTTACGCCATATCCCACCCTTCAAACCGAAACACAGCCATGCAAACACAACTGCTTCACGGTTGAAACACGAATGGGACAGAGGTACCCAAACAATCGACTTTTGTACAAAGTCTCCCTCTGGTGATAGTAGTATATAATATATAGTATATAATAGTAATAGTAATCTATTTTATTTATTTTTATTTATTTAACACTTTATTGCACCAACATAACATGATTTGTCAAACAATTTTCAATATGTATAGTGTAATACAAACTCTATATTCTTCTTCATCCTAAAAAGAACGTATATTCCAAATTTTTAAAAAGCTAATATGCCCAGAGGTAATAAACAAACTCACTTTTACATTTATAATATTATTATTCAATGTATTTGATTAAATCTACATGTAGAACAAATCAATTAACCTATAAATAACATGAATTCGCGTTCATATGCAGTTTCTATAATTCGTATTCAAATACTATTCAGGTACTATAATAACAATATTCGTCATAAAGGCTAATACAGTTTACGAATATAAAGCCCTTGTAGGGTCGCTCGCACACGGATCGCTGTTTGTTCATTACTTATTTAGCAGCGGCCTATCCGTTGTTGTATGGCACTTCTATGAGCGAAATAAATACTTATGTATTTTTTGATTTTATGAGCTTTTTTATGCAACTCACCTGATGTAAAGTAGTAACCGTCGCCTATAGACATGAACAGCACTATGCATATCACAGAATATACTGTGACTCCCGTGCTCCTCATACTAGGTCTATGATTTTTTAAATGGATGATAATGGAATGGTAACCCTGTCTGTACTATTTGTATACACTGGCGGGGTACCAGTGAGGGATAATAAATGAAGATGAAGCCGGTCAGTTAGCCTATCGTCAGAAATTCAACAATGAATCAATTACGATAATTTCGAGAGGTAACCTCGAGGAGGTCGACCTGATAGGGTATTCTGTTAGTAATAGTGTTGCTAATCCCTATTACTAATAATCTGTTCCCGCCGGACTACGATGTTATGCTATGATACCTTGTAATTTCACTGCAATAGCCCACTATTTAAATTGAAATAAAGTTGCCGTGTAGTCTCAGCATAGACTAGGCCATCCCCTCCTTTCCCGTGAATATCATAAAAGGTGAATAAGGGAAGGTAATAGTCGTGATATGGGCAGCAGCGTCCCTCTTAAAATATCACCAAAGCCTAACTGCGGTTGCAATCCCGCCTGCCAGGCGTGGCAACTACTGGCAAATCCCCCCAATAGGGAGAGTCCTACTTTTAGCAATGGACAAATAATAGCTGATAAGATGTTGATGATAATGATGATGATGGCAATGAAAGCACAATTGGTTAGCGACAGAAATGACATAAGCAAACGGCCTCTGGGGCAAACGGGGCTTCTGTCCCAGTCTAAATTTTTTTCCACTCTTGGAACAAATTTTAGATTCTATTACTATTATAAATATGCAAGTTTATAAAGATGTTTCGATATTTCTTACACAAACACGCTTAAACCGGCACAATCACTATTAAACCGGTGAACTGCGAATAGATAAGGAATTTGGTACACAGATAGACTATATCTTGGACTATAAGTGATTGCACATTTAACACAACATAGTAGTTTATTTCAAGCAAATATTTTAGTGGAATTTATATGAAGTAAAAAAAAAAATATTATTTAAAGAAAGAAGAACCTACATGAGTTTTTTTTTATTTTTTTTATACAACTTAGAATGGCAAACAAGCTGACGGCTCACCTAATGGAAATTTGTAGCCGTCGCACATAGACATGAACAGTACCATGGACATAACAGAGTATATTGTTTCGCCCATGATCCCCCCCCCCCCCCCCCCCGCGTTGCCATTCCTGAGGACTCAGATGTTATTCCTCTGTACCCTGTAAATTCACGCCATATCCCACCCTTCAAACCGAAACACAGCCATGCAAACACAACTGCTTTATAGTTGAAACACGAATGGGACAGAGTTTATAATAAACTGCGAGACTAACCAAATGAATTTCCGATTTTCCCGCTTGCAATCGCGCTCCAAAATAATATATATATATATCATTATGGTGTTCTATTTCTACGTCACTTATTAAAATTTTATTGTAAATCTATTTTATAAGTATCTATAAATCTATGTATCTATATTTTCACGCCGGATCTGTACAGGGTAGGCGACGAAAGATGAAAACCGAAACAATATCTCATATGTATTTTGCTTCATAATTTATTTCGCACATTGTTCCGAATACTACATCCATTTATACTACATTTTGTCATTTTATAACAAACTAGAGATACATGAGTAGGAGGCCTCAGTTTTTTTTTAAATACGGCCCATTTTACTCGCTGATTTTACTAGTTTTCTATAGGTGAAAGAGATTATTTATCAGTTAAGTATTGTCAAGTTTGTACATTACAAACAAAAAATGATTTTTTACCTTTTTTATAATGTTAGTTAAGACTAGCTTGAGTTAGGTTTAAACGTATTTAGATATGGCTCACAATATTTATTATTCGTACATACAAATTTAATTGCGTAATCAAATATTTATTAATAAGCATCTATTTTTAGTAAATGAAATTACAATTAAATAGTTGTTGCGTCCAGGGATCGTGTAGCTCGCACTCCGTTTTAATTTGCCGCGCAGCCTCCAGCGGGATTATCTGTCTTTATATCCACAATGTTAATAATATAACATTTAATATCAACTTTTACGAGCTTTGCTTAACGAGAACCACTATTTGACGTAGGTTAAAAATTTAAAGTAAATATTCTTTAACCTATTTTAAGATCAGAAAGCCATAGTAATGACTTTTATATTCATATATGTGGGATGTGTATAGATAATTATAACAGATAAGTTTTATTGTTACTGGACAACAGTGATATGCACATGATGAATAACTTAATTGCGAGTATTTACTATGTACTCGCATACACAATTAGATAATGACAATTTGATGAACTTTCTATGTTCAATGGTTTCAACTACATCTGAAAATTTCTTTAGGGTGCGTACGGTGCTTACGTATTCCAAATCGGTTTACGACTGACGGAGTTATGAAGTCACCAATATAAATAAAATACAACCGAATTGAGTATCTCCTTCTTTTTGAAGTTGGTTGAAAATTAACATAAGTTTTAAGAATAATATTGTATATAATATTATTTGTGCAATTTGAAATGGCAAACAAATTAATGGTTCATTGAAGTGATGACCATTGAATTTCATTCATTTCATTTAATTCGGACAATAAGGGATACAGTTGACATATATATTGTTTATAGACAAAATTTCCTTTTATTAAAATTTGGTGAGTTAGCAGGATAAATTATCAACCTGTATCTAGAATGTGTTATAATTTTTAAGTATCTTTCAACATCACAACGAAAATATCTTTCAATTTATGAACTTTTATTACCTTTTTATAGTTTTACAGTAACATATACATATGCTAAACATTAGGAGACTTTGCCAGTAGTTACCACGCTTGGAATTTTTTAATAGGGATGAAAATGGAATTATTACTGACTGATAAGGATAAAGCCAGGTAAGTTGGACCATCGCGGCTAATTCATTATTAATGAAAGACGACGGTTTCCAGAGAGATCACGTGGAAGTCAACCTAAAAGGGAACAAACTCCCTTTCTAACAATGAGAACTAACCTCTCCATTATTAACAATCTCTTCCCCGTAAACCTTAAAATTTCCTATAGGTTGTAGAGTATGTGAGTACGTTAGACTACGCTATGGGTTGTAGCGTACATTCATTTAGGGTGTGTCATTAATTGCGTCACTATGGGAAACTTAATCTAATTAGTGATCATTAACGCGTGTCCGTGTAACGTGCAACACACTCGTAGTATTTTGTAAGTGCGTAAAAGTAAACTAATGGTTATAGGTTCGAATCTATCTGGCAACAAAATTTTTTTAGAAATCGAACAAATTAAAATTATTATAATCTTATAAATATAATTAAATTGTAATTAGTCTGTACATGGGAGATAATTAAAAAAATATGAGGGATATTAATAAGGCCAATATAAGTCAAAACAATATTTTTTGAAATTTTGTCTGCATAAATCTATCTATCAATCCGAATACTTCTTTTTACCGTCATGATGTAGTGATGAATACATCCCAAAATAGATTTCTTTTCCATGGTATTAAAATATAATGCGTCCGTATTCCGTACCTAATAATATTATTGCTATATCTCATCATTTAAATCGAAACACAGCCATGCGAACATAGTTGCTTCTTGATATACGTGTAAGATAGAGGTACTTGTATATAAGCAGTATTTATTTGTATTTAGATTTTGTATCAAAATTCTACAAACTAATATTCTACTTTGTAAATTTTATACAACATACGTTACTTTACTTGTTATTTCTGAGAATTAGGCCATTATGCCAGCGTGTCCAATATTTTTACAGCTATATCTCACACGCTTTAAACCAAAAAAAGCTATTCAAACACATTTGCGTGGCTGTAAAAATATGTATAGGACCGAATAAAGGTACCAACTCACACAGACGATTTTTTGTACAAAGTCTCCCTCGGATTTTTTTTAGGGTAAATAATCCTAACTATGATAAATGGAAAAAACTATGAAAAAAAAACAAAACGATATAAGTGTACAAATGAGTGACGTAAAATTAAAAATTGTTCAATTTATCGAATAAAAAAAAGACCCATGACTGACTCATCGTTTTATTTCAATAACTTCACGACTTATAAACAACTATCTGTCATTTATTTATATTAGAGTACAATATTTTGCCAGAATCATTTCATGGATTAGAGAGTCATAAATACAATTAGAAAAACGCTTAGAAATCCATCCAGCCTTTGGAAATAACTCTGGCAATTTATGATAACAATAAATAATATTTTTATTTTTATTAATAACAAATATTATAATATTTATAATAATTTATTACACGCAATACATTTATAACGTATTATCAATATAATACCATTTACAATTTAACAAGTTTTGTAAATAGAATAGTTGACAGTTGTCAAAATAAATAAGATAGCGATGGGTAGGATAGGTGTAACTTTATGACTAGTATTTCGCAAGTACCAGATTCCAGGTGTGTTTACTACTTATTATAAATAATACAGTAAAGGCTCAAGGTATTTGGAATTGCAGCTGCGTTATGTGCAGTAAGTGATTCAGTTTTGTTTGGTGTGCCTTTTTTCTCTTTCCTCGTGCACTGGTTCCATTAGTTCAGGCTCACTGCGGTCGCTGCTTTCATTTTGGAACGTGATATCTGTCAAAATTAAATACGTTATAATTTTATAGTATATGGATGAACTTATAGAAAATTACTTTTCGGGCTATATGAGTCACTTTCGTTTGTTATAACATGATAAATGTTTTGCAACTACTCTATCCAGTTGGCTGCAAAAGATTAATTTTTTGGTTTTCAACTATGATATTAACATATGTGTTATCGTTTTTAAGAGGGACCACGTGAAAATCTTATGGGGTATATTACTAGTAATTAAGCTATTAGTCTATAGGCGACAGCTGTCACTTTTCATGGAGTGGACCGTCAGATTGTTTGCCATTTGAAATTGCAAGAAAAAACAATTATTTTTTTCTCTTTTCCAAGCGTATAGTACTTTAATCTCCCAGTCATCTTTTAAGATAACTTAAGGGTAAAAAGGAATGGTGTGGATCGAGTTAGACAGAGGTACCTGTGCAACGATTTTTGTACAAACAAATTTTGTATATAGTACAAATATTACCATCATCTTCACTTTTGAAGGATCTTCCCACTCGAGGTCCGAACCACATGCCGTTGGTGTCTGAACGGCGGACGTGCAGGGGTTCCGCGACCGGCTCCCGCAGCAGTGACAAATCACTGCGACCGACTCGCGGGAACGCGTACAACTGTCGTTTCTCTATTGGCTCGTAATCTGTATTAAAAAAAATATATTTATTTTTTAATAGATGATAATGGAATGCTAACCCCTGCTACGCTATCACATTACATTGACAAAACATCACGGTATCAGTGAGTAATGATAGGTGAGCTGATAGTATATACTGCTATTTTTTATTTTTTTATTTCTTTTAATGCAACTTAGAATGGCAAACAATCTGTCGGCCCACCTGATGGAAAGTGGTAACCGTCGCCTATAGACATGAGCAGTACCATTGACATAACAGAGTATACTGTTTCGCCCATGATATCCCCATGCGTTGCCATTCCTGAGGACTAAGGTGTTATTCCTTTGTATCTTGTACTAAAAAAATAAACTGAAATTTTCGAAAAAAAGAACAACTGTATCACTAGCTTATTCTGTGTATTGCCTTTCGTAGATATAAAAAAGTGGAACTAGACAAATTTACTTATACAATCACCATATAACATTCTTAATACTTATAGGTATAATACAAATATTTCTATTTTATTTATAATATTTCAAAAATGTTTAATAGCTTACCTAAATACATTTCGTTGTGTGGAACCTGCCAAGTATGTCTATTCGCTCTCCCCACTCGTGGGAATGGATATAAGTTGAGCACTCCATCACGGCGCAACTTCGCGCTGTTGTCTATTGAACAAACAAATATACAAATTAAATTAATTAAGTATAAATAATATAATCTCTTTCTTTTCTCAATGTTCTCTACCCAAAGGTTGTCTGGAAGAGATTGCTTAGCAATAAGGCTGCTTTTTGTATCATTTCTTATTACAGTTAAATGTATTTACTTTTTTATAAATGGTGTAATAAAGTGTAAATAAATAAATAAATAATCTTGGCAGGCAGGCTGACAACTGTAGTTTGACTTTGATTATGTTTTAAAAGGAACGCTGCTGCCCATCCTTCAACCAATAAGTTCCCTTAGTCGCCTCTTACGACACCCATGGGAATAGTATGGGGTGGCCCATTCTATGCCGAGATCACACGGAAATGTACCTATAATACAACCATCTGAATACAAGACCTTGTACTATAAATTGTAATATTTATATTTATAAAACACGCTTCTAGATGTTTAATCCGAATCGCAATAGGAATCCGACCGTATGTATAAATAATAAAAACATTTTACAATGAAAACAGTGGATATAGATATACATAAGTACCTTGTACATTACCATATAATAAATAAGTATACAAATTCATTAATTTTTATACTTTTTAACATTTGAATAAGAATAGAATATAATAGAATATTGTACCCTACGAGACAAACCGTTTGTTTTTGTTTTAATAAAAAAATATTATACAGAAATGCGATTGTATAAAGAAGTTACAATTATAATAATAAAAAAAAGTATTTTTATCATAATGTGTTAATGTTGTAACACATCATCATCATCATATCAGCCGTCTACTGTCCACTATTGAACATAGGCCTCTACAAAAAAGAAAAAAAATTAACACACGTTGTCTATTAATACAAATATGTTCTTTCCTCATAATCTGAATATAATATGCATAGATTATATACATAGAGTCTAGAGTCTTAAAAACGGGTCAACTTTTTGTCAGCTAATTTGACAATTAACTGACTCGTTTTTTTTATCAGTGTTCTATATACTTACGTACATGAAGTATTTTTACATATTATTTAACAAATAAAATGAGTGTTTACGCAGTAAAAAGATACAAAAATTATAAGAGAAAATAAATATAGATGTTATAAAGGAATCATTTATAACTATTTATCATGCAAAATTGTATGAAAATGTTGTCTCACGTTTCTCGAAACATTTGTATGGAGACACTCTGTCTATATAACATTAGACAATATGTTATTACTATTAAAAAGTAAAACTGATCAAGTGCGATTTGCTTGTTTACACATCGAAGATTCGGTTCTTAAAATAAATTGTAAATAATTTTCTATGAAATTCAAAACTAAGCGACATAAAGTAAACTAGCGATAATAATTACTTACTACTATCAAATTTGGTATTCAGGTGTTATATGGGATGGATAAGGACATAGGCTATTTTTATTCTGATCAGTGAATATATCACTATGGTTTTAGTTTACTATGATCATCATCTCAGCCATTCTCCCTCCACTGCTGAACACAGGCCTCCCCCATAGACTGCGACAAGGAACGATCCTAAGCCATCTGCATCCACTAACTCTCTGCAATGCATTTGTTTTAATTATTATTAGTAGATGGTACGAGAAGAAAAAAAAGAAATATTAATAACTACTACATTTGCTAGCATTTAAGCCAGCTAGTTTTTTTTGTATATTATTGGGTTCTTTTTGATTTTCTTTTTTTTTTTTGTTTAACATTTTATTCTCTATTCATTCAAATATACACAATTTTACGCGACAAGCGTTGATTTTTATTATTCTCCAGTCACAATTACAATTTGCCTACAAAATAAAACGTAAGCAACACGCCGCTTTCAGTCGGTGTGCTTCTACAAATAGACTGACAAATGTGTAACTGTCTGTATAAAGTGGAAAGCCACCCTCATAGATTACAATCAAAGTTTCCGCCCGCTGAAACAATCGAGTCAGGCGATTTCTGTTCGACGTCGTCATTTTAAGATTGTTTGTCTCTCATTGTTTTATAAATCTAATATTAGATAGTTATTTAATGTACAAAAAAAATCTTTTAAATGTAATGAATTTCACTCTTGACAAAAATTCTGGAAACAAAAAAATTGTCTATTTAAATTTAAAAAACGGAACAGTAGATTTTTTGCTCTGCAAAGAAAAACCGAGACTTTATTCGTAGAAAATAAAGCCTCTAATTATAAAAAAGAAGTACAAATAAATGGAGAACTTTGTCTTTTAGAAATGGGTAGAAATGAAATAACAATTTTAAGAATAAGTACCTGATATTTAAATTTAGAATACGGAATAGTGGGGCTTTTCTCTGCAAAGAAAAACCGTACAGATAAATTAAGACCTTACTCCTTTTGAAAGTTATTTCATCGGCAATATGGTTCAATTATTCATATAACTGCGTCAACATAGGTAGGTAACTTCATAAATGTCACATTAAATTATTAGAAACATTTGCAATAACCAAAGTTCAGTGACGAATTAATTGACCACTAATTAAGTTTTAATTGTCTCAACTTGAATTAAATTACATATTTCGACCATGTAAAGGTACATTTACATCTAATAAGAGACGAAAATAGTTTCTTTAACATATTCTTGATTGCCAATCTTCACTAGTTGGAAATGTACTTTATTGTTAAAAAAATGTATAGTTCGCAAACACTACCTACATTAAGTTTAATCATCAGTCAGTCAATAAATCGATCTCAAGTACAATATTGAGAATCCTTTTTGATTAATAAACAAAAATAAACTTTAAGTCGAGCACATCGGATCATACAAAATGCCTATTGTTACTGTTCATATCTATAGGCGACGCTTACCACTTCCCAACAGGTGGGTCGTCAGGTGGGCAGTTTGTTTGCCAGTCTAAGTTGCATACAAAAAACATTTATTTTCATATAAAATATGAGCTGCATTTGTTCTTGCGTAACCTTAGTGAGATTATCACCTCACTTAGTGAGAGGTCCTGTTTATATATTTTTATCTTGATTTAATTTCATTTCGTAAGATCATATTTTTAATCAGAGAGACGGAAAATAATTATCTTAGAATATCTTTTTCGGTCTTCTTTTTTTATAATAATATTCTATTTATTTAATGAGGTATATATTTGTGTGTGTCAATTGTGAAATCAATCCAATCGAAACCCTTATTTCTCGAAGATTGTAAGTGCATTTTAAACTCTTTAAGGTAATGTTTAATAATCTAGTTTTAAATAAATAATTTATTCGTCGCCATATATTACGATACTCAATACCTACGACTAGAGAAAAGGAAGGGATTATACGTATTAGTAATTGGGAGTAACAGTAAGTGAGGAGTGCTAGCAATATACCCTAATGGTTAATTCTTGATTTGAAATAATCATTAACATCATCATCATGTCAGCCGACTACTGTCTACTGCTGAACATAGGCTTCCGAAAAGGAAAGTTTTTCCCGTAGTTGCCACGCTTGGCAAGTAGTTCGGCGACTACAATTAAGATTCGGTGATGTTTTAAGAGTGACGCTACTGTCCATGCCTCGACCATTAAATTCCCTTTTCTCAAACATGCTTGGAAATGTGAGCATTATTTTGACAATCTTTTTCGAGATAAATCAAAATTGCCGTACTGGCCAGATACAAACGGCAATACGGCCGGCAAAAGTTGTATGAAAATCCATATCTGTTGTGTTTTGCGACCAGATAAATTACTATGTAAACTCATATCTGTTCTGTAACTTAAAAATGGAATGACCTTTTACTTCGAAACATGGCTACCAAGGAGGTAACTAATAAAAGGTTTTATTTAAATTTCGAACTGGCTTGCAAATAGAAAGCTGTTTATTGAAAAAAAAAAGAAAGGAACATTATGGCGCATGAAAAATTATTACTGTTCGTTATTCGTCATTGAACTTAATAAGTAAAATTGTGTTTTTAATTTCCGCGCATTGTTTGAGAAAAGTACTATACAAGCCTTGGCCACAACTAGGCATTGATGGACTCACATATGTGTGCCTCGGCTACGCCTCGGCCCACATTTGCACGTTCGTCCATCAATGCCTCCGTTGCTGGCCGCTGCAGTAATGTACTATAGTCGCCTCTTACGACGCCCACAGGTAAGGATGGGGTGGGGTATTCTATGGCGGCACCACATAGCAGATAATAATGATTTTAATTTTATAGTAAAGTTATAGATAATAACGTTGGTCAATTGTTTCTTTTATACATGACTAATAACTTCAATTGTATTCCGTACACTTGTACAAAACATAACCAACAAAATTAAAGCTGAGCGGATTTATTATCTGCTCGCCTTCAATTATTTATGTTGATCTGTGTGTAATCTTTGCGTGTAAACTTGTTTCACATTAAACATTTATTTTGCACCTTTAATCGCAATTTCGCTGGCCTTTTGAGCTCAAATCTACTTATTTTAGATCTTTAAAATGTAAATTAAATAAATAACTTTTTTTTATAGAGCAAAGAATAGCAAAAAAGCTAACAGCCCATCGAATGAGAAGTGGAAATAATCGTCTATATATTTGAATAGCTAAATTCAATCATTTATTGCATTTTCACGTCTCTTAAGCATTAAAGATATAACTTCAGCATGTACCTTGTAAGGGCCCAGCAGTCATTGGATGCGGGAAGCTCAGTACCGTTTCTTGTGGAGGCCGATGGGGGAGACCTATGTTTCGCAGTGGACAACGAATTACTGAAATGATGATGATGCTAATATTTTTAGTTTATTTATCTTTTTTTTTTAGTTATCAAGTAACAGTTATTAAAAAAATAATGCCTTGATACCGCGAAAAATATAATAATATTACAGTATGCAGAACTAAGACTCTTTACACTGTACTAATATAGTGAAAATGTAACTACAAGACGTCTATGTGTAGGAGATATTTTTTAAAACGAAATCAATAAATTACAGAATTTTTTGTTTACCTGTATGTTTGTACAAAACTTTTAACCCAAATTCGATACGATTTTATTACAAAAGGTCTAACTTAAACATTTTTGTATGTTTTATCATGAGAAGACATCTAGGTGAAGTTATTTACTTCCAAAATCCACGCGTGAACATGAGTCCAGATGGGAACAAAAGCTAGTGACTAGTTCACCAACATAAGTTACTTTTTGTTACTAACAAATTTTTAAAGTAAAACCGAGTGTTCTCATAATCATTCATATTATATCTAAACAAATTCGAAGAAAAAGAAAACACATGATGTACTTACGTTTTTTGAAAGGGTACTAAAAGGTGATAAAATAAAAAACGGTAACATTAAAGTAATAGAGATCAAAATGTGTTGTACTTACGGTAAGCGCTCGCTAGTGCAGATGTGAGTAGTACTAATGCGGCGACCAATCTTACGGAGGACTGCATGGTACCTGCACAAAAAATTATATTATTTACATAATATTATTTACTAGCTATATCCCGCGACTTTATTTGGGTGGATTAGTTCATATCGTATCGTATGAATTAAGTTAGTATATAACATAGTCTACCTTTGGTTTCAATAGTAACAAACATCCACCCGCCCATTCATCCAACTTTCCATCCAAAGATCTTCCAGGCAGGAAGAAATCACTTTTAGCAAATGTTTTGTCATGTCGTTTTTTGTCCATTCTTATCTCATTTTCATCTTTTTTTGTTATAAATATAAAGATTTTGTTTATGATAAGTTTAAATTAAAATCTTTTGAAAATAGCAATAAATTGTATCTATCTACATACATGGCTGTGTTTCTCATTTGAAGGGTGGGATATGGTGTGAATTTACAAGGTACAGAGAAATAACACCTGAATCCTCAAGAATGGCAACACATGGGGGGTATCATGGTCGAAATAGTATACTCTGTTATCCCCATGGTACTACTCATGTCTATAGGCGACGGTTACCACTTTCCATCAGGTGGGTCGTCAGCTTGTTTGCCATTCTAAGTTGTATAAAAAAAATCTCTAAATTCAAAACTCACTTGTTCTAAAAATAATTTGTTTTCTATACTAGACACGATATTTTATTTAAAATTTACATTTATACATTATTTATGAAAAATATTTAATTCAATATTTTTGTATTAATTGATTGCAATAATGCATACTTTCGTCTATTTTTTTTATTCAATAAAAAGACATACTCATACATCTATGATTATACATACATCATATATGTATAATCATAACATATAAAAAAACAAACTCTTGAAGTATTCTAGCTTTACTTCTAATTCTAAGCTATTTGTTTTTTTTTGTGAAATTCAATCTTAACAGTGTGTTTTTCGCCACATATTTGCACACGGCAGCGCGGCGCCGCATCGCTCCGTAAGTTAATCACTTTAATAACATATACTTAATATTAATGGTAATATAATAGATGTTTCAACATTCAGTAACCATATATAAGCGATTTCACCTTATCTATGATCTGTGGATTAAAGTTTCACGACTGATAATAATCAAAATGTAACATTTCTGATTATGGGTTATTAGCAAGCAGTTTACACACCTACGCGATATTATTATGGTTATTTTATATATAGATTTATTACTTACGAGCTTTTGCCCGCAACTTCGCGCGAATTTTGAAAGTTGGTAACTTATAGACGGCGTATCAAGATAAAACATATGTCAGATTTTAAGTTACACCTTCTGGAACAACCGCATTCAATTTGGTGCTGACATACAGAAATACAGACAAAACTGCTTAAAAAAATTATTTTAATTTTTAATACTATAATTTAAGTAGGTTTATTTAGAACTGCAAGTATATGAAAAAATTTTATGCACATAACAATGTGCAATAGTTATAAATAAAAATAGTACCTTATGTCTCTTACGGCAATAGAGGACTATTATATAACTATCATAACGTACATATCTGTCACGCCTGTCTCCCATTAGGGTAGGCAGAAACAATGGAACGCCAAATGCCTATGACTATCATAATAAAAAAAAACATTTCGTAAAAGAAACCTTTGAAGTCGAATTTGGCGCGTAATAAGAATGATCTTACTTTCTACCCCTTGACCTCATCTCATTATTAGTGTGCGACACAGTGTTTTCTGCGCTTCTATTTCTACGTATTAAAATTGATTACTTTGTTTACGTTCTTTCCGCATATATCATTTATCGACATCATTTTTCTAATCTAGACATCAGAAGTATCGAATAAAATAACTAAAAAAGAATACCTTTTATTAACTTAGATATTATTTTGGAAAAGTCCATTTGAATTGTATGAGTATTGAGATTAATATTTTCTTTTTATTTTCACTACAACAAAAAAGTCAGAGAGTCTCCATTAAGATTTTCCAGTGGTTTTTTGTCATTAGAAATTATAAAAAAAAGATAAAAGTTATTTGAATAAATCTTAATCCTATACATAAAAAAAACTAAAAGGAAATATCTTTTGTTTCCGGATATGATATTAAGTAGATAAGCATACCTAATTATTACAGAGTCTGCGGTTAGTGGTTTGCCTTAATTATGGTTAAAGGTGCAGTTACTTCCTGTAAATATATGAACCACAAACACAATGCCTTAACTGTCCATCTTTTAGACATTATTCTGAAATAGTAAAGAAGTCGTTAAAAGTAAAATGAAATTATAACTTCCTTTACAGTTAAAGGTATGTCATTTGAATATAATAAAAGATAAGTTAAAATTGAATTTCTCTTTCGAAAATTTGAGTTGCTAAGTGGGACAGAATCTACTAAAACCCTCAACTAAATATCAGCTCTTTTTATATAGATATATATAAATATACCGTGAGCATAAATTTCCTGAAGTCTGAAGGATGGAAATGAGACAAAATCATTTACATAAACGATCTACCAAGACTTATAAACAAAGAATACATATTAAATTCTTTTGCTGATGACGTACGTAAATAACATTAACATATAAACTAATAAATAAACAATATATTTCTTATAATAAGAAACTAGTTCGACTATTAGTATGTGAAATTGGGCATATTATTTGTTCTTTATTAGACAAATAAAATATGTACAAGTGGCGACCTTAATACCGAATGGCATTTTACCAAAAAACAATTGCAGGGCAAAATAATTGGGACTTATAGAATTTAAAAACATGCTGTAATTATTTATCATTTCAAAATCTAACTAAAAGTATAATAATGATATAATAATAATCGATTTCTCTTCACAATTCATCATAGTGAAGTACAATGTTTTTTTTATGCAACTTAGAATGGCAAACAAGCTGACGGCCCACCTGATGGAAAGTAGTAACCGTCGTCTATAGATATGAGCAGTATCACGTACATAACAGAGTATACTCTTTCGCCCATCATACCCCCCATACGTTGCCATTCCTAAGGACTCAGGTGTAATTGCTCTGTACCCTGTAAATTCACTACCATATCCCACCCTTCAAACCGAAACACAGCCATGCAAATACAACTGCTTTACGGTAGAAACACGAATGGGGCAGAGATGCCCAAGCAAATGACTTTTGTACAAACCCTCCCTCTGGTATTAAAATAATCAAATTATAAGCATTAAAGACTGGTATCTGAGATAGGTATAAGAATACCTGTATTACGGGTAACCAGGGCTTCGACGTTTCGAATACCATTTTAATAATTAAATTAATAAAAAACCTCTACGTGTAATGGCTTCGATAGACGTAAAAGCAACAATAGTAGCAGTAAAAGTTGCTAAACTGTTTCTGGGAGATTGTGAATAGTCCCAATTCTATAAATAAACTTATATAATTAATTAATATTTAGACTTTCCCGTCAAACTATGTGAACCTTTGTGTAATAGGTATATGTAATTATACATCGAGACATTTCAATGAATACTAATAGCTATTCATATAATGTATTCTTTGATGGCAAATGAATAATTGAACGGTAAGATTGTTTTCATAGTTGATCAAACGCTCACTTCTAGTTGTATTACAAAATGTAGATCCTATTTATACTTCGGTAACTACCCGTCCCGGTTCTATACGGGTGCAAACTGTACATACAATGTCAGAGAACGCGTAATGCCCTGGTATTGCAGGCGTTTATAGGCTACGGTAACCGCTTACCATCAGGTGGGCCGTATGCTTGTTTCCTCAGTGGTATAAAAAAAGGGAAATAGTTACTTCGATAACTTTTATTTATACTATTTACAGAAGCAAAGTAACTGTATAATTCAATTGATTACTTTACTGATGTTGAAATAATAAATGCGTTGAAATCGGTCCATTCATTTGGAACTCACGGTATCACAAATAAATACAGTTAAGCTTTAAAGTTGCCGTGTGGTGACCACCTTTCCCTCCCCGTGGGTATACCGTAAGAAGAGATTAAGAGAACTTAATGATCGAGGGATGATCAGCAACGTCCCTCTTAAGACATCACTAAAATTTAACTGCGGTTGCCAACACGCCTATTAAACATGGCAACTACTAACAAAACCTCTCTTATTTGAAAGGCTTATGTACAGCAGTGGACAGTTAACAACTGGTATGATGATGATGATGGTCATTATGCAAATGATCACGACTCTAATTTTCTAATATGTCTCTTTTGTTTATTTGGTGGATGGCCTGGGTATGTCTCACTAAACGTTGAATTTAAATTTACTATATTCCGTGGTTTTACGTGAATCAGTACATAAAGTATCCTATATGTTAAGTTAGGATATAACCTACCCGTGTACCAAAATATCATTCAAATCCGTTCAGTACTTTGTGCGTGTAAGAGTAACAAACATCTATTCATACATGCATCCATTGTTAAAAAAAATTGACCTTTATTATATTAATAGGATAATAGAAAAAAATGTCTATAAAAAAAAATTCTCTTATCAAACCTCTTCTTAAAATTTCTTTACTTGAACTGCACAGGAATGAGCGTTCCTAAAGTTTACCTATCTAATAAGCCCACATCTACCCACTGCTGGGCAAAAGATTCTATCCCAACTTCATTTACTGCTTCTTTTATATTTTCACTATGTAATCTATGTTGGCCAATACTTTTCATATGTATTGACGACGATTATAATTTTCTATCAGGTAGGTCGTTAGTTTATATGCTATTTCTAAGTTTCATATAAAAAAAAATCAAGACATCATGTGATCTAAAAACTGTTCTACCACCACACTGATACGATCTTGATCCATTAGTTTTTCTGGCCAAATATCTTATTTATGCTCACTTCACTTAGCTAAATACGTCTATGAAGCCAAACATAACTCGCAAAATTATGACGAAATCTCAAAAACTACTCGTAATTTGTCTACAAAACGGGAGTTCGAAGCTGAGACTTTATGTGAGATATGAGAGTTTATGGGATTTCAGCTCGTAATTTTGTCAAAGGACTATCGAACTAAAAGTGGTAGCAATTTCTTCATTTAATATATTAGTCTCGCGAACTAATATGGCCATCTTAAAAATCATTTATGTATGAGCAAATTTTTTTGTCTATACTAATATTATAAAGATTTGATTGCTTGTTTATTTGTTCGTAATGGATAAATCCAAATCTTAAACAAATAATTTTAAAAATTCTTTCTCCTATAGAAAGCTATATTACCAGCGAGTAACACAGGCTATATATTATTTTTGAAGCCCTACTACCCCTACTACTACCCATGCGGTGCCAAGCCGAATCACTGGTATAAAATATAGTAAATAAAAAAAGTCAATAAATTATAAAATAATATAAAATTGTCAAAAAAATATAAAATATTTTTGTATTTTATTTCAACGTTACGTTCTTTACGCGGTATTATCGTAACTCGGCGTAGCGCGGGTTCAAATCTATTTGATTTAAAAAATCTCTAAGATTCCTCAATGTAAATTAAAATAATGAAACAGCGAGATTTCTACTAAATTTTGTTTTTACTATCACTAAATATTTTTATTAAAGATATTTACCCTTTCTTTAAAAAATAGCTATTGTAATTAATATTTTTACAATTCCCTTTTTGCACGACTAATTCACTATTTGTAAAAATAATACTGTAAAATATATAAATGAGTAGGTATTCAATATTATTCTTATTTTAAATTCTATATTTAAATTCATTCTGTACTATTAATAATATATTGTAATTGTAATTATATTAAGATATCAAGATTAAGTAATCGGAAATAAAGACGTTAACAGACTGTCGACTCACCTTTGCTCTCGTCACCTGTTGCACGACTGGAATGCTGTATCGCCGTCTGATGCCCACTTTATATAGGACGGGACGCCCTCGCAGCAGCGGATGTAAAACTTTTATCTAACAAATGCAAATCGTAGAATATTTTTCTTGCATGAATATACCGGGAGGCTAAAATGTACAGTTTCTGTGAATCATATTAATATTAATTTTTTATACAACGTTGATGGAATGTTCTTATTCTCAGCATGATATACTTCTACAATAGCTCTCACAAAATTGTCTTATATTCTGTATAAATAAATATATTTCACTCTGAAAAAAAAAGTCATTTATCATCATTTTGAGTAGTTTTATGCTTCACAAAGTAAACGGTAATTTCAATATTCACAAAATTAGTAACTAAAACAACATAACTTTATAGATTACAAAACATATTTGGATAGTGTGAAAATAAATTGCGAATGGAAAAGCTCTTTCTAAGTCGTTTGCTTGGGCACCTCTGTCCTATTCGCGTTTCTACTCGTACCGTGAAGCAGTTGTGTTTCCATGGCTGTGTTTCGGTTTGAAGGGTGGGATATGGCAGTGAATTTACAAGGTACAGAGGAATAATACCTGAGTTCTCAGAAATGGCAACGCATGGGGGGTAACATGAGAGAAAGAGTATACTCTATTATGTCTATGGTACTGCTCATGTCTATTGGCGACGGTTACCACTTTCCATCAGGTGGGCCGTCAGCTTGTTTGCCACTTTATGCAACATAGAAAAGTTGCATAAAAAAAGTCGGTTAACACAATTTGGAAATAGAGCCATAAAAATTTAAAGATACGAATTGAGAACCTCCTCCTTTACTTAAAAATCATGCACATTTTCATAATAGACAACCGGTATAACAGTTTGAGCGCCACCTGGCAGTGTGGTAGCGGAATCACGTCCGGAGTGTTAAAGATAATTCATTTACGGCTCACTCGCCGGCCCACAGCCTACACCATACAAATGTTACATTCACTGAAAATGCTGAAACACGATTGAAAGAAAGCTTTAAAAAATACACTAATTTACTTATTTCGCAAGCAATTAAATTAGTGATTGTAAAGACTAAGTTTTTAATTTAATAGATATAATATTAAAATTGTGACCTACGTGGTACATATTATTTATATACGGTAAAATAGAAAAAAAATTATACGTTTAAAGGAATACACAACAAAACTCAATAGTATTTAAAAAATCCCAACTCCCAAGTTAGTATGAGAGATTTATTGTATTTTTTTTTTCATAATGTTTAATTTACACTATATATTCTAAACTATAATCTACCTGTATACCACATTTCATTTAAATCCATTTAGCCAAATAAGCATGATTTTTTATACCACGTTGTTGGCAAACAAGCATACAGCCAATCTGATACTAAATGGTCATTGTAACCTATGAACGCCTGCAATACTAGGGGTGTCACATGTGTGTTACCAACTCTAAAAAACCTTAAACTAGCCATTTTGAAGAACTCCATACTGCAGTTTCCCTGTCTAGGAGCCTCGACAGCTCATTCCACAGCCTGACGTCACGTACAAGGTTCAAGCGTGTGAGGATGAATTATCTGTCAATAGCGAGCGATGCAATGATAAAAGGTGGTTGTGAGCATCATTTCAAATAATTACTCAGGACACAATCCGTTATACAAGAAGTAGAATACGCAAAAGGAGGCAAAATTTCGCCTTAAACTTAAGAGCGATACACCTGTGAGCTTGAGGTAGTAGTAGTTGACTATTCTTATAGCCCATATTTGAAGCGTGTCCAGAGAGTTAAGATGGTATTCAGGTGTTCCAGCCCATAAGTCAACAACAATACTCCTAACTATACTAACAATAATAAGGGGCCGGACTTGAGATTTGTACAATAATAGTCTTTATCTCGGGGTGAAGTACTCTTTTGCTCTATTAATCACTGCGAACTTTTTGGACGCCAGCTTAACTCTATTTTCTAGATGATCCCGGAACTTTTTTGGTGGTGAACGTGCATGTTTGTGTCTTAGGTTAAATTGGACTTTTGGTTAAATTAGAGGATTGAATATTTGCACGGCCTGTGTAGTATGCATCCCCAATACTATCATCCGCATAACAATGAATGTCGACTGTAGCCAGCAAATTATTGATATTTAGCAAAAATAGCATTGTGGGCAACACAGAGGTTTATTTGCATTAACGTCCATGCTATCGGGCAACAAACATAAAGACAGTCACAAAGTAAACTTTCACATTTACAATATTAATATGATAGAATTGAAGTTAAAAAATCGAATGGTTTAAAAAAAATAGTCTAAAATTAACATCAATTTTGAATAAATAAAAAGTATTTCTTAAGCCAAAATTGATGACTTGATAGTCTAACAGTTCAATATACGAGTACTACCTCGCCTTCTAATTATCTCAAGTAAGGAAAGGGATTATTAGTAATGGAGATTGAGAATCCTATTGCTAGCAATATGCCCAACCAGGTCGACCTCCTCGCGGTTTCCCATGGAAACTATCATGGTTCATTCCTGATGAATTCATCATGATGGGTTAACTGACCTGTTTTCATTCTCATCTATCACCCTTCACTGGTGCTCCGCCAGCGTATCCCGCTAGCGCAGGCGGGGTTACCATACCATTTTCACCCAACAAAAAAAAAATATCTCAAGTTTTATTCGTGCAGAATACAAACATTTTCTATTAATAAGTATGTTTGTTCGTATTGACCTCAAGGTTTTCAATATTTAAAAAACACAATTTTTATACAAAGTCTCCCTCTGGTAATAAATTTGTAATATATCTAGAATAAGATTAATTGTAAAATCTACAGACTTCCACATTTGCAAATGAATAATTAATTTTTCAATTAGTGTTCATAATTGTTTCTTCAACTAACAGTTTTTCCCACTGGGGTATGGATGATTATGGAATGGTAATGATGTTTCACTAGCGGTATACGCCGGCATCCCACTTGGGTCAACAGCTACCACGGGTCGATTCTTGTTTCTCCCCCTACACAAGGAGAATCTAACCCACTTTTGCTATACTAGCTGGGTTTTTTTTTATACAACTTAGAATGGCAAACAAGGTAACGGCCCACCTGATGGAAAGTGGTAACCGTCGCCTATAGACATGAGCAGTACCATGGACATAACAGAGTATACTCTTTCACCCATGATACCCCGCATGCGTTGCCATTCCTGAGGACTCAGGTGTTATTCCTCTGTACCCTGTAAATTCACGCCATATCCCATCCTTCAAACCGAAACACAGCCATGCAAACACAGGTTGCTTAGTGCAGGATTTTATTTCAATCTTATTTTTTTTCAACCAACTTCAAAAAGAAAAAGGTTCTGAATTCTGTTCTATTCTATTTTTTTTAATATTTATTACCTCATAACTGTATATAGTGATTATATAGCAGACTAATTTAAATAATAAAGAAATGGCAACAACAGGCGAAAAATGTTTTTTGTATTGTAAACTTTCTTAGATGACTTATTAATTTTCAAGATTGCTACCTGCAAACAAAAAGCTCACTTCAATTATGACAAAATCAATTATTTATATTTAAAAACGAAACTACCGGATTGATTTTGTTAAATATTCTATAGGACTAATCTGTAAGTATATACTTTTCAGTTAAAAAAAGAATTTTTCATTTCGGCTGAAAACTGACGGACTTATGACGTAACAAACATAAAAAAAAACAACCGCACTGAGAACCTCTTTCTTTTCGAAGTTAGTTAAATATTAAAGCCAATAGAATTATTTAATATCTATTCCGCTAGATTATCTGAATTTATCAACTCAGATCGATTTTCAATGTTTTCCGTTTATGGAAAATGTTCTGGGCGGCATTATATGTAATTACTTTGTAAAAATTTATAATTAAATCATACATTTTTTATATGCCAACGGACACCAGTGTCTCGCTAGAATATATCACCTAAAAATGTATTGCCAGTTTGCAAAATAGCATTAAAGCATATCCGGTACAGCTTTTAGCAGACGTATAGACTGAAATTGATTAACTAAACAATTTAGTTTTCAATTTGCATTGAGAGTAAACGTACTTACTTGTTGAAAGGAAGGGGGGGAGGAATTGTTAGTAATGGGGATTTGTAGTCTTATTGCGAGCAATACACCCTGTCAGGTCGACCTCCTCACGGTCTCCTCTAGCCTTAATTCCAAATGAATTCAGCACGATGGGCTAACTGATCTGCTTTCATCCTCACTAATCATTCCTCATTGGTGCCCCGTCTGATTGTTTTCTCTGTGTAATCATTATTGGTATATTTTTTTGTTTCTACTGTAAACTTTTGCAAGCATCAAAAAAATATATTTATCTTAAATGCTTCTTAAATGTTGTGACTGAAAATCTTTATAAAATTGCCGTAAAAAAAACTACAGTGTAGCAAGCAAATAAATATGATTTGATTTAATATTTACTCGTATATGTATACGCACACTATGTTTGTATATATTAGTATCTAAATAATAGTGTGTCACCTACCTTTTGTCTTTTTTCTCAATATTCTCTACTGGTGGGAAAGGTGCCTGGAAGAGGTTGTTTAACGATAAGGCGGCCTTTTGTATCACTTCATATTAAAATTTACTGTATTTATTATTTTAATAAATGGTGCAACAATGTGTAAATAAATAAATGATAGTCAAGTATATTATTACTATAATGAAAAATTATCTGCAAAGATTTATATTGTGGTAACACTTTTTAATTCTTATCACGAAATGAAAAATAGATCCGATTTTCTAGGATTTTTGTCAATTGATTAAGGAATTAGAATATTAAATTACGTGAACTGGATGAAAACTAATAAATTATGCAGATTTATTCTATTTTTAAATTAATTTACTACCTCTAATTATAATTCTACTCAGATACAATTCATGACCTGGGTCAATTGGCAAGTTGCGGTCGACTCGAGAAGAAATCTCGTAAGCCTTTACTGATTAGTTATAAGAAATTTTCCCTACTTAAAAAACGGAGGTCATGATTT